GTATTTGTGCCCTCTATAGTTGAAAAAACCAATGCAGTATTAAAACTAGATCATGTAGAATTACATATAACTAGTAAAATTGAAAAATTATTGTGGTTATTTTTGATGTATGACAGTGTCCTGTATTAAAGCTACATCTCTGTCATTTGTAAAAAACCAAACCATGTGAAGCTTAGGCAGAAATTTGGAGAGTTATGATTGATATGGTTGGGCATTCCTACCTACCTTAATGCACTGAAGGCACGTGGGGGACCCATGCAAGATGGCGGCTGTGCTAGGCAGCGTCTACCCCAATTTCTACCACATCTGGAACGGCTCCGCTGCAGGATGGCAGCAATTTTTGCCATCCGCTGATTCCTACTGGATGCGTTTGTGACGCAAATTTCATAACGGATTTTGGACAATGGGAATCGCGAGAACTCACAAGGACCCGCCGATTCACATGCAATAACAAGTTGTCTCTATAAAGACAACCATATAACCATTGGTGGGTCTAAAACCTGCAACAAATGACTCAAACACAAAGAAGAGAAAGACAATGGTATTAGATTTTTTACTCGCGAGGAGAATGGACAGAGATGCATACATTTACAAATCTCAAACCAGAGATGCGTACAATTACAAATCTCAAACCATTCTAAAGCATCCCCATCCAACCTCTCTTTTTATTGTCCTTAGGGTGGTCCCTAGTTACACAATGCTGCATACACTAAAGGGTGGGGGAATCCCCATCCAACCTCTCTTTTTACTATCCTTAGGGTGGTCCCTAGTTACACAACGCTGCATACACTAAAGGGTGGGGGAAACAGTGTTCAGCAGCGTAAGCACTTTCATAATACATAATTATACTATAATAAGCATGTGCAGAATTCTTCTGTTGATGTCAAGATGACCGCTGACATTTCACAGTCTCTTTTGTTGTGGTTAACTGTTCACAGTGGAGGCAGGTACAGCTTGCACGGTTCATACAACATTCCTCTGCCTCTCTAAACTAAACACTGTCACTAGCCTTGCCAGAACTGTCACCTGCAGTAGCCCGAGTGGCAATGTCAAAAAAGGGAGGCCTATCAAGTTCAGATCAATTTATCACATGCTGGAAAGTAATCCAGTGTCTCTGCCATATTGGATGGGACTCATCACTGTAGGATTACATTTCACAAGTAAGAATGAAAAATAGCTACATCTCTGCTGTTTGTAACAAACCAAACTGTGTGAAAATGGGGTAATAATTTAGGGAATTATAATTAGTTTAGTTGGGCATACCAACCTTCCACAATATGAATAAATGCACTGGAGGTGCATAGGGAATAGATATATCATCACACTAGATGACTCACGACCCTGCCCAGAATGCGTCAAGATCGCCATCTTGTAACGGTACTTTCGTTTTGCGGTCAGTTTAAGTGTTGGAAGCCTGTGATTTAACTGACAACATGTCACAGTTTCGTGCTTCTTTTTGTTATAACAAGTGCATGGTGGATAGCAGTCGGCAGGGAATCACTTTTCCCAAGTTGGGATGGGAATTGAGAAGCGGTTTCTTGTTGCGAACCGGTTCCAAATGGTTCAATCCATCGGCATCATTTACATTTAACTTGACGATTCCTTTCTTAACAATGCCTTGAAAAACGGTCTTGCGAGAGCCAGTCTACGCGAACAGGAACAGAGACAGAGAAAAAAACATGGTGGACCACACGAAAAGTAGGCAGAAACGATCTAAAGCAGGGCTAAATTTTACTGAGAAAGACGACAACAGTGCAACGTTTGTCAAGCAGTAATAACATGCAAAGGCGGAAACACAAGCAACATGCTGTCAACAGTGCACGGCAGCAAATATAAGGAGTCACATGTATTGATACTCTCTGCCAGTTGTCAGGCACCTCTGCTCCGTCTCAGCACCTCATGGATGGTACGTATGTTCGAGTGATCATATGTCCTCTTTTACTCGGACATGTCCTCTTTTGGGGGGCTGTCCAGGGGGAATTTATAAAACCCTTCAAATGTCTGGAACGTGTATTCACACATTATAAAACAGTGCAGCACATTAGTGCTCTCTGCAGCTCTGCCCTTCGCTCACTTCTAAGCAAAGTCATGTCAGGCACTGTCTTTGGAAATTCTGAATCTGCGTGTTGGGTCTAAAACCTGCCCAAATACCTGAAAACATATAAAGAAGAGAAAGACAATGGTTTATGCTCGAGGAGAATGGACAGAGATAGCATCAGGTGTTTTCTCAAGACCACTCTGAGAGTGGTTTTCTGTCCGGCCTCTTTTATTTAGGGTTGTCCCTGGTTACACAATGTTTCTAAAGGGTGGGGAAAAAATATGTGCAGCAACGTAAGCATTCTCATAAAACATAATAATGAACAACTGTGAATATGTGAAGGTCAAGGCGGCATCTAACGAGCTCCTTCTGATAAGAGCGGCTCCTCCTCTAACTTCCCACAATTCATAGTGGAGGATACATCACCCACACCCCCACACCTGCTGATAGGAAAAACAAGGTCACAGAAAACTGAAGAAACATTGATGTGCTGTGTAGTAAAGCTATTGGAGAGAGAAGTTAGAAAACACTCTTATATGATAAAAACACTCTTATATGATTTATAAAAGAGGTCAAAACAGTTTATACTTGTAGTAAACTCTTACATAAGAATATGAGGAATAATGATAACTTCTATATACATTTATGCACATTATTCTAACAATGCGTTTAACTAAGAAGTGCAGAAGAAAACATTCGACCCAGCCCAAAAGAACCCTCAAAATTACGCACACAAGTCTGCCCCGCATAGCAGTGTCCTCTTTGGGGATTTGGGCGTTTTGCTGCCCGTTATATATTAATCATCCGCCAAACCCGCAAGCCATTTCTTGAATCAGTCACAAGGTACGGCCGGCTCGCGAGCATAGACTGTGTATACAACTTGGTTCTGCCTACCGCCTGTGTACGGATTTGAAACCAAATAGCTCCTGGTATTTCTGGGATTTTTCTTCATTTCCTGAAACTAGCGCTGCACAGTAGCGGTGTGTGCATTCGGACGTGCAGTCGCTGAGAGTAGCTGTGATGACTCTCGGTTCAAACAACGTATCCCCCGGGAGAGCTATGCAATCCCTGAACGCCCATAGGCTGTATCAGGTGTCAATCATAGAAAACATGAACCTCATAATAACTTTTAAAAACGGAGCTTCACAGAAAAAAGAGGACATGAGCACCAAACAGTCTTACTGTAACTACATGTCAACACAAGCAGGAGGCGGGATTTATGGCCTATACTCCAGCCCGTCAACAGAGGGTGCTGTTCTCAGAGTGGCTTCACCCAGCAAGGAGGCAGACTCTGTCCATTCTATATACAGTCTATGCTCGCGAGGCTTCAAGCGTCATCACATATGTCACCAACACAAGCCTCGATACACGCTTCACCGAAAATTTCCGGGATAACTCAGCACACGCCCCGAAGCCTCGGCACTAAAGGACTTAACTACACACGATAGCAATACACAGCGGTCCCAGGAGCCACGCGCTCAACCAAAAAGCCACTCTATAGCTACTAATAATGCTCAGAACAGCACTTAACTTCATCAACAGTACATACAGGGTCCCAGCTATAGTACTAGCCACCAAATATCTTTTTAGCTTTACCTGATTTCTTTAGCAAAGAGACTAAACACAACTTACCCACTCTCTTCCAGCAGCCACTTTTTTGTAGCGTGACCTCAGGCCAGTCCATTGCCGCAGCTCATGGAAGAACATTTATGATCATGTAGATTCTCATTCATCCAGGTCATGGTTATCTTGAAGACTTAAAACAGGCAATGGACTGTGTAGAGTTCAGAAGACGTTTCGCCTCTTATCTAAGAAGCTACTTCAGTTCTAAAATTGCTAGTGGGAGGAGCAGATATTTATCTTACTGGAGAAGGGGACAGACAACGACTGGGAGGAGTTGAAAAGAATGGGTCGTAGAAACCCATCTCTGGGTGTGGACTCAGGCACAATCTCTCTGGCACTTACAATGCAGTTCTCAGCTCTCTCCCCAGGAAGCTCCACAAACATTCACACCTGGAACCACATGACCCAGGTGGCATGAGTCATGGGGTGGGGGTGGGGGTGGGGGGGTGGGGGGGGGGCATCATTTCTGTATTGTATCACAAACAAATGGCATCACATCCATTCATTTATCCAATTCAAAGCTTCACGCACCAAACCCTCGTTGTGTCTTAATCACTTTGCCTGGTTTACATTTATTGTACACTTGGTGGCACAGTAGAGCAAATGAAACAATAATGAAGCCACGGCCCAGGAGTCGAGCAATTGGATGGAAAGCTTCTTCAAGAGGCTTCATCTCACTATCACTACTGACTAGTCTATCTCCGCGTGCAGTGGTTCATTTCCTTCAAGTTATAATCATCATTTTGCACTGCAAACGCAGTAGTTCTTCTGCCTGAGGGTCTCGGTCTGATTGCGTTTCCATGAAGTAATAATCATAATTGTTTTTCCTTGAGCTGTTAAACTCCGCTGCATTCGGTGACATGTAGCTAGGCATGTGCAGCTATGCATAGACATTACACACGTAGATGCCTTATTAAAAACTGGAGCGTAATCCGGCGTCGCCGCCATATTGGATGGACCACCTCACTCCAGGCTCGCACTGGGGTCAATGATGAACGAGCAACTATGCCCGTATTTGTGCCCTCTATAGCTGGAAAAAAACTGATGCAGTATTAAAACCAGATCATATAGGATTACATATTACTAGTAAGATTGAAACAATATTGTGGTTATTTTAAAGTGTGATAGCGTCCGGTATAATGGTTACACCTCTTTCATTTATAATAATCCAAACCGTATGAAATTCGGAGAGTTATGATCAATATGGTTGAGCATTTCTCGGACCTTAATGCACTGGAGGTGAATGGGGGACCCACCCAAGAAGGCGGCCGCGCTGATACGTGAGCTACGGCAGCGTCAGTCTATGAGGCGTCCGCGTATTATGACGATGGTCAGATACGTAGTTTACGTAGCAGAGGCCCAGCAGACAGGAAGTATTCCGACCGTGGACGAATATCCACCGAATGTAGACAGCATTAGTGAATGGCAGAGAGGATATCCAACGAATGATCACAGGTATATTCTAGAGAAACAATCCCCTCTGAAACAGACAACAGGTGAGAATTTTTTACCGGAAAACAGGACTCCTCTTCTGAGAATGGCATTACTCACTTTAATGCCTCACGAGCTTCCTAAGCTAGCTTCCAAAGCTAACTGAGGCGGCTCCAGTCATAGGATAGCAGCACTATGCTGCATATTTTGTGTGGAGGTATTTCTCTGTTGCTGTCTCTAAATCTTAAAGTCGATATTAAACACGCGAACTGAGAAATACTCCCAATTATCCGGTAATTTTACCTTCTTAGTAACTGCTACCGGACAGGCGCGATGTGACAGGTGTTCTAACAAGAAGTGTCACCCGTCGAGATGTGCCACTAACGCATGTGCGCCTGTGCAGAGCAGCGACCCGGGAGTTTGGCTCCACGATGTTTTTGTCGGACCATTAGACTTCCAAATATGTAACTTTTTAGGTACACAGTCTCATTTCTGTAATCTAACTGAAACCGTGCTGTTACCTGTAAATTGAAGAAGCTCTGACACCACAGCAAATATATATATACATTTATACTATTAATTATTTCAACTGCAAGTGTGATCAAAACTTGAATAGTTTAGACATATGATATTGTTTTTTTAAAGAGGCTGTATCCTGTCCAGATGGACTAGTCCAGATTTGAGAAGTCTAGGTTTGGTGGTGTTGGTAAACAGGATGTAGTTCCATGTGGTCCAGATGGAAATTGAGGTGATGAAATTCCCCTTACTTGTAATTTCATGGACAGAGTCAACGTGTCATGGATCTGAATCAGGGTTTTAAAAAGTCTGCAGACCCTTTCAGATAATCTTGTCCAGATCAGACCACCTTAGTTCCAGTGGCTCTGGATCAGGACCTTGTTTTAGTAACCCTTCTTGACAGTGGAAGCTGACTGCAGCGCCAGGTTGGAGAGCAATAACGAAGCATTTTTCCGAGAGGGTAGCGCAAACCGTCAGAACACCGGCTAGCTCCGCTAGCAGGCAAAACAACGCTGTGGACCGTTGCCCGAGGGTTTCCACTGCAGCTGTATGAGTCTTTTCCCAGCCTGCATCACCACGTTAACAGTTAAAAGCCGCACAAACAAAATTAGCCTGTTTATGTGGACCATAACTTTCTTTTGCCGTGGTGTCTTCTAAGCTAACGGGACGGAAAGAAGCTAACGTGCCGTTCATTAGCATCCAGCAGTCAAGCTAACGTCACGGTTCACAGTCTGAGCTCGATAAAGAGGCCGACGACTCGGACGGGGTCTGATCCTGCTGATGGAAACTCTGAGTAGACAGTTAGAACAGAACATCACACTACACCAACGTGGTCAGCGTTTTTGATATTCTTCATGCTTGACAGTCATTATGCTGCTAACTTGCTCAGTAGCTAATGTCAGCATGGTCTGTCTCGGTGATTAAAGCTAGGCAGCTCAGAGTGGTGTCTATACGACAGATACAACTGACCACGGAGCAGCACAGACAGTTGTATTCCCCCCCCCCCCCGAGGTCAGCGTGAATGGCTGTAACTGCTGAACATGAACATGGACGCTGCGGGTCTGAACATTGTGTTCTGCGCACATGTCAAGCTTCACAGAGCCAAGCTGCTGCCAGGAACACGCACTCCCCTCTGACAGCAGCAGGGCTGTGGGACCGCAGCAGGTGTGTCAGTGTGAGGCCACACTCGCATAATCAGGGTCACTGAAGAGGTTTTACCCCAACAACTCCTTAGCTCTTTCTGTCTTAGACAGCAGCCAACACACTGTCTTCATGAAGCACTAGGACTGCTGTGGAAGTGTGAGCAGGATTTACTGAACCAAGCTGTACTGAACGGTACCAAACCAGACCTCGATGTGGAAACGCACCTGCAGGCGGGTTTTCATTCTGATAACCGCATGTTATTTTCCCCTCATGTTCCTGCAATGCTCCGTCCTTTAAATTGGATATGAGCTGCTGCAGCATTATTATTTCTGACTTGTGTATGCTGTAACTTCATGACAGCTGCGGTGACACAGTTTTATGGTCCACTTTGACAGTCTGCTTTGACAAAAAAAACATGTTGAAAAGCTCTTCATGATGAAGTCCAGCTCCTCTCCTTTCACTGTGTCAACATCAGACAGCCTGCAGAGCCTCACATCCTCTGTTTGCTCTGTTTACTTTTGTTTTTCAGAGCTGGAGGCCTCAGTCTGACTCCCTGCCAGTCCATAAACTCAGAGGTGGGAGCTTTGAGTCTGCACTATTACATGACTGACTGATGAGACGTCTGTATTATAGACAGGCTAAGTGAAGTCTCTTCATTATACTGAATACATTAGGCTCATTTATCACTGCGTTCTGCTGGGAATCAGACCTCTGTACTGTGGCTTAAGCTCTAAGGACATGATAATTACAAGAAGAAGAAAGCCTTCAGTGTCCTCACTGACATTAGTGTGCAAAGACATTAAGAAATGTTTCATATTCAGACATCTGCAGTGGCATGTCAGAGCATGCACATCTATAAAACAACAATGTGTTTTACAATAAAAGAACGTAATTTAGTCTGAAACTGTAAAATGCACAAGTAGCTAATGAGTAACTTGGATGTTCTGTCCTTCTGGTTCCTCAGGTATTTCTGCTCAAATGAGGGGGAGCTGCAGGCATTGATGAAGAAAAAACTTTATCATGAAGCCCAGATTAAGTCTGAACTGTCTGTCCAGAGAGTCTCACTTATTACCTGTGAGTATATGAAAGCTAAAGACTTTGATCCTTTTTACATTTCTCCAACAGGGATTCAGTTTCAGCACATTTCACCTCAGTCATAATGGGGACTTTGTTTAAATCATCTTTTGGCTGTTTAAATGTCTCTGCAAATTTACCTGGAGTCTGTTTCATTCAAAGATAACTCCAGGCTTTACACTGTAAAAGTTTTACATCATGGATCATGTCAGCTCTTCAGTCTGTAATCACCTGATCCTGTGTGTGTGTGTGTGTGTGTGTGTGTGTGTGTGTGTGTGTGTACGTGTGTACAAGTATGAGTCTTGACACCTTTCCTGGAGACCTCTGGTATATTTGGGGTTCGGGTCAGGTTCTGGTACTTTAGTCAAGGTACTCAGACAGCCCCAGACAGTAAAATCTGCCTCACCACTTGAATCTCTCCTGCTAGTAAACTGTTGAAGAGGAGGATGATGTTATGAGATATAGTGGATGACTGGAGGAGCCCAGTCCTCTCACCTCCACCACTTTGAAGAATGGCAGGCCTACAGCTCGTCACTCCTGCCACTTCACCCATGGGGCCTTTCTTTGGTCTACCGTGGCAGCAGGAGGCAATCCTCGATAACATCTATACGCCTAGGAAATATCAGGTAAGCAGGTGTTGAGTAGCTGCTGTGCTACACCTCAGGTTTAGTGTATTCATAGATCTGTTGTTTGAACCTGTGTAATCTCCTTGGTTCTCTTGCTGTGTCCTCCTCACAGGTAGAACTTCTTGAAGCAGCTCTTGAACATAATACTATCGTCTGCTTGAACAGTGGCTCAGGGAAGACCTTTATTGCAGTACTTCTTACAAAAGAGCTCTCCCACCAAATTCGGGGAAGTTACCAAGAAAATGCGAAGAGGACTGTTTTTCTGGTGAACTCAGGTACCTGCAGAAATCCTAGAAATCAAACAGCAACACATTTCAGCACCTCTCATTCTGAAGGTCCACTCGTCTCCTTTCTGCATCTTCAGCTACATGAACTGATTTCACTTGATTTTCTCTGTTTTTGTGGGGCCCAGCTCCGTCTGTAGTCCAGCAGGCAGCTGCAGTCCGGACTCATTCAGACCTCCAGGTGGGAGAGTACACAGATCTGGAGGAGACCTCAGCATGGACTGACCAACAGTGGAGCCAGGAGATAATCGAGAATCAGGTGAGATCCTTCTCATCAGTCTGATTGAACTCTTTTCTCACCATTAACGGAATATTCTGTGTTTTCACTATAATGTGATGGGTGGTGCTGTGATGTACTTGAGGAGCTGTAAAATACTCCTGACTTCATTACCAAGTGAAGGGGGCTGGGGGGTGGGACGAACGACTCTGCTCTCATGATTCACTGAGCTGTCATCATTCTCTGCCTGATCAGGATGAGACACAGCGTGAAACTGTGCCGATATAATACGCTTAAAATTCCCTAAACAAGGAAAATAAACACAAGAGGACCTGTTCACAGACAGAAACTGGAGGAAAAGCAACAAATTACAATATCATAAGGTCCAGCCTGTAGCCTGTTTATTCTCATGAAAGCTCAGCTACATATGTGTCTAAGGTCCACACAGATCTCCTGCTTTGAAGCTGATTTTGCAAAAAAAGATGGTCCCGGCAGTCTGATGTAGACTATGAATTCACAGAAACAAGTTTTTAAATCATGTAGTCATATATCATTTCAGATGGGTACAAAAATGTCTGTTTTCTGCTTTGAAATGAAAAAAAAAAACTTATTTAGTGGAAAAATTTGATTTTCTCCAGTTTTTTTTCACCTATTGATAAAAAAGAAAAGTGGAACATGTTTGAATAAAACAGGTGTCTGTTTTAAATCAGGAGAGAAAAACTTACTAAGATTTAATACAGCGAAAATTGCAAACATACGGTTAACGTCAACAGCCAGTCAACAGTTTTATCACTAAAATAAAACCAGATCCACTGTCGTGTCTAAACACAAAACTGCAGGAAATGAATAGAGAGGGAGTTTTGCAAGGAAAACAAAGCAGTGAAACAGAGAAATGAGAGATTTACTGCAGACACATCTACTCACTCGCTCTAAATGAAGGAACTGGGGTTTGTTATATGACCAATGATGCCCAATAATAAAACATCATAACCAAGGATTCGGCTCAGACATTGGTATGGTTCTCATCAGTCATCTATCACATCAAAGTGTCAGACTCGGTCACAGCTCTGAACTCTGAAGGAAGTGATTCCACCAGACACCCTGAGGTTTAGCAGTCCTCCTTCAGTAGCTCTGCTCTCATGATTTACAGTGAAGCTGATGGAGCTCTCTCTCTCACAGGTGCTGGTCATGACTTGCCACATATTCCTGCATGTTCTGAGGAATCAAATCTTACAGCTATCTAAAATCAACCTGGTGGTTTTCGATGACTGTCACCTGGCCATTACGGACCACCCCTACTGTGACATCATGAAGGTGGGATGGTGAAGGTGAAACACACAGCTTAGCAGACGTCTAACTGAACTATCACTGATCAGTTTATTCCTCATTGCAGCTTTTTGAGGGCTTCTCAGGTAGCTCTCGTATCCTCGGTCTCACGGCCTCCATACTTAATGGGAAGTGTGACCCGTCAGAGCTAGAGCACAAGATCCAGAATCTGGAGAGGATCCTGAAGAGTAATGCTGAAACTGCCACTGACCTTGTTGTCCTGGACAGGTAAAGGTGACCTAAACCAGGCCTAAGGGAGTGTAACTCTGTCTTCATCTGGTGTCAGAGTTGAGTAAACTGCAGCTAAATGTTGACTCCTGGCTATAGTTTAACCCTCACATACTGTTCGGGTCAAATTTGACCTGTTTTGACTTTTAACAGCAGTAAAAAATACCCTAAACATCATTTTTTAAGCCTGAAACTTGATGACTTTTCCTGAAGTTGCCCAAAATACATTAAATTAATTTAAAAATATTCATGTGTATTTTTGTTTATGTGCTACAAATTTTTCCCCTCTAAGGCTGTTACAGGTCAAATTTGACCCGTATCTATATTAAGATGGATTTTAGATCTAGCAGTGTGGGACAAGTGACAAACAGTAACAACAGTGTTCAATATAAGGTTTGTTGTTCAAAAAGATATATTCAAATCATTATGAAACTATCATTACCTTGACAGAAACACACACACACACGCACGCACACAGACATACAGTCACACAGACACACCTAGACAGAGGTCAAAATGACCTAACTAGTCAAGAGAACTTTCTGTGACAGAAAGCTGCTCTTTGAACTCTTTGAAGGGGCAACTTTGACCCGAAACATACTGTGAGGGTACAGGATTTGAACAGTATGTGGGGGTTAATTTTGAAATAGTTTAAAATGGATTGAAACTAAGAGAGGGTCTCAGGAGTCTGCTCTGCAGTCTAACCTGTTTTGTGTGTCAGGTACGCCTCTCAGCCCAGAGAGGTGGTCCTGGACTGTGGTCCCTACATGGATAAGAGTGGCCTCTCCTCACGGCTGCAAAAGGAGCTCGATGAGGCTCTCCACTTTCTGAATGACTGTAACATACCTGTTGCAAGAGAAGACCGTGACCCCACGTTCATCTCCAAGCAGGTTAGGAAGGTTTTCTTCTTTATCAGACAGTTCTGTGTCTGTATTGTATCCCATTTTTCAGGTTCAAATCTTTTGTATGTGTGCAGATTTCCACAATGGCTTATACACATTTGGAGCATCATGACCTAAAAGTAGGACAAAGACCTTGAACAGTCATCCTGATATCTTAAATGTAAATCTTGTGTTCACAAACTGTTTAAAAACTGAGCTGATGACACAAAGTGGGAAACATGTCTAACAGCTTGACACCCAATTTGATGAGCCGAGATTTATCGTTGAAAAAAATCAGTCTGGACATTGATTTGTTGTCTTTGCATTATTTTCAATCAACTCTAGACTTACAGTGATTAGCAAACCATCAAATCCACTCTAATAAAACTGGTTTTGTACTAGCCCAGAGTAAATCCTCACCATGTGAGCAGTCAGCCCTCAGCCCAAAATAATTTATGAGCTGTACTTTTCTCATTGTGTAAGCTTTGTGCCACTGTCACAGCAGCAGTATTTTGTATGAAATTAGCACAGCTCAACTCACTGCTCTCTGTCCTGTCCAGGTCCTGAGTGACTGCCAGGCCGTGCTGCAGGTGCTGGGACCTTGGTGTGCAGACAAGGCTGCAGGCATCATGGTGCGGGAGCTCCAGAAGTACATCAAACATGAGCAGGAGGAGTTGAACCGTAAGTTCCTGCTCTTCACTGACACCATCCTGAGAAAAGTGCATGCGCTTTGTGAGGAGCACTTCTCCCCCGCATCGCTGGACCTCAAGTTCGTCACGCCCAAAGTCCTGCGTCTCCTCGAGATCCTACACGAGTACAAGCCTTTCGAGCGACAGCAGTTCGAAAGTGTGGAGTGGTATAACAACCGTAATCAAGACAACTACGTGTCTTGGAGTGACTCAGAGGACGAAGATGAGGATGAGGAAGTGGAGGCCAAAGAGAGACCTGAGGCCAACTTCCCCTCACCATTCACCAACATCCTGTGTGGGATCATCTTTGTAGAGAGGAGATACACTGCTGTCGTCCTCAACCGGTACGGTCCTTGTTCTTGTGCACCGTTCCCTCATTCCTGTCTAAGCCTGTTTATACTGCATATCAGGGACCAGACCTCATCACAGGAGATCTCATGATACTTAAGAGTGATGCTGTTTGTCATTGAGGTGATAAGCTGTGTCTTCAGATCAACATACAACACAGGGTTTTTCATGCACCTCCTTCTCTATGTGAGGTTTTAAGATAAGGAGAATTTTGACTTTATTCCCGAGAGGTAGGCCTGTCACGATAAGAAATTTTGCTGGACGATAATTGTGCTACAAATTATTGCCGATAAACGATATTATTGACACCGTTTTTTAAATTATAGATAATGATAATATATTGCATCATAATGCGAGTACACCATGTCAAAAGCAATAAACTTTAATTGCTCAAGATTAAGAACTCTGAACTAGGATGAACAAATATAATAAACAAACAAGACAACTAAAAAACAATGAAAATAAAATGGACCCACATGCTGTTTTATCAAAAACTGCATTCAAATAAAAACCACAATCACAACTACAAACAATAAAAAAATAGACCTTGTCTCTGGTATGGAACAAAAACTTCACTCCACACATAACTATTGAAATTGAAATAAAGTGGAGTCTCGAGTCTGTAAACAAAATTGCACTAAATAATTCGCTTTGGGTGCTATTCCTCAACAGGTCAACAAAGAACATGCATGCGCACCTCAAGCACAATCATCCCCGCGGATGATTGTGCTTGAGGTGCGCATGCATGTTCGTCGTATTCCCCTTCTTTGTCACCAAAACTTTCGAACAAATGCGACAAATCGTCCGTGTTCGTGGGCTCACCTCTTCCATTTTATTTGAAACCGAAATGTTCCCACACTGGGGCTGTTGCGTTGGGCTTAAACACCAAAGCTGTCGTTTCATCATTCATTGCGTTTGCTCCGCACTATGTCAGTAAGTCTGTGTCTGTGTGTGTGTGTGTGTGTGTGTGTGTGCACGCCAGCCCCCACACCCCCCGCCCCTGTCCCCATGACAAAGAGACTGAATGACTGACAGGAGGGTTCACTCACTGCGTTCATTCCGCTATAGAGCCAACACACCTAGGTGTCGAGAAAAATGCGCAGAGTGAGACCTCTTTTCTCATCCAGCGTGTTTGGTAGTGAGAGAGGAGGAAAACAAACACACGTTAATTATCGAGGCTGGCAAAGTTACCGACCTCGTTTTTATTTACCGAGCGATTAGGCAATTTATTGATTATCGCGACAGGCCTACCCAGAGGGGATATTTGATATTTATTGTATTATTCAATATTGTTTATGTTGTCTGTCCTCTTGGGAGTCAATTTTTTTACCTCCTTTCATATTCAGCATTTCTAATATTCATATCTATTCTGATACAATGACTATACAGGTTTTCTGTTACCGTCCCCGGTCTCGTCAGCCTGACTTCATGATGAATTAAATGTACTGTCATGTATTCATCATGAAATAATTATTTACCCGCAGTAACTGCTTCACAGACAGGTGGTTAAGTCACTGTTTAAATTAGACCGGTGTAGCAGGAGGATACTGCCAAGGGAAAAGTCAAACTTTTTCTAAAGAGAGCCTCAATACTTCCGGTGACTGTGGCTGAAAATTTAAATTTAGTTTATTATTAAACATACAGAACTGCTCCAGACTGCCATTTATTAAACATGTTATACAGAGCTGCTCTAAACTGCAGTTTATTAAACATGTTATACAGAGCTGCTCTAAACTGCAGTACATTAAACACATGTTTTACAGAGCTGCTCTGGACTGCAGTTTGTTAAACATGTTTTACAGAGCTGCTCTATACTGCAGTGTAATAATCATGTTCTACAGAGCTGCTCTATACTGCAGTTTATTAAACATCTAATACAGAGCTGTCACACTCCTGCTGATCATATCAGACCTCAGGTCAGCTGTGAAGCTACACACATAGTCAATGCTGCTGATTGATTTCCAGTCTGTGGTTTGTTTGTGTGGTCAGTCTGATCAAAGAGGCGGGGAAGCAGGACCCAGAGCTGGCATACATCAGCAGCAACTTCATCATCGGCCACAGTATCGGCAAGAACCAGCCCAGAAACAAGCAGATGGAAGTGGAGTTCAGGAAGCAGGAGGAGGTAAGCTGACTGATGGGACAGACCCCATGGCAGAGAGTTGTGGTTATTAGTGTTCATAGCACATGCACTTAATTTAGTTGGTCCATTAAACTAACTGCCTAGTTACAGCATATTAAAAAGATTCAAGGTGCTATAGTCTACCCTCACTCTACCCTTGCATGTTTTTATCATGCATGAAAATCACGGGGTGACAGAGGGGCTGGGCTGGGGGGGGGGGGTATAATTTTTTGTTAAACCAACTACTATTTTTCCAATCAATCTTGTTTTTTTCTTGTTTTCTTGTTGAGAGCACAAAAAATCTTTGTCACTTACGTTCAGTATTTATTAAGTCATCTTCTCTCAAGAATTAACAAATTGATCAGAGCGCCATGTTGTTTGGTCTAAAATACCTCTTTACCTTATGATTTTTACCTCCGATAGGATGTTATGTTTTCGGTAGCGTTGGTTTGTTCGTTTGTTTGTTTGTTTGTCACCAACTTTACGGAGAAAGTAACAGATGGATTGACCTGAAATTTTCACCAGAGGTGCGTCTCAGCCCCAGGAGGATCCCATTACATTTTGGTGGTGATCCGGATCGCCTTCTATATCCAGGAATTTTTTGAAGGATTCTTTATCATTGTGAGATAGGGCAAATTTGGGAATTTTTGCATTTAACTCTATAAAAATGGCCAGAGTCTTAAGTAAAAAATCATACAAAAGGATCTCAATGAGTTTTATGAGGTGTCAAAGGTTGATCCTGATCCAGACAAAATTCCGGATACTGTGATCCAGAACACACAAAAATAAGGGTGTCATTGGAATTTCCAATGCTGAAAGATAACCAATGGGCGGCACAGTGGTGTAGTGGTTAGCACTGTCGCCTCACAGTAAGAAGGTCCTGGGTTCGAATCCGGGTCAGGGCATTTCTTGTTTTAGGAACATTATGAACAGTGAATATACCAGTTTAAACACAAATAAAAGTTAATAAAAGACTTGTGACAGTAAAAGTTTTGGTGTGAATCACAATATAAGGGGGGACATGAGCTGCTTGGCGGGAGGTCTGCGCTCTCCGAGTGCTTTTCTAGTTCTCATTAGTTCGCTGACGCAGAGTCTCTGCTCGAGCTGCAGAGACCTCCCCTGGTGAGAATTTTGGTGCATGTAAAAGAATTGGTGTGTTAGCACAACAGGCACAGAGACCCTGTAAAGTTAGTCAATTTTTGTTGTTTAGAAAAGATATGAGGTATTCCCTCCACACCACCGACATTTTCATGCCAGGGTTGTCGATGATGTCATCATCTGTTGAGCCTTCATCTGCATTTCAGCCGGTGTTAGCACTCATTTTCTTATTTTCTCACCAACAGTGCTGTCAGCTTCACGTGTTTAAGTGTTATGGTTGCGTGTAGTTGCAGCCTGCTATTACGCAGTTGTTTGCTGCTTGGTTCTAATAATTCAGCACGATTGGTTCAGCGGGAAGCAACTCTTCATTGGCTATTCGTACAGTCTGCCAAATAATGGCAGAATGCCAGTTATTGAAAATCATATTGACCATGTTTTATATTGATATTGTAGGAAATCAATTTTCGATATATATATTGTTAATGTTTTATCGCCCGGCCCACTTGTCATGTTAGGAAATTGTAGCAGGTGGTGTCACTGAAGTGCTCTTTTTGCCCTTTTTTTTTTACTGACAGGTTCTGCGTAAATTTCGTGCTCATGAAACCAATTTGCTGATTGCCACCAGCATTGTGGAGGAGGGTGTGGACATCCCAAAGTGTAACTTGGTGGTGCGGTTCGACCTTCCCACAGAGTACAGGTCTTATGTCCAGTCCAAAGGCAGAGCCAGAGCCCCCGTCTCCAACTACATCATGCTGGCTGACAGTGAGAGGACCAAAGCCTTCGAGGACGACCTCACCACCTACAAGGCCATAGAGAAGGTCAGCCCTTGGTCCTGTTTGATGTGAGTTCAACTTCATTTAGTGAGTTTCAGGTCCTGACAGTGACTCTGTGTGTTCAGATTTTAAGGAACAAGTGCTCCAAGTCAGTGGAGGTGAGTGAGTGTGAGGTGGAGCAGGTGACGGATGATGACAACATCCTCCCACCCTATGTGCTTCGATCTGAGGATGGAGGTCCCCGAGTCACCATCAACACAGCCATTGGTCACATCAACAGGTAAGTGATGACTCGATTTCTCCTGTTACTGACAGGAGCAGCACCTCTGACTGCTGTCTGACTCTGTGCTGCTCAGGTATTGTGCCCGCTTGCCCAGTGACCCCTTCACTCACCTGGCACCCAAATGTAGAACTGTGGAGATGCAGGATAGGCGCTTCCAGTCAACGCTCTACCTGCCCATTAACTCCCCCCTGAGGGTCCCTGTGAAGGTGAGAAGGAGCACCTGTGTTTGGGGATGTAGCTCTACAGCAGTGGTTCTCAACCGGGGGGGCATGGACACCCTCCTGGGGTTGGGGGGGACTGTACAAAGGAGATGTAGCTGAGTCCCAAGTGTTGCTATAGACCAATTTACAGCCTACCTCATCAAGAAGCTAAGCAGACAGCATGGCAAGTGCCAACAAAAGTAGCCTACTATTTTGCCCAAGCCACTCAAACGACCAAGGAAGCAGGACAAACATCCTACTTCGACCAACCTGTGAAGATCAGTCACTACAGGGAGAGAGGCTCACACACCAAGGATCCTTCACAACATTACACACACACACGCACACACACACACACACAGAGCAGTGACCTGATGTAAACATCAGCATTAACTGTATAAACTTCATCACCAGAGTCTCCCTCATTAACGCACCTGTCTCCTCTCATCCACACAGACATGCCTGTGTTCACAAAGCTACAGCTTTTACACCAGCTTATTATAACACACCACTCTTTAATGGAGATCTGACATAAATTAATGGAAGGTACCTGACCTCAAAAAATGTAAAACGTCCTGATCTCAGTCCACCACACATCTGAGCAGAGACACAACTGATCAAACTCAGTCACCCAGCTCCATCAGTTAAATAATCCATGATATTATTCCTGTTTACATCCCATTCCTTGCGATCAGCGTGTTTCATCCATTTGCATTGTGTGAAAACAGTTTTAGCTCCCTTTAGCTTCAGGTGTCCTGATAGAGGCTGACAGGAAGAGCATCTCTGGTCTTGGTACCCAGTCCAGGCCACAGGTCCGGACAGGCTGTGACTAACTCACCACTTTGGAATCAAGTAGCGGTCCGTGTCCCAATGGAAGAAGACTGGGAGTAAATGACCGAGCCAGCCGGCCTGAAACAGAAATTTTAAAAAGTAGGTTTTAGCGCTAACACAATGCTAATGGATGAGACACTGACTGCAAGAAATGGGTTGTAAACAGGATGTACAGGATGTAAATGGGAACAATATCAGTGGATTATTAACCTGTTGGAGTTGGATGATTGATGCTGACTGTTTTAGACACCAAAGTGAAGGTAGAAAATTTTTCCCTCCGTTATTTTGTGTCAGATCTGTTACAGGACGTTTTAGCCTCTCTTCCCAATAGTGACTGATGTTTATCATGGTGTGACTACGTGGGCCTGTCGGAGGAGAATAAAGTAACTGATTAACTGTTGATTTGAGGCTGTGTCTATCAAACATTGCTGCGGCACTGCATTGAACCACCTTTGGGGGGCCCAGCTCGCAAAAAGTTGAGAACCCCTGCTCTAGAGGAACACGCAGAGGGACAGAGAACCCTGTACACGTGGAGCTCCTCTAGCTTTACTGAGAGCCACGTTACACCTCTTCTAGGCTTACAAACTTCCTAATGTCGCTTTCTCTTCAGGGTCCCATCATGAACTGTGCCAGACTGGCAGAGAAAGCAGTTGCACTACTATGCTGTGAGAAGCTCCACAAAATGGGTAAAATGATTCAGAGCAAACTCAGCTGCACAGAGACCTCTGTACCTGTGGAGAACTACAGCTTTAGCTGAGCGTGCACTTTTCCTCCCCAGGTGAGCTGGATGATCACCTGATGCCGGTGGGGAAGGAGACGGTGAAGTACGAGGAGGAGCTGGACCTTCACGATGAAGAGGAGACCAGTGTACCAGGCCGGCCTGGCTCCACCAAGAGGAGGCAGTGCTACCCTAAAGCCGTAAGAAAACTGATCCAGCCTCTGTCCACTGACTCCTGTATCAAACAGAGACTTGGTTAAAGCGGTAGTTCCATGTTTTGACATGGGCAAACCCTGAAAGTCTTGAGCTGGTCTGATGCTCTGAGAGGAGACTGAAGAGAAAAAGAAGCTACAGTCTCTGTGCTGCTCTGCAGAACTTTAAAATTATAATTATTATCCAGTTTTTTCATTTATTAATGTATTGTTTCTGAAACTGTAGTTTTCAAACTTTATTCAGGCGGAGGTTTTCAATACTCTAAGTTTTAATCTAAGTTTTTTCCTCTTTCTGCTCTCTTTAATATCTGTCTGTTTACTTTTGTACTCAAATCTTTGACTGAGCGGAATGAATAAATAAGATAATGATGAAGCAGTTCTTTCAGGGAGGGTCTCAAGATTTCCAAGTACTGTTCCACATTCCTATAGTCAGCCATCGTGTGCTGATTGCCTCTCCTTCTCTCTGCACAGTTGCTTCTCGATGTTGATGCAGTAACATTTGCACTTACCTGTTTTTATATTGTGGTGGATTGGCCAAGTCTCTACAGGCAGTTTTCTCTTTTTCGGAATCTCACAGAAACGCACCTGTTGGACCTGTACCTGACCTCTGTCTTTGTTTTTTGTAATTTTAGTAATAAATTGGGCCACAGTCACTGTGCTTAGGTTGAACCACATCACAGCCAGGCCCTAGACCAAAGTGGTCCTCTCTGTGTGATTCGAGGGGGTGATTTCAAAACAAAACCTTTTTTAGGATTTTGAATGATCTTTTTTCTATGAAACAAAAATGATGCTCAGAGGTGTGTTTACTTCTTTTTTCCTTTGGGTAAATAAGTTTGACTGTGATCAGTAAAAAAAACCCTGAATTTTTCATTTATGGTTGTTGGCCATCAGAGCAAACTGAGGTCTGTAGATTTCATCCTGTAAAATAAAACTTTTTCAAATGTGTTAGTGGTTCTTCTAATGTTGGTATGATTTTGATGCCAAAGGCCTGATAACACAGTATTCTAATGTTACTTGTAAAACATAGTTATTACAGATGTCTCAAACCTGAGACAGTTGAAATATCAGATTATTCTTTTTGACCATGTCACCTCCAGATGTTTCCCCTTCAGACACTGTGAACAGACTTTTTCTGTTTACTGAGATGTGTTTGAAAACTATTGAATGTTTGTGATTTATTGATCACTTAATTGATCATTGTGTGTCACTCCCTGTCCCCCTGTGTGTCCCCTGCAGATACCAGAGTGTCTGCGGGACAGTTATGCTGTACCTGGACAGACTTATTACCTATACGTGATTGGGATGGTCCTCACCACACCTCTCCCCGATGAGCTCAATTTCCGCAGGAGGAAGCTCTACCCACCTGAGGACACCACCAGGTGCTTTGGCATCCTGACTGCCAAACCCATACCTCGAGTACGTCCTCTGGTTAAAAATTAAACTCTCTGGTTTAAAGTTATTCTGTATTTTGACTTCCTCCTGGTTCTTGAAAGTCACTGAGGCTCTTTTTGTGTCAGATCCCACAATTTCCTGTGTACACTCGCTCGGGTGAGGTGACCATCTCCATTGAGCTGCAGAAGTCAGGCTTCTCTCTCACCACCGCCCAGCTTGACCTCATCACCCGCCTGCACCAGTACATTTTCTCCCACATTCTCCGTCTGGAGAAACCTGCACTGGAGTTTAAGCCCATGTTGGCTGACTCTGCGTACTGTGTTCTACCTCTAAATGTTGGTGAGTTGAGGTTTTTCTCAGTCAGACTCAGTGGGTATATTTCTTTCAGGTCTGCAGATGTTTATTTGTTCACTTTCTCTCTTCAGTTAGGGAAACCAACACTCTCGATATGGACTTTAAGTTTATGGAGGACATTGAGAAGTCTGAGGCTCGTATTGGCATTCCTACCACTCAGTACACCAAGCAGAACCCCTTCAACTTCAAACTTGAGGACTACCAGGATGCTGTCATCATTCCACGGTACAGCTACAGTCTTTACAAACACTGAAACCTGTACTGAGAACCCCAATGATGCTCTCAGTGAGATAAAACAGAAACATGCATGAAGGATAAGTAGTCCGTCTACAGACAGTCTCTCATTGGTGAAGTGTATTTGGTGTTTTTTCAGTGTTTTATCAGATCATAATGTGTCATATCTAAGTTAGATTCTCACCAATGAAAGACTGCCAATTCCATGTACGTGACTATTTCAAGTTCATTGTGAAGAAAACACCTGCACTACCAGAACATCCATGTTTGCATGATGTGAAAGTGCTGAATTGACTTTGTGCCCCAGGAGGTTTCCCTTCGGGCTGTGTGGTTCTCTTTCAGTGATGCCAGTTTGCTCTTTTCCCTCAGCGCACCTCCTCTGTTTGTTTATTAGAAGTTTAATTGTCTTTTTTCAATTCAAGAATTTAAATGAATTGCAAACCATCCAGTCATTTCTCATCAATATTTATTCAGTCTTTGTACCTGCATCTTAAGCAGGTCAGATGAAACTTTGCTTTGGTCGCCTCCTGGTCATGGAACTTACAGTTTTACAGACTTGAGATGATTTGAAGGAGTTACTGGTGTCAACGTCACTCTGTTTGTCTTTCAGGTATCGTAACTTTGACCAGCCTCATCGCTTCTACGTCGCTGACGTGTACACAGACCTGACGCCGCTCAGCAAGTTCCCCTCACCGGAGTATGAGACATTTGCTGAGTACTACAAAACCAAGTACAACCTGGACCTGTCCAACCTCAACCAGCCTCTGCTGGATGTGGACCACACCTCCTCCAGGTCAGAAGCACAGAGTTATGTTCTTACGATAGACTGGTCCACTTTGGAAGGTTACTTTGTAGCATGTTAGAGAAGAGGATTACAGGGAAACCACCAGAGTTCATATGTGTCCAAGAGGGTCTTATGTGAAGTAGAGGCCAGCAGAACAAGCTATTAGTTTTATTCATAGGTGTGAACTACAGTCATCTCTGCTGCTGCATGAATATCTGATCTTTTTCAGTTCACCAGAGGATGTTGAGTCTGTTATGGTCAGATAACAACTAATGCCAGCTATCCACCAGAGGACATTTAGAAGATTTGGAAAAGACTCCTGGAAAACTATAAGCTCACACTTGCTCACATCTAAAGACAAGTGTTTAGTGTTTTTATGAATACAATATCAAATGCGTTTTTTATTATTACAAACACAAGACTAGGAAAAGACTGATATAAAACAGCGCAGATTACCATCTTAAACTTAAAATGACGGGAGCGCGCCGTGACTCCAGTAAAACTCCAAGATTTACTTAAGACTTTCAGTTTTTGGTATGGGACTGTGAAAATCGTTTTTCGGATGCCCAGCATAATACGGAAAATTTATTTACAGTTTAAAAATTTTCACAGTTGAAAGTCTGTCTGAAGCTGTTTTAAAACTATTAAACTAAGCAGTTTAAAACCTGTTGAATAGAGCATCCAAAGCTGGACTGTGGGATTGAATCCCAGAGATTCCTCCCACTCCCAAAGTAGAGATGAAATGTTGAATTGTCTGTTTTTGGCTCTCGTAGACTGAACCTTCTGACCCCTCGACATCTAAACCAGAAAGGTAAAGCCCTGCCGCTCAGCAGTGCAGAGAAGAGGAAGGCCAAGTGGGAGAGTCTGCAGAACAAACAGGTGACGCCCGGGACTTCTGATCAAAGAGAAATGCTTCTTCATCAGTTTGTTTCATTGATTTTCACCTGGTCTGAGCCACCCTGTGTTTAAACTTTCCTGCTGAGATGAGATCTCCACCTCACACCCATCCTGAACCTCCACAGTTCTGTTCTGACAGTCTGATGGGTTTTTCAGATCCTGGTTCCAGAACTGTGTGCCATCCACCCAATCCCAGCCTCTCTGTGGAGGAAAGCTGTGTGTCTGCCCAGCATCCTGTACCGCCTGCACTGCCTTCTGACAGCTGAGGAGCTCCGAGCTCAGACAGCCAGTGAGGCTGGGGTCGGAGCCCAGACCCTGCCCCCCGATTTCAGGTCCCTGTTATAAATATGATATACCACAAAGTTGGGGTTTGGTTTGTGTAACATCTATTCCATTTTAGAAAGAGACATTATAAACAATCGGCCACTGTTGTTTTATTTTGGTTATTACCAGTTTAAAGTATCGGTGTCTGTGCTCATGGACCCGTTCAAGTGTTTTTGTGTCTCTGGTTTAGGTACCCAAACCTTGACTTCGGCTGGAAGAGATCCATCGACAACAAAACCTTCATCACCTGTCCTGAGTCTTGTAGTGAAGACAGCAAGGACCACTGTATGCATCACGAGACTGTAACCTCTGACCCTGACCCCCAGACATATCCCAGCAGCCACCCCTTCTCCCCCCTGAAGCCCGGAGAGGCCCCCTGCACCAGGAACCTAACCAATGGCACTGCCCCTGTCGCCAACTGTGATGACCACAGCCACCAACATGAGCACCTTCTCCAACATGACAATTGCCAAAACTCTCAGACCACCCCCCAGGAGCTGCAGAGCCCTGAATCAATACAAACCACTACCTCAGTTTCTGTGCAGCCCTCTCCTAGCGTGAAGGAGCCCAGCTCCAGTCCTCCATGGTCCATTGATGAATGTACAGCAGGGAGGACCTCAGACCACAAGAATAAAGCTACCTCAGTCTGCAGCCAGGCAGCCACGGGTCCCCTTGCTCACATAGCACCTTCCACCGACCTCCTTGTCGTCACCCAGCATAGAGCTGAGGCCGGGGACTCCCCCAAAAGCCTGGGGCCAAACCCAGGCCTCATCCTGCAGGCCCTGACCCTATCCAACGCCAGTGATGGCTTCAACCTGGAGAGGCTGGAAATGCTTGGAGACTCTTTCCTAAAACACGCCATCACCACCTACCTGTTCTGCACCTACCCCGACGCTCACGAGGGCAGACTCAGCTACATGCGGAGCAAGAAGGTGAGTGGGTTTGTATCAAGTGTCTCTGAAAACAAGGAATTTCTGTCCTTGAAACATGGGTCATCACAAGATTAAAAGGCACATCACTGCTCAGTCTTTATACGGGTGCATCTCAATAAATTAGGTTATTGTGAAAAAGTTCATTTCAACAGTTCTTTAAATATATATATAATGTGTGTATGTATATATATATATATATATATATATATATATATATATATATATATATATATATACACTCACCGGCCACTTTATTAGGTACACCATGCTAGTAACGGGTTGGACCCCCTTTTGCCTTCAGAACTGCCTCAATTCTTCGTGGCATAGATTCAACAAGGTGCTGGAAGCATTCCTCAGAGAGCTTGGTCCATATTGACATGATGGCATCACACAGTTGCCGCAGATTTGTCGGCTGCACATTCATGATGCGAATCTCCCGTTCCACCACATCCCAAAGATGCTCTATTGGATTGAGATCTGGTGACTGTGGAGGCCATTTAAGTACAGTGAACTCATTGTCATGTTCAAGAAACCATTCTGAGATGATTCCAGCTTTATGACATGGCGCATTATCCTGCTGAAAGTAGCCATCAGAAGTTGGGTACATTGTGGTCATAAAGGGATGGACATGGTCAGCAACAATACTCAGGTAGGCTGTGGCGTTGCAACGATGCTCAATTGGTACCAAGGGGCCCAAAGAGTGCCAAGAAAATATTCCCCACACCATGACACCACCACCACCAGCCTGAACCGTTGATACAAGGCAGGATGGATCCATGCTTTCATGTTGTTGACGCCAAATTCTGACCCTACCATCCGAATGTCGCAGCAGAAATCGAGACTCATCAGACCAGGCAACGTTTTTCCAATCTTCTATTGTCCAATTTCGATGAGCTTGTGCAAATTGTAGCCTCAGTTTCCTGTTCTTAGCTGAAAGGAGTGGCACCCGGCGTGGTCTTCTGCTGCTGTAGCCCATCTGCCTCAAAGTTCGACGTACTGTGCGTTCAGAGATGCTCTTCTGCCTACCTTGGTTGTAACGGGTGGTTATTTGAGTCACTGTTGCCTTTCTATCAGCTCGAACCAGTCTGGCCATTCTCCTCTGACCTCTGGCATCAACAAGGCATTTCCGCCCACAGAACTGCCGCTCACTGGATATTTTTTCTTTTTCGGACCATTCTCTGTAAACCCTAGAGATGGTTGTGCGTGAAAATCCCAATAACAGCAGTTTCTGAAATACTCAGACCAGCCCTTCTGGCACCAACAACCATGCCACGTTCAAAGTCACTCAAATCACCTTTCTTCCCCATACTGATGCTCGGTTTGAACTGCAGGAGATTGTCTTGACCATGTCTACATGCCTAAATGCACTAAGTTGCCGCCATGTGATTGGCTGATTAGAAATTAAGTGTTAACGAGCAGTTGGACCTAATAAAGTGGCCGGTGAGTGTATATGTATGTTTATTTATATATATATATATACCGCCATACGGTTCAGGGCCACTATCAAGGCAGCCTGGGCTTTCATTACACAGCAGCAGTGCCACAGGCTGATTGCCTCCATGCCACACTAAATTGAGGCAGTAATTCAGGGAAAAGCAGCCCCAACCAAGTACTTAGTACATATAAATGGACATGTTTTCCAGATGACTAGCAATTGAGTTAAATATAAATTTTTTAAATGTTTTGATGCAGTATTCTAATTTTTTGAGTGAATTTGAATTTGGGTTTTCATTAAATATAAGCTTTAATTATTACAATTTAACAGAATAACGCCATGGAATTTGGGTTTTCATTAAATATAAGCTTTAATTATTACAATTAAACAGAATAACGCCATGGAATATTTCAGTCTGTGTGTCATTAACCTATGTCAAGTATTATTTTCACTCTTTGAATTGAACTGTTAAATTTAAGGAACTTTTCCACAATATTCTTATTTATTGAGATGCACCTGTATATTCCTAGAGAAATTTTTTTTTTTTACTCACTTTTATGTACCTGTAAAGAGCTCAACTGCTGCATGAGCAGGTAGAGGAAGAGTGAAAAAAAAGTGGAAACTCAGATGAGCTTTACATCTGCACGGAAACGGTAGATGGTCGACTTGGTTGAGGACTGCAGCAGGTTTTTGTTTTTGTTTGTTTTGTTTTTTTCCAGGGTTTAATTTTCTGCTGCAGACCTGCTGCTAATGCTAAAACTTCATTTCCTTTTTTTGTAGCTTTCAAAATGAAAGTGACTGAGCCAAAGAGACTATGAGCTTGTTGAAGTTGTGCAAGAAGAACAATTTGCCTGAATGTGACAAGTCAGATTTAAGTCAGATTTTTGCTTTGAAGTAAAACTGCAGCCCGACTGTTTTCACCTTGGAGTAATCATGTCATTAATGTGTCCTTATCCAGGTGAGCAACTGTAACCTGTACCGTCTGGGGAAGAAGAAAGGCCTCCCCAGCAGGATGGTGGTGTCCATCTTTGACCCCCCTGTGAACTGGCTGCCTCCTGGATACGTGGTCAACCAGGACAAGAGCAGCATAGACAAACTGGACTCAGAGGAGGTCAGTGACTGGATGCCCTGCCCCACTGTCTAATGGCTGTCTGTGTAAATGTCTGGTAGTTTCTGTAGTGAGGAAACTTAAGGTCCTCTAAGAACCTGCAGCAGATGCCATTGGTGTTGTTTGGTCATCAGGCCACAGGAGGGCAGACTGCCACCTTGTCTGGGTACCCTCAGTCTGTGACTGAAGACTTCAGTCCTACACAGAATAACTGATTCTTATAAAATAAAGAACTACAGACAAAGATACACTTAGTGATGAATTAAGGTTTATGCATTTGTAGCTCATGTGAATGAAAATCAGAACACAAAAAAAACTTACAATAAACTAATTTAGGGGAAGCAGAAAAGTAAACCCATCTGTAATCTTTCCTTATGGATTAAATTATTACCCTCGATACTCAAAGACATTTTTATGAAGAGCAGTGGTCAAAAAAGCAAACAAACATCAGAGTTCTTGTCATCTTTCCAGCCTTAATAACACCTGGAAAATACAGTGATGGAGATGGCAAATGGACAGGACTTGTAAAGCACTTTCTGGTTTTCAAATTGAACCAGCACATGCTCCATATCCTCTGGTTATGTTTAAAACTGTCAAAATCGTTTTGTACACTGGTCAAAGGCCAAAGGTCATTTTAACTCATTCAGTGCCAATTACGGATTTGGACATATTTCATTATTTGCCCTAAGTGCCAATGACAGTTTTTGACGAATTTCTCAGTTTTTTTGTTTTTTGCCCTAAGTTTTGGGTCGTTCTGAACGCAGATAAGCTGACAAATATGTCATAACCATGTAACAATAACAAAATTAAGTACTTGCCAGTGAGGAGTGTGCCATCAAGTGTGCCAATTTGCCTAGTTGTGGAGTGTTTTTTCTCTATGAGGAGAGTAGAAAAATGCTGAAGTCATTAGCCAAGAGCTAACGTCTCGGCACATTGGCTCCCATGGACGCGGTGCTACCGTCTCTGAATCCAGTGGAGATGCCGGTACTGGACCTTCAAATCATCAGCAGACAATCAAAGAAGACAATTTTCCAGCGTGTCGTTGTGCCGCCGGTGCCGGTACTGGTGAGCGAGACTGAGCAAGATATTCTGTGGGTCCTGAAAGATATAGAAATTTCTATCGCAGTCAATGGTGGCACTGGGTGAAAGTTGCATACATGAACCTGGCACTATATGAGTTAACTATAAATGAATCATTTTCATTAATGTTGTATTTCCAGTGCAGATTCCAGCTGTTTTTTTCTCAGAGATAACATAACATTTTTAACAGAAAAATTAAACTTTTGTGTTCTGAAGGTTAAAAGAGGGGCTGCTAGGCCTGTGCGTGTGAAGTCCATCAGACAGTCTAACACCAGTGCTGACAGCTGTCATGTTATTGTGCCCTGTGGGTTGTCAGTATATTTATGAAGAACATGGACATATGGTGGACTGGTTCTGGTTTGAAGCCCCTGACCAGAGCAGTGAGTAACCAGCCCAGGCATATGGAAGTTAACTTGGTGGCGCTACCTCTGTTAATGGTAGCCCCATAAACTATTGGATGGTGACTGTTTCATAACTTTTTGTTTTGTTTTGTTTTTTTCTTTTTGTTTTCAAACATCCCTGATAATGAAGAACCTGTACTTGAATGATCAATGTCCATTCACTGTCATAACATTATTTTAAAATATTACTTAAACACTTTTATAAATGTCTTGAAAATACTAACCAATAATAAACATGGAACAGCACATTTTTAGACTAAAGAATGAGACAGTGAGTTAAACCTGCTTTGAAATGAAAAACCGAAAGAACTAAGATGTGATGAGACAGCCATCCTCTGTGGGCAAAGTAACAATATAAATTTGAGAGACATGACAAAAAAAAAAACATCTGTAAACAATAAAGCACTGTAGACAGCCATCATATCTGCTGCAGGGCTCTGTGAACTTAAGAGTCAGGGTACCCTCTGCTGGACAAACTGTAAAATGACATACATCAACATAACATAAAGCAGCACATTTATCAGTATATCCAAATATCTTTCCATATATCTTTCCAATCTATCTTATCTAATCTGCACATTTACACCACTGGTCAAAAGTTTTAGAGCACCCCAGCTTTTCCAATATTTTATTGAAAAGGATGCAGTTTAATGTCTCGATGTACTCTGAAAATGATGCATAGAACAAATAAACAATTGAAATTAAAAAAAGAAGTCGTAGAATCTATTTAGAAACGAAAATGTATTCTAAACTTTGAACTCATCAAAGTAGCCACCTTCGGCAGATATTACAGCTGAACACACTTGTGACATTCTTTCTACAATGGAAATAAAGTATTTTCAGAAAGTACTTCCCAACTCTGTTGCAGAAGTTTCCATAAAAGTGTAGCAATTGTACATTTGCTTTCACTCTTCTGTCCAGTTCATCCCAAACCAGCTTGATGGGGTTTAAGTCTGGAGACTGTGCTGGCCACTCCATGTTTTCAAGTTTACAGTTTTTTTTGTTTTTGTTTTTGTTTTTGTTTTGTCTTAAGGTAGTTCTGGCATAGCTTGGACTTGGACTTTTGGGTCAATATCTTGCTCCATTATATATCTCCATTGTAGCAGACCGGTCCTGCCATCAGGCTGTGGGAGTTCTTGGATGAGGGTATGCCAGCAGCCATGGTTGTTCTAGATTTGTATTTTAACTAGGAGCAGATGGCAGAGACATGTTTTTGTCACTGTTTTTTGTGGATTCTGACTGATTTCACAGTCTTTGTCTCTACAAACAAGTGAACATGTCTTCACAGCTTTTGTTTTACAACTTCATTTTTTATTACTACAGCCATTTTACAAACCTCAGTTCAAGAGTCTTTTGAGTGTGTAAGGAGGAGCTGCCAAACTAAACTATGACTCAGAGAGCCTCTGCTGCCTGCTGGATTTTGACTTCTCTCATAAAACCACACCAGGAAACTCACTTTACAAATCCTACATCATTTTTATTAAGAGTTTTAAAGCTCAAACTGACAGTCACTTTTCACTCCTTGATTCTTCATATTTACATTTAAATGTCTTTAAACTCTGCTTCAGGCCAAAGAGGACATTCTTGCCAACGGGCGCTCTAGAAACGACTATGATGAGGAGGATGAGGAGGAGGGTGAAGAGGTGGACGATGAAGCTGAGCTGATGCTGAAGGACGAGCCAAAGGACGAGGTGAACATGGAGGACGACCTGGAGTACTACAAGGAGCACATCAAGTTCATCGACAACATGTTGCTGGGATCAGGAGCATTTGGGAAGAAGATCTCTCTGACAAGCTTCCCTCCCTCCCTCACCCCAGCCTCGGTCTCCTCCCCTGCCATGGAGTCGCCGTACGAGTGGAAGGCCCCTAAAAAGCTCCTCCACCCCACCGCGGCCCACTTCCCTTCCGATCCGGCACCCAGTGGACCCTCTGCCGAAGAGTTCGACTACAGCTCGTGGGACGCCATGTGTTACCTGGACCCCAGTAAGGCCGGTGAGGAGGATGACTTTGTGGTTGGTTTCTGGAACCCATCGGAGGAGAACTGCGGCACAGAGCTGGGGAAGCAATCCATCTCGTATGACCTGCACACAGAGCAGTGCATCGCAGACAAGAGCATTGCTGACTGTGTGGAGGCTCTGCTGGGCTGTTACCTAACCAGCTGTGGGGAGAGGGCCGCACAGATGTTCCTCTGCTCGCTGGGCCTCAAGGTGAGTCCACACCTGAAACTTGATTACAGGGCCATCTCAACCTGGGGAGATTCAAGACCAGGACACTTAGACAAACCAGACATTTTCTGCAGCTTTCAGGACCTCTTTTTTCTGCTCCTGCTGATGAGAAATGAATGTAGTGAAGTAAAACGATGTTTAACAATCGAAACATATGCAGTCGCACCTTTGTCAGAGATACATCACAAACATATAAGGTGTTATGGTCACACAGACTTCATCCACATCAGGGAGCCTGTGCTCAACAGTGTTAAACAAAAGGAGTTTTAAATGCAATTGTAGTTACACTGAAACAGCTTGTAGACTATTGACTCTCTCAATCAAACTTGAACCTGCTCTGTGATCTGGTCCTTTTCCTGTTCTGTGGTCAGCTATCAGTCACACTCCTTGATCTGTTTTTCTGTCTGCAGGTGCTGCCATTGGAGAGAGGGAGCCTAACAGGAGCAGGGGGGCACAACCGGCACCCAGCCAATGACCTGTGCTACGGCTGGCTGAAGATCCCGCCTCGCTGCATGCTGGACCATCCAGATGCAGAGCGGACCCTCAACCACCTGATCTCTGGCTTCGAGAACTTTGAGAGAAAGATCAACTACACCTTTCAAAACAAGGCTTACCTGCTCCAGGCCTTCACCCACGCCTCCTACCACTACAACACTATCACAGGTCAGACTAAACAAACCTTCACCTGTTTCTGTCATCCAACTTTGAAGGTGTCAGGGAAAGAATGTTCAGTTTTTAAACTGGCTTAGTCGGAGGAAAGAGTCTGGTGCTGAGACCTGAGGCTCATGATGTGACAGAGAAACACATCACCTGCTCTAAAATTGATTTGTGAAATAATCAAATCTGTACAGAAGAGAGAGTTTCAAACTGGCTGATATTATCTTAGTCATCAGGTCGTTTCAGCTGTAATTACAGTAAATTACAGTAATTTTATACAGTTAAAGTGAAATCTGTTTGGTCCTGTCAAATTGAGAAACATTAAACATGACTGATGATCCTATAACCCCAGTTTACTCTTTAAATGTTCAAAGAAATTTACTGTAAATGATCCAACCTCAGGTTGCACCAGACTGGACTTTTGCTGAAATCTGATTTGCTCATATTTTCTAATGCATTCTAGTGCAAAGTATTAATGCAGAAAGGATGCCAAAGGGCCAACAAAGCAGCTGCAAAACAACGACAAGCTGATAAAGCAGGTCTGCAGCTGTGCCCGTCTCTGTGTCTCTGCACAGCAACAAAGATGGTGGAAGTGAAGGGAGATGAGTTCAATCCAAGAAACCTGACGAAATAAACAGAAACAGGTCTAGGGTTGTGCTGTCTGAGTACAAAAGAATTAGCTGGAATAACTGATGGTTAATAACAGTACTGATGAGCTTTTCTATCCACTTCTCATCAGTAACCTGAACAGACTTCAGAACTTGTCACTCACCAAGCTGCTAAGACCCAGAGTGAACAGGACTGTGCCCTTTTTTACTTGGGTCATGTCTCCTGCTGACGTCCCTTGAGTCTGGTAGTTAGCTTAAGCTCTTTGTTGTATCCTCTAGAGGTATCCTCTGGTAAGATGTGCAGTGGAGAGTTAAGTTGGTGTACAGTTGGGTTGGTTGAGGTTCAGTTGGTTCCAGACTTTTCCTTCTCTACACCGGTTTTACCCTGGTCTTAGCATCAGTTATTGCATGAATGTGCTCTGCAAACTTGATTCCTCCAGCACTCTGCAGGTCTGTGACAGTTGTTTGTCCCTCTCTCATCCTCAGATTGTTACCAGCGGCTGGAGTTCCTTGGTGATGCAATTCTAGACTACCTCATAACAAAGCACCTTTATGAAGACCCGCGGCAGCACTCCCCCGGTGTGCTGACCGACCTGCGCTCTGCTCTTGTCAACAACACCATCTTTGCCTCTCTGGCCGTCAAGTACGACTACCACAAGTACTTTAAGGCAATCTCGCCTGAGCTGTTCCACGTCATTGATGACTTTGTGCAGTTTCAGCTGGAGAAGAACGAGATGCAGGGCATGGACTCTGAGGTAAGTCCAGAAACTCCAAGGAGCAGCTTATCCCTGCAGGAAGAAACCTAATCTGTGTTGTTGTAGGTTTTCCCTCCGAAATTAAGTTAACATTCACAAAGATCCTCCCGAATAACAAGGCTGTTAGCTTCCATGAATCTGGTTCATATTGCAGAGATTTCAGGACTGGGCAGAAAATACAGTTGGATTTAATTTACCTGAAAATGGCTATCTTGGCAGCAGATCTCCTCATTCTGCAGGAGAGGTACGCAAAGCCTTGGGCACATAAGGCACAAACATAAGATCCTGAGAGGAAACAACAGCTCCCGCTCTCTGCTGCCTACTATTCATCAAAGTAGAGGATCAATTACACCAAAGAGGTGCTTATATAGCATACATTCAACTAGACCAGGGGTCGGCAACCCGCGGCTCTGGAGCCGCATGCGGCTCTTTCTTCCCTAAGCTGCGGCTCCCAATGGATTTGGAAAATAAATAATAAATACTTAATTGCATTTTATTTTATTTTATTATTATTATTATTATTTTTTTTTTGTAATTCTAAATTCAAAGATTATAATGCTCTTGTAACATTAAATAAACTATTAAGGCTGCAACAACGAATCGATTAAGTAGATTCGTCGTGACGAATAAATCCGTTTGAACAAATTCTGTAATCGATTCGTCGGGTCTTTATATATGTCCATGGACACCGGCGTGTAAACATCAGCAGGACGCACAGAAAAGAAACAGCCATGGCCGAGGCAGCGGCTGAGAAAAACATGGACACAACCCAACCCAAATCCCGACCTAAAACATCAGTGGTGTGGGAAAAACTTCACCAAGACTGAAGAGGAAGGCGTTCAGTGTAACATTTGCAAAGACCGTTTTGCATGGCTCGGGAGTACATCGATGATGCGTGAGCACAGGGCTCTCAAGTCTCACGCATTCAGCGTATGACACACGCATTCCCACTCGTTCACACGCTCACACACCACACATTGTATTTCTCACGCATTTAAATGAACATGGTGATGTCCACCAAGTTGCACTTCTTCAACTATGGAACTGGGGGAAATCAACTGAGTTCCTCCGAGAGTTCAGAAGCTGCGTGCCACGCACAAGCCAATGAAATAAAGTATATCTACTGAACAGCCAATCAAAAAGCAGCATTGCTGTATCCGGGTAGATTTTGATATCTTGCGGTTTAACTACAGAAGAAGACAGACACTCGCCGAAATAGTTCATTTATTTCATAAATGCAACTCGCTACAGTTTTTTATATACTTTGTATAAAGGTAAAAAAAAAGATATATGCAATGTTATCTTCATTTTAGATGTCAAAGAGGTTTTGTGGCTCCCTGTGTTTTCTTTTCTGTGGGAAACTGGTCCAAGTGGCTCTTTGAGTGTTTAAGGTTGCCGACCCCTGAACTAGACATATCCACAAAATGCCACGACTCGCTGCTAGAGGTCTGACTGTTTTTAAGAAGGTCGTCTGAGCAGCTTTCAACATCATCCCCCTCGATCAGGTTATTGATTGAAGTTCCTTTATTCGTCCCTCAAGAGGAAATTCCCTTGAGCTCGTACACGGTAGCATCTGAGTGATTCCATGTTACCTGGTCATCAACTGACAGCTCTGTGTGTTTGTGCTTCCAGCTGCGTCGCTCTGAGGAGGACGAGGAGAAGGAGGAGGACATTGAGGTCCCGAAGGCCATGGGGGACATCTTTGAGTCTCTAGCTGGAGCCATTTACATGGACAGCAGGATGTCACTGGAGACGGTGTGGCAGGTGTATTATCCGATGATGAGGCCGCTCATAGGTGAGGCAGAGTGAGAGTGTGTCTTCTACAATCTAAAATCTTGACCTGGAAGGTCAAGATTGTAGATTGAACCTGGAAGGTCAAGATTGTAGACACGATGCTGTCTTTTATTAAAGCCTCCCACCTCTGTCTCTCCTTCTGCAGAGAAATTTTCTGCCAATGTGCCGCGCTCTCCTGTGAGGGAGCTGCTGGAGATGGAACCAGAAACTGCCAAGTTCAGGTACCGCATCTGCACCTTTCATGCCCGCCTCTGTCTTTACATCCTCAAGACTTTATATTAAGTATTTAGTAGTAGTCAGGTACGCAGGTACAGTGCCGAGACTTTGGAATGAGGATGCTAAGCAGATTTGAAGTAAATGTTCTTAAATTGATGGATGTCTGTCTGAATCCCACTCCTACAGCTGGGCTGTTATTACACAGAAGGCAACATCAAGGAGACTCCTAAGCCTCTAAACAAACTTGATCCAGTTATCAGCTGCAGAAAGCTCCCACACAGACCTTAAAATATACTCGACTATAACTCAAATTTGTGAATATTTAGAGTACTGGTCATCCACAGTCTTCTCTGTTATGATTGTATGACCACATCAGCTCAGAGTGTCATTTACCATCTGTGTGTATGCTGCAGGCTGACTCTGCAGAGCTCAGACATGCAGGAGCTTCAATACAGATCTACCTGCATGTGTGGTGTGGTGGGTTAAAGTTTCAGACCCTGACTCTGATTCGGTCAAAGATGACTTGTTGTAAGCTTTTACCTGTTTCAGTCCTCCTCACCTAACCCCTGTCCCTGTGTCCTTGCAGCCCTGCAGAGAGGACATACGATGGGAAGGTACGGGTGACAGTGGAGGTTGTGGGTAAGGGCAAGTTCAAAGGAGTTGGCCGCAGCTACCGGATCGCCAAGTCAGCGGCAGCGCGTCGAGCTCTGCGCAGCCTCAAAGCCAATCAACCTCAGGTCCAAAACAACTGAGCTCAGCATTAGCACCTAAGCTATTGATGGTAACATAGAGGCAGCAAAGTGAGCTTCCCAAACACAGTGTGATGCTCGCCGGGGAACAGCAAGAGGAGACGGAGGCAGTGGAGGAAGAAGCAGACTGATCTAACAACAGATTTCACATCATCAGACCTTGTACCTTTTTCTTTTTTACCCCCTTTGGTTTGCGCAAACACAATCTTTCCTTTCCCTCTCTGCTTTGTGTAATCACCAGTGCTTTATTAACGTTTAGCAAAGTGTTAAAAGGTCAGGTCTCAGAGTCTACTCCTCACTGTTTTTGATTGATCCTTAACCTCTGTGTCAGTGAGACAAGGCTTATGCTCATTGTGTAGTTTTAGATTGTACATAGTTCAATCAAAAGTGTAAATCAAAGTATGTAGGAAAAAAAAAGAAAAAAAAAAAAGGAAAACGCTAAACTCCTCAGCCTGTGCACTAGTGCCAGTCAGTTTGAAGGCGCTTTTGAAAACGCTAAGGGCAGACGTGGTGAGCAGATACCACTGAAGCAGAAAAGCTGGTGGCACCTCTGTTGGAAATCTGTCTTGAAATGGTATTCTTAATCATTTTTGCACTTGTTCCATTAGGGTCTGTTACTTTGAGAATTGTGTGGTCACATTGACACCAAAATCATTTACGTAGCAAAGTATATAAATATATATAAAAGGAGTCAAAGACATGAATGATTTCCTCAGCACAGACACCGAGGCTCACCCTCGTATCCTGCAGAGAGGAGAGAAATTTCAACATTCCCGTTACTGTAATTTAGTCGTTTTGAACCGCACTTGGGTTTGCATGTTGGTGTAGCTTATGTGTAAACCATGAGAACTGGATGGCTTCTGTACATGTTGAAATCTACTCTCAGAGCGTGAGAGCCACAGTAGATGTCCTGCCATTATCTCCATCCTTTGGTTTCACATCTTTTGATACAAAGAGCGGATGGAGGACAGACCTCTCGCACTAACATCTTTCAGCTAAGCGGGCGATCATCCCGTTTTGATATAAAATAGAGAGGAAGACATATCACAGGTTCGATATATGCTGCAGACTTTTCTATGGATTGGATACTCGACACGCAGAATCTTTTCAGATACTCAGTCCTTGTGAAAAAAGCTGATTCATTTCAACACACTAGTGTTCCTCACATCCCAAACCTACCAAAGCTAGATCCGATGTGACACTCTGAGATTGAAGTGGACTCCTCAAGATGAGGATACCAGCCTTTGTTTTCTTTTCTTTTGTTTCTCATTAGTAAGCCCTTCTCTCACGTGAATACCTCAGTTAATTGCATGCATTTTCTTGTCTTTATTTTCTTTTTGTTTGGTGCTATGTTTTTGTGTTAAGCTTGAATTTCTCATCTTTTTTGCACTGTAACTATAATACCTCTTTATTTGACCTTTTTTATTTTAAGCTTTGGAAATCTGTTCAATTTGGTTGTCCTGTTCGTCAGCCACCATTCATTCATTCATTCATTCATTTTTTTTTTCATCAGCTACACAGTTCACCAGTAGAGAATCTGATGGACTCTGGGTCAGCAATGACTGATGGATCAGGGGGGTCCGTGCTTCAGACGTAATCCAATCAGACTGCACTCTTAACTTAATTTAAGCTGCATGTGAAAGAACTTCAATCTCTGTTATGAATCTGTGATTTTTAATCTGGGCCCGTTCTTGCACCCTTTGGAGAATAACAAGTCTGAAGGTTTGGAGCATCTTCAGTAAAACAGACTGTCACTCAATCAGCATCCATCCAGGCAAAGGGGTCGTTTTTGCCCCTGACAGACTTAGACACTTTGTCTCAGAGTATGTCAGGGTGACAGAGAGGACCCCTGCAGAGACAGAGAGCTGTATGTAAAAGATTGAGCTCTTTTTTTTAATTATTTTTTTTAACCAGAACCAGCTCAGATCACACCAACTGAGAGAATCACAGTTAATCTCTGCAGGTCACAAGAGGTGCTGGTCTGCACCCACGTCCCTGCTTTTTCTGGGAGTAGACTGGGAGTAGACTGACAGCTTCAGTTAAAATGCAGTTTTGAATGATGGAGTCTGACGTCTGTACAGAGAGCGTGGAACAGCTTTCTCCTTTAGGAGGGTCTGGCATTGAAGACAGTCAGTGAGAAAAAGAAGAACTTTACGAAGAGTCGTTCAGTCAGAAGGATTGTGCTGCAGCCTTTCTAACCTGTCACATGGTTGCTGGCTTAAACAGACTCTTAAGTCAAAAACTTTGTTTGACAAATGCTCTGTGATTGGACAACGGGTATTTAAATAACCAATCAAAACAATCTGCAGTTTGCCTCTGTGCGTTTGTGGTCATAAATTACTGACTGTGCTGCAAAGAACACAAGAATCATAGAGTCACACACACACACACACAGAGATCTGCTCAGCCCTGCCCTCATCAGTACAGTAGTTCTTGTAAAGCCGACACAGTAAGAGTGTTCATGTGAGGGTTGGGTTTTCTGTCCCAGCTCAGAGAGACCTAACAGTCCCATCTAAACCTCACCACAGAGGCTTTAAATTTAGCCTATCAGGTTATTTTTCATTTAAATCTCTATTTTTGATTATTTTGAACTGAATGTAAAATCATTATTCACATATTTTCAGGTTTCTGGGGACAGCCTCCTTCCTGCCTCACACAGTTTTTATTTTCTACGCTGCACAAGTTGAAAACTGAGGACGTTTTTGAAGTCTCATTTCAGGGTCAAAAAGTCTCACTAGACCTGAAGAGTCCAGATAAACATCCTGTTTGAAGGTGTTCAAAGTTGAAGACTTGAATGTAATGGTAGAAATAGAACTGCTGATGGAGTTGGAGAAATTTTCTGACAGCTTTCCTGTCAGAAGAAACTTCCTAAGTATGTTTCTCTTAATCCTTGGACAATGTTTTTTTCTACACATCACACATGATTCAGGTGTTTCTTCAGACTTGAAGACCTATAACAGGAGGTATATCTGGACTTCTCAGGTAAACGTGGCCCGTATCAAACCCAATGAGACTTTGTTACCCTGATAATTAGTCCAAAAATCGTGGTTAGTGTACTTCCATCATAAATGCCAATCTCTTGAGTCCTCACAGCTGTTTTCTGAAATAATCAAGAAAATGATGAAAAGCTAGTGAACTTCAGTTCAGGCGTCCGAACGCACTAGAGTTATTTCCATCCACCTTCTGCTGGATGGTCTGATTGTTCTCTCAGTATCACAAGGTTTTCCCATGATGACTGACGGAGTCCATCAGAGAACATCAAAAGTCTATTGGTCCTGAATTATCAGGATCTGACAGCTTGCAGTCTGTGGTACGTCTGGACCCTGTCAGACCCTCTGAGTCTGTTAATCTATCTGAGCTGTTGGATCTTCCAGTATAGTCACACACCTCAGTCTGTAGTGCATACTCACTCTCACACTAAGGGTCAGTTAGTCTCCTGGAGCATTGGGAGGGTTACTAACTAAGAATGTGAATCACTCGTTCAGTGCCACGCTCTCTTTGTTTCTGTCTGTGACTGAAAAGGATCATGGAGATCAGCAGACCTCACTACACAACCACCTTCACACCTTCAGGAGAGATGGGAGAGTGTGTGTGCGTGTGTGTGTGCAGGAGGGGGCGGGTCTCTGTCACTCAGAGCAGACTTCGTTCCTCTCATTCCCGCAGATTTCTTTTTTCCTTTCTTTATGTACATGTAGCACAAATGAGCATTGCACTTGGGCGCCATACTTTACCTCATGTCAAAGTGTGAAAGGGAGTAAACGCTGGAGGAACATGAATGAGTGTATCTATGATGATGACAATGTTAACCAGGAAAAACTCTGGCTCAGGCTTTGCTGCTGCTCTGGATGCTGCTGTCAGACAGAGACAGACAGGCTGTTGGAGGAGGACTGACCAGACTGAGGGACCTTAAAGAGATCTGGACTCTCGAATCTGTGATGTCCAAATTAAACATCTGTTTGACGAGAAAACAAAGACGTCCAATCACGATGAACCCTCTCTCTGTTATTACAGACATTTGATCTGATCAATGCTTCTCTAAAGGTCTCAGTTTGAAGTTGAAACCTCCCACAGCCTTTCAGAAGAGTTTAAAGGAACAATCCACCAAAAATCTATCATCTATCATCAAATTCATCTATCTATAAAAAAGTCTATCCAACAGGCCTCGTCTCAATGTTTGTGAACTCTCTGAAGTTAAATTTTAACCTAGACACAGAGATGTGTTCAGTTTTTAATCATTGGTAAATATCTGTAAGGCACCAAATTAGAGTAAAATCTGAGATCATGACATCTAGAATAAAAGTCAGACTTTATGCTCCCACACAGTCAGGCTTTAAGAGTTGTCCTTTTTCCTCTTTTGTTGAGAACCAACAGGAAGAGAGTTGTGAGTTGAGCTCTTAGTTGCTGCACAAACACACAGCTCTGTTTACAGGAATTATTCAGTTTCTAAAAGTGTTACTGTGCACATTACTAACACAATGACAACCCACAGCAGGAGTGGAGCAGCTCCAACTTCAGCTTGGTGTAGATGGAGTCAGCTATTTGTGAGGAGAGGGATCTAAAAACAAGCTTATTCCATGCTGACTTTAACCCAAGATGCTGATCCAGTCTACACTGGGGCTGCAGGCTGAGGGGGTCCACAGGAGCAAAGTTCAAAACTTTTGTTTCTTCTAGACCTGAAGTTTGCAGAAATATGATCCTAAACTGCTCCAGCAGCTTTTAAGTCCATGTTCACTAAACTTGACAGAAAATGAGGTGCAGTCAGAAACATCCAGAGACTGTCCCCTTAGAGACTTCAAATATTTCAAATCAGGACTGAAGAGAGAACGTGAAGTGTTTCATTTCACAGCATCTCTGATGAAATTTCAAGTGTGTTTAAGAGAAAATGTTACCTGATTGTTAGGACATTATGTAAGAAAAGTCAAGAGTGTTAGAGTTCAGTCATGTCAGTGTTATTCCCATCAATGTGCCAAAATCATTTCAATCCCACACCGTTGATTGTCTGCCACATGAATCTGAGCAGGCCAGTGTGTCAGTGAAAAAAATGTGGATTTGTCCTTTAACCTCCATCATCAGAAACATCATCAGTGTGAACAGAGAACTATTTCCCTTCCGACAGAAAACTAACCCTGTTTTGGCAGCACAATACGGTCTCATAAATCCAGCAGGGAGCCGTGCAGGCGTCCGGTCAGGAGCAGCAGAACACCAGCAGGGTGGAGTTGAACGTGGCATGATGGACCGATTATGTCAGTGTGGTGAATTATGGACCATCACAACTTGAAGCAAGAGTTTAAGGGACATTTGAAAAGAAACTCCTCAATGATACTGTAAAATGAAGCTGCAGTGGTTTGCGGTCTGCACCTTATGGATCACAGATACCTTTAATTTGTTTGTTTGGATTTTCTTTTTCTTTTTTATAATTCTAGCCCAGTATATCTACAATAAAGTCATGGTATGGTCATTCACAGCTGCTCTCCGCCTCCTTCAGTCACACGTCAAGTTTCTGCTTACTGATAATGACTTCACCACCCCCTGAGCTCTCCTCTAGCACCACCGTGAGGACAGAACGTCCACTGCACCTCCAGCTGCCTGTACAGGTGGAGCTCTAGAGTTTAGGAGAACCTAGGAGGGTTCATGTGAGGACATCATCTCAGTAGCAAAGCTGAACTTCTTCAAAACTTTTACAGTTTTGAATTTAACACCATCAGAATATTTCCCAAAATTCAGTCAGAAACGGTTTGAAAACACAGACATTTCTGTGAAGTCATGTCCCCCTTCAGTTCTTGCTCAGGCCTCTTTCCTGTGAACCCCCGCATCAGTATGTCATGGAGCTGATCAGTCCGTGTCCCTGCTGGAGTCTTACTGAAGTCCAGGGGTCCGTTTCACGTAGCAGGTTTAGTGGAAACTCTGAGTTTGTTAACCCTGAAATCAGCGGAACTCTGAGTTTTCCGTTTCACAAAGGAGGGTTAGTTAAACCAGGGAGAGAGGGGTAACTCTAACCTGTTTCACAAAGAGAGGTAACTCAACCTCGCGGTCAGTTACCACAGTAACAGACTCCGTGAACCTAACCTGCTCGGGAGCAGGTTTAACTCAGTAAACCCAGAGTTTCAGGTGAGACATCGGCATTTTCTCATTTTGATCATGTTTTACATTGTCAAGTAAGTATTGAGTGGCAGTTTGATCCCTTAAAAAATGCTCTTTTCACACTCAAAACTGAATTTTACTCTCTTATTATGTTCCGTTAAATGATTAGGAATATTAAACTAACACAAAAACGGGTGGTGGTCCAGCAGCCCCACCTTTAACGGAGGCAGAGGAGCTGCCCCCCACCTCCCCCGTTCGACGATCGCGGCCGGTCCGACAGACACACGCACACGCACACTAGTCCGACGATCGCTGCTACGGGGTGGGAGTTGCGATCGTCGAAGGGGGGGGGCAGCTTCTTTGCCTCCGTTAAAGGTGGGGCTGCTGGACCACCACCCGTTTTTCTGGCATCTGCCCTCTTTCTGTTTGCTGAGTGAAAGTCTAATATTGAGTGTAGTGAGTGTTAGTTTAATATATGTACATATACATACTGAGAGTTAGTTTAATATTCCTAATCATTTAACGGAACATCATAAGAGAGTAAAATTCATTTTTGAGTGTGAAAAGAGCATTTTCAAAGGGATCAAACTGCCACTTAATACTTACTTGACAATGTAAAACATGATCAAAATGATTCAAGCAGTTTCCCTGCAACAGTCTGTCATTGTGATTGCACGAGACTAGATTTAAAGTTACGCATTTACGCGAGCAGCGATTTCCTCCCATGCCCCCTCCTTCTCCTTTGCAGCTGCTGCTGTATTGCACTTTCTTTTAAAAACGTGCTGTAATTCGCTGTTGGCTTGCTGCTGCCCCCTCCTTCTCCCTGTTTCCATTGGTTGATCATTGAATCTGCGCTCCACAGATGCTGGCTGTTCATGTCTGGCGTGCACGTGCTGAACTCCAGGTCAAACTACTCGGAGTTGTTAAAACCGTCTCAAATCAGGTGTTGTGTAACCGGAAACTCAGAGTTTCCTAACTCAGAGTAGATCAACTCAGAGTTAAGGATTTAACTCAGAGTTTGTTGAACCACCTACGTGAAACGGACCCCAGGTCTCTCTGATAGCTCCTTCAGCTCATCTGTATTGTTGCTCTGGTGTGTATCATCTCTCTCTAGATGAGACTCCAGAGATCCTCTATGGGGTTCAGGTCAGACCAGTTTGCTGGACTATCAAGCACAATAATACCACAGTCAGCAAACCAGTTTCTGGTAGTTCTGGTTCTGTGGACAGGTACCAGGTGCTGCTGGAAAAGGAAAGCTGGATCTCCATAAAGCTTCTGAAGGTCTCAGACATCTACTGGTAGACTTTAGACAGTGTTGATCCTGGACTTGATGAAACACAGCAGACCAGCAGCAGAGGATTATCTCACTGCACAGCATGGAGGCTCCTACCCAAGCTTCAGGTGTGACTGGAGTTCATGACATCTGCTGCCCTCTGCTCCAGCCCAGATCTTTGCCTCTACAGTCTAATCATGATGTTCAAAAGTGTGAATGAAACTGATGACACATGACTCTGATCCTGCTCATACTCTGATTCTCGTCCGCATCACCCCCTTTATTGGCCCCCTCTGAGTGGCCTACAGACTTCACTGCAATGTGAGCAGGACAGCAGGTTTAAGGGTTAGGGTTTAACAGTCCTGCAGCAGGACAGCAGCAGATTTAAGTGGCCCCAGGAACCAAGCAGGTACATAGAAGATCAGGTTTCAGTCTGGAGTTAACCTCCTCACATGTGTTTTAAAGTCACATACTGACTGCTGTCATCCTTCAGCATCCCTGATAGTGTAGCCCTCTAACTGTTTTCACAGTCAGAGGGCTACAGATACTATCACTGCTGTGCTGGGCTGTTGCAGAGTGAGGGTGTCTGAAGGGTGTCCAGCTGCTCCTGTTTGCTGTTAAAACCACCAATATCAGAGGACTAAAGTTCTGGCACAACATAACCAACTTCCAAGGTGCTTGGGGAGAAAAGGTCTTAAAGTGATCAAAAGAGCTCCTGCAACACTTGTATTTCAGGAAAACAGCTTCATTTGACCAATGCGTTTTGGCCTGTGGCCTTCATCAGGATCGATGACCTTGTTGCTGGAGCTCTTTTGAGATCTTCAAGACCACCAATATCTAAAGTTTGTCCCTGCACCAGAGAACCAAAGAAAACAGACTTCTTCATGTTTTGAACTACAAACTGCAGCTATAGTCAGTGACCACACCAACCCAATCGGTCTCTACACCGAGGGGATGACCACATCAGCCAGAACAAAGCCAGAGGTTCATTTCCATCTGTTGTCCCCAGCAGGTTTGTGGTTATTCATAAATGTACAGTAAGCTTGTATTTGAAATAAAATCAAATTAAAAGTACAAAACCAGAGAACAAGCAGAGTCAGCACAAGCTTCACAAAGACCCCTGTATGACACTGAACTAACTCCTTATTTCTTTTTGAAATAAGGACTTAGTTCAGTGACCTGTAGACCTGAGTCCCTGTTGGAGCTGCAGCACTCACAGATCAGTCAGGTGTACCTTTGTGTCCCCGTGTCCGACAGTTAAACTCTTAAAACTTGACAGGTCCTCAGAGGATGATTCCTGACTCTTTGAGTTGATCCGAAGAGACAGAGGTTTCCCTGTCCAATCCCTAATGGTATGGGGGTCATCAAAGGTCAGTGAGACACATGAGTTTGTCAGTTTTCTGCATCGTCATCTTTACTGTTTTCAGGACCTTCAATAATGAAACCCTTAAATCCTGTGTTTGCTTACATTTCACTTAGCTTTTATTGAATTGGGGGCTTTACTTTAAGCTTCATGGGTTGAAACAGAGTGTGTTTTGTGTGGATATAAAGGGACAAACACGTCTCATCAAATGTCTTGTGCGTTTGTTGTCACATTATTCTGAACAGACAGTCCAGCGTCTGTCCACAGCAGGGGACTAAACCTGCAGGTTCATCCTGGACTTTAGACTTTTAATTTCTCTGATTCTGTCTGGAGCGTTTGGATTTCCAGCTTGTTGTGGTTTCCACCTTATGTCTCAGCAGGTGAATGTGTGTAATGAAGCAGCTCAGAGTGGAGTTCATTGACAGTGATCAGCTGAGTGTTAGTGAGGGGCAGAGGCAGCCCAGACGCCTGCTCACACAGATAATCAACACAATCACAACTTTGGGCCATGCTGCTGTTTTGTTTGTGGAAAGGTGGCTGTGTGTAGAACAGCAGCAGCAGCCCCCACCCCCCTCGCTTTGATGAGAGGCAGATATTGAAATGAAGTGTGGAGCTGTGCTTTCAGCCTGAAAACACTGGGAGAGGAGTCTGATAATTAAAAACATCATTTCAGCTCCTGCTCGGCCTATTTCCTTTCAGCATTATGGTGGCTCTGCAGGTAAATTGGTCCCCGTTCTCCTGCCATGGCCGTAATGAGCAGTGGTTAGGTCTGACACCATGTCTCTTTGATTGAACCTAAATGAGAAATATGCCATCAACAGGAGGGAGGACTCAATCATCAGGACTTTAAATATGAGACGAGGCCGCCGAGCCAGAGGGGGCGAGTCTGAGTGAAAGTATGATATTAGTCCTGCTGATGGGGAGGAAAGCACACACCTTCACACTTTGTCAGTGTGTGTGTGTGTGTGTGTGTGGTGCCCGGAGAAAAAGCTTATTATACAGATAATGATATATCAAAAACATCTCAGCCTTAGCGTCCTCGTTTGCTATGACCTCAAGCTGTCTCTGCTCCTCGCTCTGCTGCATTTACACTAATTGTTCATCTTATTCAAGCAGAAAAAACAGAAATGATTCAACCTGCAAAGACTGACTTAATCTTCGGAGAGGACCTGAAACTGAGCCTGAGGAGCAGAGCAGAAATGACTGTGTGATGATCATGAACCAACCAACACATTCACATTACAGTTCATTCGGCTTTAAGAGCTGAAACACCAGTCTTTAAACATTCAGGAGGAGGTACATGTCAGGATGTTCGTGCAGTTTCATAACTTTGTCTGCATGTTTGTCAGAGCGTCTGCTTAAGACCAGGACATGGTACCACAGCCAGGCCAGACCGAACCAGCTCAGAGGACAAATGTTGGAATCATTAATTAAACAAATTGCAGGAGAACTTAGAGTGAGTCATTAAAAATTTAAACAGCCAATATGCCTATTGATATAAGTTGCAGAGCATTTATTTGTTATTGTACAACACTAGAGACCTTGAATTATTTCAATAACAGATTACAGAATTTCAGATGGTTATCACAATAAAGACTTTAGTTTATCACAATAATTGCAGAATTTTTTTTTGACTACAAAAAAAAAATCACTGACTTTCTCTGAAAAAATAAGAATTACAAAGGTTAACAGTGAATAATCTTATTTTAACTTGTCTTATTTATCATGATCAAATCCCTGTGTGTTCATGTGAGTTCTATTTCACAGCAGGGTCAAATGAAATGAGCGGGGTTAAGGCCAAACAGAAAATGTCCCAGTAAAGTCCGTCCTCGGTGGCATTCCTGGTTCATGTTTTCAGGAGTTCTACTTTGGTTTCCTTAATTCCCTGTTTTGTATTTGTGTGATACTTTGGTCCCTCTGAGGGTGAGACACATGAGGGTTCAACATGCCAACCTCAGGACACCCCTCATACCTGAGTTTTCACTGTGTAGACTGTTTCCAGCTGCACTGTTGTTAATTTCACTCACAGGTCTAATATCCATGATAGTACACTGTGGGCTTTTGGTGTGTGGTTCCCTGCTCACACCAGTCTGATCTGCTGCTCCTGTCTGCTGAGCTCAGAGGTGGAATCTCAGACTCAAAGTTGGCCCTCCCCTCAGCTCCTTCTGTATAGGGGAAAGTGGGGTAAAATGATCCATTTTTCATATTTCAGATCACTACATCAAGGCGATCATAGTTTTGTCTCTAACTAGTGTATCTGCATATATTTCAAGATGTTGTGCATCCCTGCAAACCAACAGAATGAGTTTAAACATAACTCTCTTGATAATATATCATGCCAAAAAAGTGGTCTCCTATGGTCAACTTACCAGTTGACCCCCCCCCCCACACACACACACACACACACACACACACACCTCCCCAGCCCTCCCTCACCTTCTCTCTCCCTAAATAACAGCCTATTCATACATCTATTATACACCATTCAACTGGTAAAATATTCTTTTTATTATTCTGCATATAACTGCTAAAAAGCTGTTTTGTAAAAAGACATTTTAACATAAGAAGGGCTTTAAGTGATTCAGAACATTCACAGCTGTTTTTTTGAAAAGAAAAAGTAACACATTTCAACAATCTGAACTGAAACTCTGATCCTCATCAGACTCCCTTACTTTATCAGTTGAGCCACTGGCTTAACTTGCTCTAAAATAAAACGGTGGACTTTTTTGCTAGGTTTTTGACCTCATGTTGTAGCTCATAGATACCACAGTTGGTGTATAACACAAATTTAAAATGATCTCTTTTTTTGGTCTGAACACAATTCTAATAAAATTTGTGACAGACTAAATTCACTTTCAAGAGTGAAAAATGTTTTTTTTTTTTTTTTAAATAAATGTCTAATCCCTTCACCCATGTGCTTCTAACCTTCACAGACTCCATGAATTGATGCCCATCTCCTAAATATTTGGTCACATGATCAATTTCTTTTACCATTTCCATGCAACAGTGGGTGGCTCAACTTACCCTTTGGCTCAACTTACCCCACTCTTCCCTATGCTGTCTGATTTTGCCAGTGTCATATAGATTCTCATTGATGGTGCTCTGTTCAGTACTTTGAGGGTATTTGCTGCAGCTCTGCCTGCTCTGTATGCACAAATAGGGGGGAGACTTGCTCTTCCTGCCTTGGGCTTTTAAAAGTGTAAATCAAGAGCAACAAAAGCTTTAAGTTAATTTTAAAACAAGCTTAGATCAGACATCGAAATACTTTGAAAACCTGCTTGCTGTGTGACACTCCATGTACGATGCTGCTCTGTTCTCATTTATCTTCAATTCTGCAGTGATTGTTGATCCTGAGCAGGTTGAGCACTCAGGGTTTATCAGGGACTTTTGTTAAATCTGCACTTTGTTTCCAAAGTGATCTTCTTCAGAAAAGTGCTTGTGTCTCTGCCTGCTGCTGAGAGGAGAAAAGTTTAATATTTCCACCATGTTAGCCGATGATTATTAGTCATTAGTAACTCAAGAAGAAAATATGAGGCTGATTGCTTCTGGAGCGGTGGAGGCAGAGCCAGCCAGCAGCAGACGGGCTTTATTAGAAGAGAAACTAAGTCGAGTGATTGTTGAGAGCTGTGAGCATTGGACCACAGAGAGCGGCAAGTTGCTTTGAATTGGAGTCTGATCATATCAGACTCATCTGTGTGAATATCAGGTTTGCTCTGCACAAGTCCACAGAGACAGACGGAGTAGATGTGAGCTGGATTTTGCTCTGTCTGTGTTTTTAGAGAGTGCACAGCATCAAACCAGTATCTCCTTCAAGACCTTTAAAAGGCAGTTCAGAGAGTTTTTGTGGATCAGTTTTTGGATGTAATAAAGACACAGAAACAGTCTGACAGAGACAGGTCACAGAGTTTAGATCTCCAAGTAGAGCCTAAATCCAAACAAACCCAGTGAGAAGATGAGGGTGGAGGTGGTGGTGCATCATTAGCTGAGTCCCACCATGGACCAGTCTGGTCAGTGCTGGTCGCTGTGAAGCTGCCTCACTCTGACTCATGATGAGGTTGTCAGAGCTTTTCTCAAAATGAAATGAAGCAGAGAAGAGTTTCATTTCTTTAGTTTCAACAAATTTACATTTTGGTGATTATGTAGATGGTCCAGAAGACACATCTGTGCTCATAACATTCAATTGTGTTTTTCAGTCAACTCTGCATGTCCAACAGAGAGACTACACACAATCTGTTATTATCAGACCAAGAACAAGCTCACAGGCTCTGACCCTATACTGTCGCTCATCGATGGCGAACCGGTCCTTAGTGCACTCCTGCAGACCTGGAGCATCTGTGTGGACCTGAAGCACCCCTGCAGACATGGGTCTTTTCTGCAGGGGTAAGTATTAATGGATGGTTCTTTTGGTTTGGGTGTATTTGTATTTTAAGGGTATTTTGCATCTGCGCTGTCAGTGTGTGTGTGGGTTTCTTTGTAGCACACTCCCCTGGACTTCAGCGTGCATTGCCCTGGATTTTGCAGGGGTTACATAGTGGCACAGTGTTGAACATTGTTGTCTCTGTGGGGCGTCTCCCTGTGCATGAGTGGATTTCTCCCACAGTCCAAAGACATGCTCACTGGGTGGATTGAGGATGCTTAAGCCCATATGTGTGAGTGTGTCCAAGGTTGAACTTCCTTCAGCCAATGACATCAGGGTACAGCCCCATCATGAGCTCTGGCATGATCAGCTGAGTAGAAGTTGGATCAAAGTTAAAGCTGAGGCATTTTTGTTTTAGTTGCATCACCTGAACCAGTAAACAAAAGACAAACTCACTACCATCTGATGAGCCTGATTCAAACTTCTGCATTGACCCTACTCCATTCACAGATATGGAGAGTTACAGAGTTACACACTAATATCCAAAAGTAGGTTTATGTGTCCAAGATCAGCAGCTCTTCTGCATAAAACAGGTAGAAAACAGCATCTCTGAACTTTTCTCCTCCTCAGGGTTATAACTTGATGCTGTTTGATGGTCACAAAGTGTAAGAACATATTCTTTTAGTTGTAATTTTACTAAAACTCCAAGCTGTTGAACAGTTATGAGTTTATTTGCTGCTCAGAGCTCTGTGTTTAAACTGAACACTTCTGCAAGTTGGTATTTTGGAGCTCTTCTTACAGAGTGTTGCAGACCCAGCAGGTCCCAATACTGTTACAGAGGTTCCAGCAGGTTTTCCAGTTCAATGAGTCCCAATCATAGACTGTATATAAGATGGACAACCTGGTTCCGCCTTCCGCCTGTATACGGATTTGAAGCCAAAAAGCTCTCGGTAATTCCGGGTCTTTCACCACTTCCTTGAAACCAGAGCTGCGCAGTAGCGATGCGCGCATTCGGCCGCGCAGTCGCCGAGAGTCCCTGTGATGACGCTCGGCTCAAACAGTGCATCCCCCCGGGAGAGCTACGCAATCCCTGAACGCCCATAGGCTGTACCAGGTGTCAATCATAGTAAACATGAACCCCCTAATAACTTTTAAAAATGGAGCTGTACAGAAAAAAAAGGACTTGGGCACAAACCAGTCTGACAGTAACTACATGTCAAGCAGGGGGGAGAAAAAATTATGTTCGGTGTAATAAATTTCTAAAGTTTGTCCACAGCTCCATAAGCTTTGCTGGCGGAGGCGGGATTTATGACCTGTACTGCAGCCCACCATCAGAGGGTGCTGTTCTCAGAGTGGCTTCACCCAGCGAGGAGGCAGACTCTGTCCATCTTATATACAGTCTATGGTCCCGATGAATAGGAGCTTTTACATCTCAACTCAACTCAACTTTATTTGTAAAGCGCTTTAAAACAACCACCGCTGAACAAAGTGCTGTACATAAATAGACAAAACAACTAGACATAAAAAAACAATTAAAACAATGGATAAAATAAAAGCAGAATTAAAAAGTAAAATATAGTTTCAATGTTTTTAAAAACTAATTTAAAAACATAGAAACAAATAGCTAAAAACAAACCATGAAACACTAAAACAGGAGCCGAGTCTCATGCACGGTTAAAAGCCAATGAATAAAAATGGGTTTTAAGATGAGTTTTAAAAATGGACAGTGTGGGGGCTTGTCTAATTTGGAGGGGTAGCTCGTTTCATAATTTTGGGGCTGCAACCGAAAAAAAGATCTATCCCCTCTGAGTTTGGACCTCCTAACCTCCAGGAGCAGCTGATCAGCTGACCTGAGGCACCGAGCAGGGGTATAGGGGTGGAGAAGCTCAGAGAGGTAAGATGGAGCCAGACCATTTAAAGATTTAAAAACAAATGAAAGAATCTTAAAATGAACTCTAAAATGCACAGGTAACCAGTGGAGGGAGGCCAGGATGGGAGTAATGTGCTCCCTCTAACGTACTCCAGTTAAGAGCCGGGCGACTGCATTCTGTACTAACTAGAGACGTGAGAGGGAGAACTGGCTGACTCCAAAGTAGGCCTGGGCGATTTGGCAAAGAAAAATGATCACAATATATTTTGTCATATCGTCCAATCTCGATTATTATCACAATTTTTTTTTTAAACTGCCAGTTTTAAAGCATCTAAACTAAAAAATAATAAAACTAGAGATTAGTTCAATATTTTATTAACAAAGTAAATAACAAAGCAAATTGAATAAGATACACTTAGAAAAATATAAAAACATTTTAACTCAACAGTACAACAAATGTAGATAAATACTAAATAATACAGAGAATTAGTTTACAGTCCTGAGTGTTTTTGCAGGTATGCAAGACCCAAAATAAACAAACCTCAGAGATACTAAAGATGCTTTCAAATGTAAACATTAGGTGATGTAAACGTAGATGATACCCATACCTGCCAACATTTGGGTTATAAAATCCAGGAGTTGTTTGCAGCGCATGATAGATATGAGCTAATTACATAGAATAGAATAGAATAGAATAGAATAGAATAGAATAGAATAGTCCTTTATTGATCCCCCATGGGGGAAATTTTTTTGTCACAGCAGCATCACAGACAAGCCAAAAAGTGCAAAAATGCAGTTATAACAATAAGGGTCCTAATATTAAGAACTTAAATAAATGTAATAATTAAGAAAAAAATTAGAAAAGGGAGAAGAAAAAATAAAGCTTTCTACAATATACACAATTTAAATGCCATAAAAAAAGTGGTGGTGTAAAATCAGTTTTGTTACTGTTCATTGTAAAGTCTTATTGCAGAGGGGAGAAATGATCTGCGGTAGTGCTCCGTCCTGCAGGGTGGGAGTCTCAGTCTGCTGCTGAAGGAGCTGCCTAAAGCCCCCACAGTCTGGTGCAGTGGGTGAGAGGGATTGTCCATGATGGATACAAGCTTTGTTAACATCCTCCTCTCACCCACCTCCTCCAGGGAGTCCAAAGAGCAGTCCAGGACAGAACCGGCCCTCCTGACCAGTCTATTCAGTCTCTTCCTGTCCCTCTCGGTGCTCCCTGCCCCCCAGCAGACCACTGCATAGAAAAGTGCAGATGCTACCACAGAGTCATAGAAAGTCCTGAGCAGAGTCCTGCACACTCCAAAGGACCTCAGTCTCCTCAGCAGGTGGAGACGACTTTGGCCCTTCTTGTACAGAACGTCTGTGTTTGTTGACCAGTCCAGTTTGTTGTTGAGGTGGACACCCAGGAATCTGTAGGACTCCACCATCTCGATGTCCAGACCCTGTATGTTCACTGGAACTGTTTGAGGTGTCCCCCTCCTGCGGAAATCCACAACCATCTCCTTTGTCTTACTGGCGTTGAGCTGGAGGTGGTTTGTGCCACACCAGTTGACAAAGTCAGTGATGACAGTCCTGTATACCCGCTCATCCCCTGACGATACACATCCGACGATGGCTGTGTCATCAAAGAACTTCTGGAGGTGACAGCTCCCAGAGTTGTAGCTGAAGTCTGAGGTGTACAGGGTGAAGAGGAAGGGGGAGAGCACTGTCCCCTGTGGAGCCCCGTGCTGCAGACCACCATGTCCGATACACAGTTCTGAAGCCTCACAAACTGTGGTCTGTCGGTGAGGTAGTCCACGGTCCATGCGGCTAGGTGACAGTCCACTCCCGCCCGCTCGAGCTTCCCCCTGAGCAGTGAAGGCTGGATGGTGTTGAACGCACTGGAGAAGTCAAAAAACATGACCCTCACAGTGCTGCCAGTGTTCTCCAGGTGAGCCATGGACCTCTGCAGCAGGTAGATGACTGCGTCATCCACCCCGATGTTTGGCTGGTACGCAAACTGCAGAGGATCCAGATGAGAGCTCACCAGGGGGCGGAGGTTCCTCAGCACGATCCTCTCCAGAGTCTTCATCAGGTGAGAAGTGAGGGCCACAGGTCTGAAGTGGTTGGGCTCCCTGGGGTGCGCTGTCTTGGGGACAGGAATCACGCAGGAAGTCTTCCACAGTGTTGGGACCCTCTCCAGACTCAGGCTCAAGCTGAAGATGTGCAGTAGCACCTCACAGAGCTGGTCTGCACAGTCTTTCAGGAGTCTGGGGCTGATGCCATCAGGACCCGTGGCTTTCCTTGGCTTCATCTTCCTCAGCTCACTTCTCACCTGGTCAGCTGTTATGGAGAGGCTGGGGGTGGTGCTGGAGGGGGTGGTGGAGGATCAGTGGAGGGGGGTTGATGGTGTCGGTGCCATGGGACTGAGGTGGTGTGAATAAGAAGAAGGAGCAGCAGACGGGTCGTTGGTTAGATGAGTCGGGGGAGGAGTGGGAGCAGAGTCAAATCTATTAAAGAACAGATTCAGCTCGTTGGCCCACTCCCTGTCTCCTGCTTCAGGTCCCCTCTCATGGCCCCTGCTATGACCTGAGATGGATTTCAGGCCTCTCTAGACCTCCCTTGCGTTGTTCTGTTGCAAAAGGTTTTCCATCTTGGTCTTGTAGCTGGCCTTTCCCTCTCTGATCTTCTTCTTCAACTCCTTCTGCACCCTCCTCAGCTCCTCCATGTCCCCAGATTTAAAGACCCTCCTCTTCTCCTTCAGGAGGACTTTCAGTTCCGGGGTCACCCAGGGTTTGCTGTTGGAGAAACACTGTACTTTCCTGGTGGGTACGGTGTTCTCAACACAGAAGTTAATATAGTCCGTGATGCAGTCAGTCATGGTGTCAATGTCATCACTATGTGGGCCGCACATTACATCCCAGTCTGTGGTCTCAAAACAGTCCTGCAGCGCCTCAGTGGCCTCCTCTGACCACCTCTTAACATACCTGATGGTGGGGGGTTGTTTCTTCACCATAGGTATGTAAATGGGCTGCAGTCTCACCAAGTTGTGATCTGAGCAGCCCAGCGGGGGGAGGGGGGAGGAGGTGTATGCATCCTTGGTGTTTGCATACAGTAAGTCCAAAGTTTTATTGTCTCTTGTTGGGCAGTTTACATACTGGCCGAAGGTAGGGAGGGTGGAGGACAGCGATGCATGATTAAAGTCTCCAGAGATGATGATCAGAGACTGAGGGTGTGATGTCTGTAGCTTGGACACTTCATTATGGAGGAGTTCACAGGCTGCAGCAGCATCAGCCGAGGGGGGGATGTAAACAGTTAACGCGATGACGTGCGAAAACTCCCTCGGCAGGTAATATAGCCGCAAACTCACAGCCAGCAGCTCAATGTCCTTAAAGCAGAGCTGCTCTTTAACACTGACGTGCCCAGCATTACACCATCTCTCATTCACATACACCGCTATCCCGCCTCCTTTCTTCTTACCACTCTCCCTCACGCTCCGGTCCGCTCTGACGAGGTGAAATCCGTCCAAAGTTACGAGCGGGTCTGGAGTGAGTTCGTTCAGCCATGACTCCGTGAACATTATGAGGCTACATTCCCTATACTCCCACTGCAGCCGAGTTAGCGCTGTGAGCTCTTCCATCTTGTTGGGGAGAGACCTCACGTTTCCCATGATGATGGACAGGACAGTTGGTTTGTAACGTCTCCGCTTTGCCCGATGCTGAACTCCAGCCCTGCATCCTCTCCTTCTCCTGCGGAGCTTAGCGGAGATGTCCGGTCTCTCCCACGAAGGTGGCCGGGCTTGGCGCAGCTCCAACAGCTGTTCACGGCTGTAAACAATGCGGCCGCTGAATGGGTCGCCGGTCGCGGAATTAAAAACTCAGAAAAATAAAAGAAAACAAAGTGCTAGAGTCATGAACTGCACATCCATGGCTGGAATATGCAGACACAACACTGCTGAATGAAAAGAAAGATAAAAAGGTGCAAAAAACAACAATAAGAACGCAAAAACGTGAAGTCTGTGAGGAGCTGCTGTGACTTGCTGCCACTCTCAGGGCGCCCGAGTCACTGACACCACACAATACGAGAGTATTTGTAATTAAAATGCTCATCCAAATAAATATAAGTGAAGCTGCACACTTTGGTTTTGTTTTAACAATAACAAATGGTCATAAAAAGATAAAAGATACGATATGCCTTGAACTTATTTAGTCCACTAATAATAGTGTTAAAGTCCTCATATGTTTTACATGCTCTGCCGTATGAGGCTCTCTGAACATCTGTGCATGAAATACAGCACTCTTTTATCTGAGGCTGCCCTGAACGCATCACTCTCGCATCTCTCGCGTATCTCGCGTTTGTTTTCCTTTCATTGAAGTGTTCATTTTGTAACAAACACTGCTTAAATATAGTTTACAGCTTAAATCGATCTGAATCATCCCAAACTGTAAAGTAAAAGTATCAATCAAGTGCCTGTGAGGCTCAGCAGAAACACAGGACTACCTTTAGTTGTCTGGAAACCTGGAAAGTTAAGACAAATATAGTGACGCGATTCATGAATGAATGCTGACCATGCTACGAGAAATTCCCGGGAGAAATGACAATACAGGGGGTTGGGCGGGAGATAGGTCTGAAATACGGGAAAGTCTCGGGAAAAACGGGAGTGTTGGTGGGTATGGATATGATTGATTGCTGTTTTGGTCTGTGGCTGCACCGCTAGTTGTGTCTAAACTGCTAATGCTACTCATACCGTCAGCAGTGACAGGCTGTGCAGACTCCGCTCGCATTTTCATGCTTCCCGCATAATCACTCTGGAAGAACAGATTTGTTATGTTGCCAGTTTATCGGCTTAATTGCTCGACGTCACTTTGGAGAGACGTTGAATAACTCCTCAAGTATAACATCTTCTGAGGAGGACTCAAAGTCACAGCTCTACTTTGCTGCCATCAGCTCCGCATTTAGCTCCATGTTCGGTCATTCTGTTTACTTCTCTGGTAACTTACAGAAGTGAGCAGGAAAAGCTTGACTCTGATTGGCTGTTGTGACGCGCATTTCCGCCACGTTTGATCAGTAAATATGCTCACAGCTGATCACTGTGATAGAACTGAAATTTATTGCGATCGTCGATCACGATCATATAATCACCCAGTCCTACTCCAAAGTAAAGTGCGTTACAGTAATCCAGCCGCGATGTAACAAAGGCATGGATTACTGTTTCAAAGTGCTTACATGCAAGGAATGGCTTTGCCTTCGCCAGCTGCCTAATATGATAAAAGCTAAATTTCACTACAGAGCTAATTTGCCTGTCGAATTTAAAATCACTCTCCATCTTAAAACCCAAATTTGAGATGGTTGGCTTCAAATAGTCTGCTAAAATACCCAAGTCTACAGGAAGGGTTTCACAAGGGCCACTGGGACCAAAGACCATCACTCCTGTTTTTCTCTCATTGAAATTTGAAAAATTCAAATCTATCCAGGCTTTGATGTCTTCAAGACATGCCAGAAGTGGAGTGAGGGAGAAACCATTTTTCTTATTAAGTAGCACATATATCTGACTGTCATCAGCATAAGAATGAACAGAAATGCCATGCTTTCTTAAGATGGAGCCCAGGGGCAGCAAATACAAAGAAAAGAGCAGGGGCCCTAAAATCGACCCTTGTGGAACCCCATACGGCAGTGGAGCAGAGCTGGATTCTGTATCTCCAAGGCTCACACTCATTGTTCTGTTGGCCAAATAAGACCTGAACCACTCTAGTGCAGTACCACGGATACCTATAAGGTGGCGTAGCCGAGCCACCAGAAAGCTGCAGTTAGATCTAACAGAACAAGAATTACATAATCACCAGTCATTTGCCAGGAGGATGTCATTAAAAACTCTTTATAAAGCAGACTCTGTGCTGTGACGAGTTTTAAAACCAGACTGACCTCCAAGACACCATGCTCATCCAGAAAAGACTTTAGCTGAACATGAACAACTTTCTCTAAAATTTTTGAAATAAAGGGAAGCTTGGAGATGTGCCTAAAATTGGCCAGCACACTGCAATCAAGGCCTGTTTTTTTCGCAGAGGTAGGGACAGAGCTGTCACAGAAATGCCCGGCAGTGGAGGGGTTAAGAATCCGGCGTCTCTGCGCAGCGGCGCCAGATTTAACCAGGTAAACCATGACACAGTACGAGGAGGTCCAATAAATGTGCGTGCTCGTGTGTGGGACCCGACACACACACTGTGCCAAATTAAAAGGGTCAGTAAGACATACAAAGCTTTTCTGAACAACACAGGTGAATATTAAAATCCCCAAGAAGAAGGACGCTGTAATAGTTGGGCATAATTTCAGTCAGTAAACCAGAGAAGTCATTCAAAAACTCCTTATTGTATTTGGGGAGAGCGGTAAATGACAGCACACAGCACCGGGTCAGACCTATCCACCTCAAATAAAGTCACCTCAAAGCTGGAAAAAGAGGATGAAACAGTGCGCTGCTTGTATTTAAAGCCATTCTTATAAACCGTTGCTGTCCCTCCACCACGACCCGACGTCCACGGGGAGTTAAAGTAAGAGCAGTCGGGAGGTAAAAGTTCGGCCAGAGCGCTGGACTCACCCGCACCGATCCAAGTCTCTGTCACACGGAGGAAATCCAGGGCACGGGAGCTGAAGAAATCCCTCAGGATCAAAGTTTTATTCACCAGGGATCTGGCGTTTACCAGGCAGATCCTGGCGGGGGCTGGGGCCTGCGGTCCGGTGGATCGGAGAGCCGGGCGCAGCGACCTGAGGAGCCGATGGTCAACCCCGCGCTGTGACAGCCGAAGTGGGCAGAGGCGGCGGGGTTCGGGTCCCTCTGCTGAGCCGGTGACAGGTAGCTACCAGACAGACGCCAATCGGGTCCAGAAAACAACGAGGCACAAAGAAATGAGGGAATAATCCATGTCCTGTACGGAAAATGGACGAAGATCGTGACAGCCACAGCTTTAGCTCAGCTTTAGCTTTACCAGCCGACCGCCGCGGACGCCTCCGGCGAGAAGGCAGGGCCGGCACAGGTGAGGTGGAATCCCGGCCAACAGCGGGGGCAAACTATCTTTGCCACCCCGATCAAAACCACCCAAATCTCTGACTTTTTGTTGGAGGGATAGGAGACTGGTGATCATACACCAACAGACTCGATTGGTTTAGTGCCAATGGTTAAAAAACAACAGAAAAAAAACAAACATTTCAGGAGTAGCAGACCGCCAGCCACACACACAGGCGCCATCTTGCTACATCTGACGTTGAAAGGTCTGCAGTCAGTGCTGCTGCTGCTGCTACTGCTGCTGACGACGACGATGATGATGATGTGAATGAAGAGGATGAAGATGAGATGGAGTTATCTGCTGGGCGTCTAGCTGACATGGATACGGGCAGAGATAAACTGCAGCTTGATGCAGTCGAGAGCAGCAGCTGCAGTTTGCTGAGATGTTGTGATTGGTAACAAAGAGCAGCTGTGACCATGAAATCAGGACTTAGTGTAATTAGCCACTTTGAAGCAGAGATTTAATACCCAAATCTTTGGAGCAAAATACTGGGGGATCTGGTGCTACTTAATGATAATCTGATCTCTGAGCCTTTCGTCTCTCCTATTTTCCTTCTTAACAGCCGTGCCAGTTTGTGGCAGAGAGTCCAGACCTGGCTTCCATTTGGAGCGTCTGTTCCCGAGCCAGAGAGAAATACCACGAAGCAATACCCTCAATTCCTATTTGCAGGAGGGAGCCCAATGTGACACATGCTGGATCTGAAAGAAAAATAAGGAGCCTAAGTATAATATTACAGTGTTATTAGGCGGCTGTAAATACCTCTGAACTGGCCCCATACAGATTTAACATTCAGTTGATTTTCAGAGGAGGATTTGCACCAGACCTTTGACAGCTGTTGTGGAAATTTTTAAGAAAATTCAGGATGGCAGCATGTTTTAAGAGTTCTTCAGACTAAAATATCTCAAGTGTTTCAATATGTCCATGTTGGAGCAGTTTGTAACAGAGTTCTGCTCCAACATATTTAACAGAAGGATTGTAGCTGATCTGAAGTGGGTCAGTGATGGTAATGATCTCTGCAAATGCCTGCTCGCGATATTTAAAACTGTCCATGCCATCGGCATACGTCTTAACTCTTGGTGTAAACAAATAAAAAGCTGCTGAAGGTCCTGATGTTCTCCAGAGCGCTCACAGAGACTATTCTAAAGAACATGGATCACCCACTTCACAACACTTTGATGGACCAAAGGGCCAATGGTGGTGGATGGCTCCTCTCTCTTCACTGCAGGACAGAAAGATTCAGAAGACCTTTTGTACCAACAGCCATGAGGCTTTATAACTCTTGTGTAAATAGTAGATAACTTTTAGAGACATATGCTGTGAGACCACAGACAATTGAATTTCCCTTCAGGGATTAATGAAGTTCTTCTTGTCTTATCTTCTTTAGTGATGTCTTTCAGGACTCTTCTATCAGAGCAGCTCGTAGCTTCAAGTTTGACAGTAAACACAAAATAACTGCAGAAGACTACAAAAATTTCCCTAAAAATGACAAAAGCTAAAATTCCAACCCAAGGAAACTATCATGAGGCTAAGACTCCTGACTCAGTTTGGGACACCATGTATTAAATAAACGAAACTTACATTCACAGCACATTTTTCATCTAAAATAGAAGAGAGACAATATTTCAAATTATGAAACTAAATTCTGTTTCATTAAAAACCTACCTGCTTAGTTTAAAGGTGTGGTAGATGATTAGAGAGATTGGTAATTATTATAAACCTCATTTATATGGGGATCATGGTCCTGTAGTGCGATGACCACAAAGTGAAGAGAAAAAAGAATGGAAAAAATCTGTTTACCCTAGCAGGTGCAGGGCTGCAAAATTATTGACCAATGGGAGCCATCCATCCCGGACAGCTCCTATTGATAAATCTCCTGCTCTGCCTCTCCATCCAATCACCTTGCTGAATTCGACACACCCCTCTCCCGTAGTTCCGATTTGTCCCCTCCCACTCTCCCGGCCCTCCTTAGAGCTCTAAACAGCTAAAAGTAGTGTAGCAGCATAGCTTCAGGAACTGTGATGGAGAATGATGAAAAAAAAACACCTCTGCTTGCCCCACTGCCAAAAGTGGGAAGAAACCGCAAGCCGACAGAAGAAAGGGCAGAGACGATGAGGAAATGTGACTAAGCGAGGACTGCCACTAGTCAGTAGCAATCCAACATGGTGAATCCTATTTGAAGCTAGCATAGGATCTTCTGCTGACTGGCTTTTTGCTCCACCAGAGGGATGTGTCATGGGGAGGGTGATACAGGTTCAGGGGGGGGGGTTATTGTGGAGCACAGAGGGGAGAGGTTTGTGCGTGGGAGGTGGTTATTTCAAATCTGCCTCAACGGCTCAGTTTTTTTCAAAACTGCTTCTGCTTCTCAGATTGTCAACCATGCCTTTATATGTAACTTTTGTAAAAAGTAGTTCCAGGTTTATGTTTTTCATCATGTGTTGTCAACTCCTCTTTCACCAACCCTCTGTAGACCTGAGGGAACCCAGCAGACCAGCTTCTGAACTCTGGCAGTCAAATGTTGTCCCAATCTGGCTTGATAGAGGATTTCAGCTGCTCAACAGTTCAGGGTCTCCTTTTTCCTGTTTTTGGAGTCGTGATGCTCCAAATGTTTGACCAGTTTCTCAACCGGACTCTTCTCCTACAGAGCCATACTGTTGTAATCCCTGTTGTCAAAATGTGGTTTGCCATGGTCTTGCTGAAATATGAAGGTCTTCCCTTAAACAGTCTTTGTCTGGATGGCAGCAGATGTTGCTCCTACACCTGTAGATATTGTTCAACATTAATGGAGCCTTCACAGATGTAGAAAATACCCATGACATGGACTCTGATGATCCCCATACCATCAGGGATGCTGGCTCTAGGCTGGGAGATGAGAACAAGCCCGGTGGTCCCTCTACTCTTTGGAGAGGAGGATGCAGCGTCCAGGATTTCCAAAAAGACTGTTAGATAATAAATTTGTCATATATAGATGATGAAATCCACTCATTGTTTCACATTTGACACTCAGGAACATTATTCTGAAACTGTTGGACTATTGGCTCGCACAGTCTCTCACAGAGTGGTGAACCTCTTCCATCTTTCTTTCTGACAGACTCAGCCTCTCTGAATGTCCTTTTTATACCCAGTCATGTTTGTAACCTGTTGGAAGTTCACCTCATTAGTTGGAGATGTTCCCTCAGTGGTTTTTTCTAGCATTACACAACTTTTGACCTGTTGGTTGTTCCTCTGTAACAATATTTAGAAACATGTCAATGTTGTGTGGATGTGCTCTATATGTTCCGTGTTTTTTGCCTTTCTGCAACATGAATTTCCCTTTGGGGACAATAAAGCTGAAAGTTAAAAGTTCACATGTTGGTGACATTAAATTTAATTTAAGCAATTTTCTAAATAAAACAATAAAACATTTTTCAGTTTGAGCATTTTATCTGTTGTCTTTTCAATATTTTAAAGTTACTATGGATTTGTAAATGATTAGTAAATCAACTAATTCTTCGTAAACATTAAACCCAGCGTCCTGGCACATCTTGGCTCCTCTGAGCTTCTCTGGGCAACTCTGAGCTGCTCTTGACTGCTCTGGACTCCTCTGAGCTCCACCAGGCTTCATTGGGCTCCTCTTGGCTGTTCTGGGGCCCACTTGGTTCCTCTAGGTTCCTTATTCAATCAGAAACATCCCTTCTCATTGTGTCTCTCTGCTTCTTTTTTCTTGTATAAATCTGAATCATTTCGGACAAAGTAATCCCCTGAATCCTGACCTGGTTGTTGATGACTCTGCCCCCCCCCCCGTGTAAACTGAGCTGGACAGTGATGAGGCATAAACACTCCAAATCAAGGCTCAACTCTGGCCTGAATTGGCTCAGACCTCTCAGCTTACACCCTCAGCTGTTGAGGGTTGTGTGTGTGTGTGTGTGTGTGTGTGTGTGTGTGTGTGTGTGTGTGTGTGTGTGTGTGTGTGTGTGTGTGTGTGTGTGTGTGTGTGTGAGAAATAGCTAAGCCTTGACCAAACTCCCACCCCTGATCCTGCAAAGCAAACTTAGAGGCCCCTAATGCCCCTGTCCCAAACCCCTCACCTCTGTAAACCCCCCCACCCCTCTCTGTGTTTAATGAAGCTGTGATATATTTACGGCCAGCCAAATCCCACTCTAATCCCCCCCCTGATAATCACAGCTCAGTAACTGTTTTCTTTAAACATGCTCATGAGCTCTGGCTGCAGACCCTCCTGCCCCTGTGTGCTGGATATTACTCACTAACCTAATTTGCACTTGCTGTATGTAATGCACACCAAGGGGAGGGGAAGGAGGGGGGAGGTCAGAGGCAGGCTGCCATTGCTGCTGCTGTGTGTGGGTGGGGGGGGATAGAGGGTCTCTGCAGAAAAGGGGTCCTGTTTGCGTCACCAAACAAGCTCCCTGAGAGGTTGAGGGGGCAAAGGCAACAGCAGGGCAAGCCGGCGAGTAACGAGGTGCTGCTGGAGTGGTTTTTTAGAGCCAGATTACATCAGAGCTCCTGAGAGCCATTGTAAACACGAATAAACCGACGGCTCCCAAACGATATGTGAGAGAAAACAATAACAGGTCTGTAGAAAGTGACGCACACACCTTAAGACTGAGTGTTAAAAAACAGTCTGAGATTTTATCTGGCAGAGGCCAAGGTGATTTCAGCTTTTATTCTCCCCCATAAACAAAAAGGTAACTGACATAAACATGTCGCTGCACCACCAGAGCTCTGTGCTCTGATTGGCTGCAGACTGGAAATAAGGGCAAACAACCAGGACTGGAAGTGAGAAACCCTCTTCTGGTGTGCAGTTATAGAATTATCTACACAGTCACATACTAAAGACACTGATTTTACTGTACCTTTCAAAACAAAAGCCTAAAGACAGAGGTGTATTTATGTTTTTAACTGAGTGAGAGTTTACAGTTACCATTAGCTCTTTATTGGAAACGTCCTTAAACTGTTAGTCACCGCATCCAAACTTTTATCAAGTCTGATAAAAGCAGAGAGACAAAAACCTTACATCCACCCTTTAAATCCGATTGTCTCTGTTTTCTGGTCAGAGCTGCTGAGAGTGTGAAGATGCTTTTAACTAGGTAATCCCAGAGCAGTAGATTAAAACAGAGTGGCAACAACTTCAGATCTCGCCGCCGGAGCGGTCACGTGGTTCATGTACCCCTCCATAGTTCCAAACGCAGCCTGCACTGTCCATGCTCTTCAGCGGGGCAGACTGCAGTGAGCGCGCATTTAAGAGGTAAATATTAAAATTAACCGTAAAAAGTCAACATTTGCAACTCTTATTGGATTACTGTGTACACGTCAAAGTCAAGTACGCATATTTAGCGGCTGGATGACAAATAAAAGTGAAATAAGACAAGTTTGGTAACACGTGTTACTTTTTAATAAGAGAAAATAATACAATAAAGTGGTAAGTAACAGGTGTTATAAGCTGTTTAAACAATTGTGCAATGTTTTGGTCTTGCAGCATGGCCTGCATAACATTTTGCCATGTTAAACATACGCCTTAAATGCTGACAGGATTTAAAAAGTAGCGGCCCCTTAACTCTATCATCCCATAAGCAGAAATCAAATTACATAGCACTTATGTTAGTCTAAAAAGAATAAACTGCATATATCGGGAACTGATAAAGGCTGAAATCTAAAATAAAGCCCATAAGTAACCATCTCAACATAGGATTGATGATGATGATTTATCTGTGATTCATAACTCAGTCACACAATAAATTTTGGCAGGCTGACGACGTCCAGCTAGCAGGCCGTGGCTAAAAAATCGATCCCAATTCCTTACTAAAAAAACGTAGTTCCATTTGTAATTACAATTTGAGCATACTAAAATTAAAATCATTTTACATATAAAGGGGTCCCTCGATACCATTTACACATGTATTGGCATTACATTCGTTGATACAATATTTTACCTCGGGGAGTGTGGGAGCAAACCGTGGCTAAAAAATCGATCCCAATTCCTGACTAAAATAACATAATTACATTTGGGATATACATTTTTACATATAAAGGGGTCCCCCCGATATCAATAACACATGTATTGGCATTAAACTTGTTGATATTTTATCATTTAACCTCGGTGAGCGCTTGCCTTGTGGCCATAGAAGCGAACGGCGTCCGACGTGACAGGCGGTCATGTTGGAACTATTAAGCGTTCCATAACCCGGAAGTGGGGTCCGCCGGGCTGTACAGTGTATGTCTATGGGAGTGTCGCCACTCTGTTTTAATCTATTGCTCTGGGTAATCCTAAAACAGGATGACATCCTCTCCTGCTGTGATCACCTGTGAGTCCTCTCTGCGACGTCTTCTCCTGCTGTGATCAGCTGATCCTGAGCTGATGGTGGATTTCCTCCACATTTGTGTGACTGTGTTTGGTTTACTGGCGGTTAAAGCTGCTAACCTCTGCTCACTGAACCTTAAACCATGGAAACACTCACCTCCTCACACGAGTGCAACAGCTGCCTCAAAAAATCCAAAACTATCGCTGAGCTGGAACGACGTATTTCCAGCCTCCACTGGATCCGCAACGAGGAGTCACTCCTGGACTCGATGTTGACGCTGGGTGCGGGCCTCCCTGTGAACCCAGCCGAGCTGGACTCCACCATCCCGGCAGCCGCTGCTCCGCAGGCTCCACCGGCCCCAGCGAGCGCTGCTGCTGCCTCTGGCTCCCCACCTTCCACCGCGGAGGCTCCTGCTGAGCCGGCTCATCCTCAACCCGGGGAACCTTGGCTGACTCAGGGGGCAAGGCCAAAGCGAGTGCCGGCTCCCGCACTGGACTTCACTCCTCACCCGAGGTTCAACATTCGGAGTTCCACCCCACGGTCAACAGCGGCTGCAAAGAGGAGGACCAGCCTGAAACCACTGAAATCCCACTTCGATCTCCAGCTGTCCTCGAGGTACGATGTACTCAGTGTTGCGGATTTTCCTCCGCTGCCAGGAAGGCCGGATCCGGGCCCAGCTGATGTCGGACGAAGCGCAGCCTCACCTCCGTCTTCTGCTGGGAACGAGGAGGTGAACGGAGGTATGCACACGGGGCCTCGGCGCCCCCCTCCTCCCCCCCGTCATGCATACTCCCCGACCCGGTGCAAACCGTTCAGGGAACCTCTGCAAAGGCACTCCGCTGGGAACAGAGGTTCTCCGGCCCCCACTTGCGCACCACCGCCACCGCCGCGTCCTCGCCCACTGTTCCCGCCGACCACGGCAATCATCGGAGACTCCATCGTGAGGCACGTCCGTTTTTTTAACGCAGTAACCCACTGCTTCCCAGGCGCCACTGTCCCAACTCTCCTCCATAAACTCCCGGAGCTGCTGGGCTCACTCCCATCCTCCATCACGAGGCTGGTTTTACACCTGGGTTTTAACGACACTTCCTCCCGTCAGTCTGAAGTGACCAAGGACTATTTTAAGAAACTTTTTAAGGTTCTCACCGACTGCGGTAAGTCTGTTTTTATCTCGGGGCCCCTCCCCTCCTTCGACCATGGCATGGGGCGCTTCAGCAGACTCCTCAGCCTGAACACCTGGCTCCATTCCGCCTGCCCTTGCGGGTTCAGTTTTATCGACAATTTTAACTTGTTTTGGAACCGATCCCCGTTCTATAGGGCTGACGGAGTCCACCCCTCTCGCCTGGGCAGCAGGGTGCTCGGCGACAACATTCGACATGCTGTCCAGTCCACATACACACCTACACACACACCCACACACACACCTGACACACACACGTGACTGATTTCCCCCTCTTCCTCTGTGTCACTGTCCCAAGCCACTACCGCCGCCACCAGCCCCCCCTACCGCCCACCCCCAGTACTACACCATACCACTGCCACTTCTCCTCCAATCTCATCCTCTGCCTGCATACAGTCAGTTTCACCAACACCTCACTTACAGTTCACCCCCATATCCTGCATCCCAGTCAGAATCTCACACCGAGCCCACAGAACATTCCCTTCACGGACCATCAACTTAACTCCAGTCACATTGGCTCCCATTTCACCACTGCCTGAGGATGAGCGCACGCTCGGCACAAACACTAATATGGCCGTGCTGAACGTGCGCTCGCTTTTAAATAAGTCGTTTATCATCCATGATCTGATTTTAGACAATAATTTAGACATTCTCCTTTTAACAGAGACATGGCTTGGCACTGATGCTTCAATTGTTCTCACCGAGGCTTGCCCCCCTAATTTTAATTTTTTATTTTCAACAAGGGGGGGTAGAAAGGGAGGAGGCACTGCCTCAATATTTAAAAACAAATTGTGCCCAAATGAAGTTTCTTTTAACAGTTTTACATCATTCGAATACCACGCATTTGTTTTTAGCAGTCCTCCTACTCTCTGTATTACAATTTACAGACCACCCCACTACTCCAACTCTTTTATCAGCGAATTTTCTGATCTATTATCCATTTTACATACTACCCATAACAGGATTTTAATAACTGGTGATTTTAACTTGCACATTGATACAGCGTCTGATCCAATGTCTAAGGAGTTTTTAAACCTTTTAAATTGCATGGGTTTTAAACAGCATGTGGCACAGCCGACTCACAACAGAGGGCACACCCTGGATTTGGTCATAACTTCCGGCCTATCCACTGGTGTGTCCTCTGTTGTCGACCTGGCTGTGTCGGATCACTACTGTGTGTATTTTAATATCACCAGTTTTAACCATCAGGAGGCCCCGGTGAGAACGGTGAGGAAACGCTACCTAACCCCCGAAGTGGCTGCAAATTTTATTGGGATTTTACAGAGCACTCCTGCCGCAATTTTACCTGCACCATGCGATTTTATTGTGGACCATTTTAACAGAACATTAAAAACCACATTGGACACAGTGGCTCCACCCGTAATTAAAACTATTAAAACAAAACCCTTACCCCCATGGAGAAAAAACAACGAAATCAGAAACACAAAGAGAAAATGCAGGAGTGCCGAACGCAAATGGAGAAAAACCAAATTAACAGTTCACCTCGAAATACTACAGGACTCACTCAAAAAATACAACAATGCAGTAAAAAAGGCAAGAACAGCCCACTTCTCAAAACTCATCACAGACCATAAAAACAATTCCAAATTCCTCTTTTCCACCATCGACCTCTTAACAAACTCCCATTTTAAAAAATCTTTTAAGACCCCCACAGACGCCCTCTGTGAGGACTTTGCAGACCACTTCGGGAGCAAAATTGATGATATTAGATCCAGTCTTTTAACTCATCAGAATGTGATTTCCAACACATCTGAACAGCTGATTTTACCTGAGGAAACACTGGAGAGTTTTGCCCTGGTTGACGCAAGGACACTTGGTCGAGTTTTCTCCCAAGCAAACCCAACTACCTGCCTTTTAGATCCGATTCCCACATCATTTTTAAAAACATTTTACGAATTTTTTGAGGAACAGATTTTAACCATAGTAAATTGCTCTCTTCAGACAGGGGTCTTCCCCACTGCCTTTAAAACGGCGGTGGTGAGGCCCCTTCTGAAGAAGAGAAATTTGGATACTGATGTTTTTAATAATTATCGACCCATATCCAACTTACCGTTTTTAAGTAAAATCTTAATCAAGTAAATTATTTCTTAAAAAGTAATAATATCTTAGAGAAGTATCAATCCGTTTTAGGATGAACCACAGTACCGAGACAGCCCTTTTAAAGATTTTAAATGATATCAGGTGTAATGCCGATAAACAGAAACTCACAGTTCTGGTACTACTGGATCTAAGCGCTGCCTTTGACACAGTAGATCACCAGATTTTATTAAGCAGACTCAGGCACCTGGTGGGCCTCTCTGGGACTGTTTTTAACTGGTTCATTTCTTATCTCTCGGAACGATCCTTCTTTGTAAGTATGGATACCTGTTCCTCAAAAACTCATGAAATTAAGTGTGGGGTGCCCCAAGGGTCAATTTTAGGTCCAATACTTTTTAATCTCTATATGCTTCCCCTTGGGGACGTCATCAGGAGACACGGCATCAGCTTCCATAGTTACGCTGACGATACACAGTTGTACATTGCCGTGTCTCCTGAGGACACAGGGCCTATTGATGCCCTTTTAAACTGCATTTTAGATATCAAGTCATGGATGGCAGAGAATTTCCTACAGCTCAACCAGGACAAAACAGAAGTTTTAATTATTGGTCCTGAAGGCAAGAGAGAGAAACTTTTACCAAAACTACAAGATTTTAAACCTGCTCAATCTGTTAAGAATCTGGGCGTAATTTTTGACTCTGAGCTGAATTTTATTCCACATATCAAGAACATAACAAAGATAGGTTTTTACCATCTTAAGAATATAGCCAGAGTCCGCCCGTTTCTCTCTCAGGCCAACACGGAGGTGCTGATGCATGCTTTTATTTCTAGTCGTTTAGATTACTGTAATGCCCTGCTCTCTGGTCTTCCCAAAAAGACCACCCACATGTTACAACTGCTACAAAATTCTGCAGCACGTGTGCTGACAAGGACCAGAGGGCGGGAGCACATTACACCGGTTTTAAAATCCCTGCACTGGCTCCCCGTGTGTTTCAGGATCGATTTCAAGGTTCTTTTAGTAGTTTTTAAGTGTCTTAATGGTCTTGGCCCATCTTATTTATCTGAACTGCTTTTATCTTATCAACCCTCGCGTACCCTGAGGTCCTCTGGCGCCGGCCTTTTAGTTGTTCCTCATACAAAAACCAAAACTCACGGAGAGGCTGCCTTCAGCCATTATGGCCCAAAGTTATGGAACAGCCTGCCAGAGAACATCAGGGGTCCGTTTCACGTAGCAGGTTTAGTGGAAACTCCGAGTTTGTTAACCCTGAAATCAGGGAAACTCTGAGTTTTCCGTTTCACGAAGGAAGGTTAGTTAAACCAGGGAGAGAGGGGTAACTCTAACCTGTTTCACAAAGAGAGGTAACTCAACCTCGCGGTCAGTTACCACAGTAACAGACTCTGTGAACCTAACCTGCTCGGGAGCAGGTTTAACTCAGTAAACCCAGAGTTTCAGGTGAGACATCGGCATTTTCACATCGCTGCTCGCGTCAAAGCGTAACTTTAAATCTAGTCTCGTGCAATCACAATGACAGACTGTTGCAGGGAAACTGCTTGAATCATTTTGATCATGTTTTACATTGTCAAGTAAGTATTAAGTGGCAGTTTGATCCCTTAAAAAATGCTCTTTTCACACTCAAAACTGAATTTTACTCTCTTATGATGTTCCGTTAAATGATTAGGAATATGAAACTAACACAAAAACGGGTGGTGGTCCAGCAGCCCCCCCCCCCCCCCCCCCGTTCGACGATCGCTGCTACGGGGTGGGGGTTTCGATCGTCGAGGGGGGGGCAGCTCCTCTGCCTCCGTTAAAGGTGGGGCTGCTGGGCCACCACCCGTTTTTCTGGCATCTGCCCTCTTTCTGTTTGCTGAGTGAAAGTCTAATATTGAGTGTAGTGTGTGTTAGTTTAATATATGTACATTTACATACTGAGAGTTAGTTTAATATTCCTAATCATTTAACGGAACATCATAAGAGAGTAAAATTCAGTTTTGAGTGTGAAAAGAGCATTTTCTAAGAGATCAAACTGCCACTTAATACTTACTTGACAATGTAAAACATGATCAAAATGATTCAAGCAGTTTCCCTGCAACAGTCTGTCATTGTGATTGCACGAGACTAGATTTAAAGTTACGCATTGACGCGAGCAGCGATTTCCTCCCATGCCCTCTCCCTCTCCTTTGCAGCTGCTGCTGTATTGCACTTTCTTTTAAAAACGTGCTGTAATTCGCTGTTGGCTTGCTGCTGCCCCCTCCTTCTCCCTGTTTCCATTGGTTGATCATTGAATCTGGGCTCCACAGATGCTGGCTGTTTATGTCTGGCGTGCACGTGCTTAACTCCAGGTCAAACTACTCGGAGTTGTTAAATCCGTCTCAAATCAGGTGTTGTGAAACCGGAAACTCCGAGTTTCCTAACTCAGAGTAGATCAACTCAGAGTTAAGGGGCTCTATTTTGGTGCTTCGCCGGAGATCTGCCGCAAGCGCAGCGTCAATCAGATCCGCCGCGCTGACAAGGCGTTCCCAAGCACATTTTGGTATTTTGGTGAGCCGCGCAGCCCGGCGTAAGTATCCCCCCTCCCTAACTCAGCTCCTCCCAGCACCATAAGTCGGAGAAAGGGCGTGTAGTGATTTTAACAAAGCCGAGACCTGTTTTCTCCAATCACATAAGCTCCTCTCCTTGCCTTTAAATCCGCCACCGGCGAGGCGTATTACTATTTTCATGAAGTAGTCAAAGAGATCAAGAGATGTCTTAAGACAGTAATGCCACAAGATGGCGACAGAGGGCAGCTCCTCAACAAGTGTCCTCCACACTCTCTCATATGAGCACAGATGGATTTAGTGTGCGTAATGTTGGTCCCACTGGTAAGACAAACACCCTTTTCCACAAATAAAGACACTCACATAAAGTTGCTCATATTCAAACCTCACGTGACAAAGGTGGGTTTAGCGCACAGATCACAACATAAACTCCAAAAATGGCATTAAAATTGGAACCATCTGTGCGTAAATGACGCATCGCGCTCCGTGGCCTGGCTCTTTCTTTCATAGATGTTGGCATATAAAATAAATTTGGCTCACAAAACTGAATATTATAATATCCGTATGTCGGCTTAAAGTAGATCACGCATCTGAGCACTGAAACAAATCATCTGTTCAGTCGCAGCAGCAGCAAGACGGACAGAGGACACGGAGACGTGTCCAGGTCGAGCTGCGCGAGAAATAAGAGGAAGAGGAAGAAAGAAAATGAGGGAGACGAATTACATATCTTGTTAACTTCATCATGTGTGTTTATTTACTAGATATTTAATTTAATTTGATGCGGTTTCAGCTGTGTTGATTCGGTCCGGTTGTGTGTCCAAACGCGTGCCAAACGCGCTCATCAGATCAGATATAGATCAGAATATATCTATATAGATCTAAATATATGTGCTGACTCAGATTAATAGTTGATGATGATTACTTATTGCACTGAAATGTGCCTGACACTGTGGAAACCTGCCGGTGAGGCATCAGTGACGTATGTCGATACGCCGCCGGTCTACCAAAATACTACTAGACCAGCTGCGTTCCGCCTTGCGCTGAAAGCTGACCAGGTTTGAATCGGTGAACTTTCAGCGCACTTTACACGCCGTTGGCGAGCACGAAAATGTCACTGCGCCAGCTGATTCTGTCAACACCTCCCCCTGCCACACCACCACGCCCAGCTTGGCGGATCTCGGCTCGCCTCCGTGCGGCTCATGCCACGAAAATACCAAATTGGCCTTACGCTGGGCTCCGCCAGACCAAAATACAACTGCGCGGGGCTCGCCACCCTCCGCCGCCTCACCGGCGCGAACGAAAATAGAGCCCAAGGATTTAACTCAGAGTTTGTTGAACCACCTACGTGAAACGGACCCCAGGACCGCAGAGACTGTTGATGTTTTTAAAAGGAGGCTCAAGACCCACCTTTTTAGTTTGGCTTTTAGCTGATTTAACTGTTTTAGTTTATTTTATCCTTTACTTTTATCACATTTTTATGTCACTTAGATATTCTAACATTATTCTAATTTGGTTTTAGTTTATTTTATCCTTTACTTTTATCACATTTTTACGTCATTTAGATATTTTAATATTATTTTAATTCCTTCTATGCCCTAGTCTTTTTAGCTCCAGAGTTTCCTCGTGGGGGCCCTCCACACTGGGAGGTATGTCTGGTCCGCCCCCGGGGGGCGCGGTCCTTGGGATCGTCCAGGCCCAGACGGTTAGGGGGCTCTGCACTGTGTGCAGGGTGCACCCGGGCTGTCTGGGTCGGGGGGTCTCGGGGGCGGTGCTCCCTGTGGGGGTGGGCTGTGGCTCCTCTCGGTGTGGACGGCTCCCATAGGTGGTCTTTCCTTACCAGAATCATCAGTGCCTTGCCATGTTTTTACTGACAGTTACTGTGTGGGTGTGTGGATACGTGTGTGCGTGTATGTGTGTGTGGGGTGGGCTGCTGTGCATGCCTGTATATGCTGCTGTGGGTGGGAAGGGACGGGTTTTATGCCTATTTAAGTGCCCTATATTTACTGTTGTTTGTTTTGTTTTTTCTTTTTTTAACGTTGTTTGTTTTTACCTCTTTGTAAAGCACTTTGTGTTGCAGCTTAAAAGCATGAAAGGTGCTATATAAATAAAGTTTGATTGATTGATTGATACTGTGATTGTTACTCGGTACTCTCACCCACAGATCTTTAACCCATTCACTGTCATAGGTTTTTGTGTGTGTGTGTGTGTGTGTGTGTGTGTTTCTGATTATGACCAGTGATACTTTTCTCACCCGGTGCTCAAACAGTTACTGCATTAAAATTCACAGCTTAATCAGAGTAAGCTCATAATTCGTTTTTTTTTTTTTTTCTCGCCGAATCGGACTTCTCTCCTTGTCCTCGTATACATGCAGCTAAGAAACTTGAATTATTGACGAGACTATGTCCTCCTCCCCAAAACTAGGGGGCGGTATGGGTCTTTTCACCGGCGCTGTGTCCGGTTGACCCAACAACAACAGCAGGTCCATGCCAGACGTCAGAAGTGGCTACAACTGCTGCTGGGCATTTTCGAGCAAGAAGATGGAGCATCATACAGCGTTGTTTATGTCGTACATGATGTACGTGCTACTTTTTCTGCAGATGAGGTGCACGCTACTTCTCTTCTCTGGTGTTTTTGTTCCGCACATGTATTGTCCGATCTTACTCCGACTACGCTGGTTACATGGTAGAGAAAATCGAATTATTTGGGTGTCTTAACCAGAGTTCTCCGACTCCAATCGCAGTTCTCAAACTCTGATTATAGTCAGACAAAGGTGTTTACATGCACTTCAGTTGTCCAGTCTTATTTGGAATAATTCGGTTTTCTCAAGTGTCATGTAAACGTACTGGGTGACTTCCTAAATTTTTGCAGGTGTGCTGCACATCCTTCTGTGTCCACACAGCACTGAGAGAAAAGCCATAGTCCAGCTCTCTGCTGATCCAACAGACATCATGTGATTGACATGAAATGTTCACGGATTGATTAGAATGGAGTGTCACAGTGGTGATTGAGGGTCAGGGGCGAGAACATTGATAAGAGCCCCTCATGTATATCATGGAGCACAGGACAGTTATGATTAATGAAGATCTGTCTCTGTAGCGTTTTCAGACCAGATTCCATTTTGGTGACCCTGGACAGCAGAAGCATGGAGGTAACAGCATTTTTAAGCCCCCGGTACCCACAGTGTAGGGTTCATTTAAGCATATGAAGGCACAGTCAATAAGAGGGTCCGAGGGTCCTCGCTCTGGAAATTTACAGCATTCAAGTGCATACTTGTTTCACATTAGGCTGTGTCTTATTTTCTAAGAGAGCATCCAGGTGGCACTGTGTTGTGTTTCTATATCTTCAAATAGAGTAGAATACTCTGAGAGGACTCTACAGTATTTTATTTTCTAAAGGGACATCCTAGAAGATACGTTTTCAGACATGGGGGCACCAAGAGGGGCAACCACACCCCTGTACCGCCCGCTAAGTATACCTCTGTGATGTCCTGATGTCCACCCATAAGGTCTGTCCTAAAATCTCATGCTGTTAGGGTTAACATCAGCTTTGGGAACTTCCCAGAGAGCATGTGAGACTAAAACTTGGGAGATGGAGCTGATGCTGTGAAAGGTTTCTTTACTCTCAAACTTTCCAAACTAAAGACCAAGGTGTGCTCAGAGTTACTTTCCCTTTTGATCAAAGCCTTTCTTGCAGAAATGGTTCTGACGTGACCATGGTCTGGTTCGAGGCTCAGGTGAGTTTGATTTCCTGAATGCGGAACTTTCACACCTGAGCTGTCAAGGAGGTGAGAGAAGACAAGTGGGAGCGAGTGTCGGCCTCCCCGTGTCGTCAGCTGTGGAAGTCTGAACTCTGAGAAATCCCAGGGTCCCTCTCTGTGGACTGTCGATGCCACCTTTGGCGTGCTGTTTATTTTCTGGTTTCACAGAAGAATTTTAATTCAACTTATCGTTCTGCGACCATGCTGAGCGCTGATTCAGGATACTGCAGTTCTCTGGGTGATTACTGTGTCAGGAAGAGTGAGCTTAAACATCTGCAGCCACCAAGGGAGATGGAGCAGCTTCTGAAAGGCCGTCCATCTGAGCCTGAGCCAAGGACTTGATCAGCAGACCAGTAGGGTCCAACTTAATGGACTGACATGATTAAACCTGCTAAAACCCATGGAGGAAAGGAAGAAAGTTGCTGCACATGTAAATAAATTAAAACCTCTCTCCTCTTAGTGATGCAGCTCAACTTTGGTCTGCAGGTCTTCTAAGAGTCTGTTTTTCTGTCTGAACCACCTCCTGAGAGACCCTCTGGATTAGCATTCTTAGCTGAGAAAGTCCTCCTATTACCCTCCATGCTGTGACAGTTTCTGGAGCGCTGCTCTCCAAGTCTTTCTTTGTTTAAGCCTCTCCTATAAGAGCGAGCCGGCTCTGCACATATGGCTAGTGTCAGCTGTAATTAGCTCTGACAGGGGCATTTAGTGGTTGTAATTCAAATCTAATTCAGAACATCTTAACCCTGAAGTCTGTCAAGATGCTTGAAATGCACATGAACACTCATGGTCCCAATCAGCGCTGCGTTTGTGCGGCAGCATGCTGATGTGTCAACAAGGCCGCTTAGAAAAACAGGCTCAGAAAACAGGATGGTTCAGTCCCATCAGAGCTGCAGCAGGGGCATAGAGGGCTGGATAAATGAGCTGCAGACTCCGTGGTCAGCCCTGATGCTGCAGACTCCATGGTCAGCTCTGATGCTGCAGACTCCATGATCAGCTCTAATCCTGCAGACTCAGCGATCAGCTTAGTTCCTGAAGCCTCCTTGTTCAGCTCCGGTCCCTCAGACTCTGGCAGCTGCTTCACCTTTTGCACTCATCCACACACAACTAAACATCATCTTTTGTAAGAAAACACACAGTCCTGCATCAACAGAGGGGACTAATGGGAACATAGCCGACCTTGAGCTGAGGAGACTCTCAGACCTTTAGCGGCAGTTTTTAATCCGACTGATCTGCACACAACACTTACCCCCCTGCTGTAGAGTCAAGGTCTGAGTTAACTGAGAGATTCTGCTTCAGTTTCAGACCAACACAAAGTTTTCAAACATGCACACAAACAGACCAAAGAGTGTTTTTATTCTCAGAGGTACTCTGAGCTGCTGCAGAGGGTCAGACTGAGGGCACAGTCATTATTCACAGTTATAAATTTATCCCTGACTGACTACAGAAGATTCCTCAAATCACTGAATAACTTTAGTGAGGAAGCTGGAAAAACCAGGATCAGTTACTGCACAAACTTTACTAACTCTATTCATTCATTTTTAATGACACTCAAGTTTATGATTTATCCACAGAAGCAGCACTGTCTATATCTGTCTCTGTCAGTCTTTATGTGTCTGTATTTGTTAGTAGCTCTCTGTGTCTGTACCTGTCTTTATTTTTGTCCTTATCTGTTTGTTTCTGTTTGTATCCCTCTATAAATGTCTACATCTGTTTTGATCGGTCTCTTTCTGTTTTTATCTGTCTGTGTCTATTTGTATTTCTGTCTGTATCTGTATGTCTGCATCTGTCCGTATCTTGTCTGTCATCCATCCCTCAGTTCTCTTGGTGCCCCCCTCTAACAGTCCCCTACACACAAACAGGTTTCAGGGGTACTGAGAGTCCATCTGCTGACCTGCATGTCTCTCTGCTGGTCTCAGTATTTCTGATCTGCTCTCAGGTTGCTGGTCTCTGTGTTTCTGCTCTTCTCTCAGGCTGCTGGTCTCGGTGTTCCTGGTTTGCTCTCAGGCTGCTGGTTTTGGTGACAGGTGATGGATGGAGGCTTTTCTAACCCTGTAAGTGCTCTAAAAACTCATTCAGGCTTTCATCACCAAACACGTCTGTAAGGGGATGTGCTAATAGCCCCTCTTCTATCAAGTTATTTGTATGTCTAAATAATTTCAGAAATTAAACTATTAATCATGGGGAGGGGGCGGCTGACACCAAGCATGCTGAGCTGCTCCTAAATGCACAGTGAGGTGTTTATGGTCAGCTCCGTCAAACTGCTCTAATTGCTTAATTGCTCGTCTGTTGGTGGCTGTTAAAAGTTCCCGTCTGCGCAGAATTTCAGCCGAATTATCCAAAGTAAAACCAAATGTGTGCTTTGAGGTTTTAATAAAGATATGAGAGTGTTTGTAGGTTTTTCTTTGTAGGGCTCCAGGTGGAGGTGCTCACCTTCAGAGGAGAAATGTGTCAAAGAAAAGCGGCTCTCTGTCTGATCCTGGTCTGATCTCAGCAGAGAGAGGAGCTGAGTGGAAAAAGGAGAGATGTTCACCCGTGGAGGTGAGCGGAGGTGTTGCTGCTTCACGCTCCGGCAGCTCTGTGAGGCGTTCACGGCCGCAGCGATCCCACAGTCTCTTTGTTATTACGCAGGTCCAAGTCCAACACAAAGAGATCCAGTGTTTTTGATATGAGTAATGCATTAACCTGCTCAGCAAAAGTTCAGCTTAAACGTATGGGCTTGGACAGCACAAGATTTATGACGATGGCTGAAGAAATTATGCTTTTCTTCCCCCAAAGACACTTTAATTGTGTAATTACTGCCAGCTGCTTTTCATTTAAGGCTGTCTTTAATTAGGGCGAGAGGTCCGCGGTTCAAGCCCCCCCCCCTCCTCCAGGATGATTAGCCAAATCCTCCGCTAAACTCATTTGTTATTCAGGCTTTGCGCGCAGCCTCCCGTCGGGCCGCAGACAGAACCCCGGAGCCCAATTTCCTTCACAGCCGCCCTCCTTATCCTCCACCTCATCAGCAACAATTGTCCTGAAATAAGCAGCAGCATATCTGTGTTTGCTTTCCTTATTAGGCTCCAAATGTAGAGAAAACATATCAGGAGCGGGGAGCCGAGAGGGCCCTGCACCTGATAATCTGAATAAATCTGTTCCATCACATTTTGCCACGGCCTCCTCCAGAGGAGCAGCAGGGGGGTGAGGAGGTGGAGGGTCCAGCAGAGGCCTGGGAGAGCAGGTTTGTGCTTTTCTGCAAGGTAATTGGTGAATTCTTATTCAAGATGTTCCAAACGAAGCATCTGACTGTGAGGACTTTAATTTCTGTCTACAGCAACCAAACCTGGAGGAGGACAAAGAAAAAGAGGGTCTGCAGAGGGGGCATCAGACCACAAACATCTGTGCTGGGTTTGGGAGGAAAACTCAAATGTTTAAAGAATGTAAAAAAATTAAAATAGATAAATAGAAACGTATTTTTTTCTGTTAAAACAGATGAAGGAATAGAGGATGGTCATAATAATGATAATTATAATAATAATAATAATAATCATTATTATTATTATTATTACTATTATTGTTTTCACAAACGTACAGAGTCAGTCTGAGTCAGCTCACAGTGAAAATGAACATGACTACAGAATCATCTGGGTACGTTTGTGAAAACAATAATAATAATAATAATAATAATAATAATAATAATAATATTAATTATTATTATTATTATTATTATTATTATTATTACTATTATTATTATTATTATTATTATTATTATTATTGTTGCTGTTGTTGTTTTCACAAACGTACAGAGTCAGTCTGAGGATTCATTCATGTAATAAGTCAAATGGACCCAGATGATTCTGTAGTCATGTTCATTTTCACTTTGAGCTGACTGGGTAAAATAATTACAGGTTCTTGTGAAAAGCTGCAGGTGTAACTTATCCTTCCTCATTATTTACACTGTTTCAGATATTTGACTGTGAGAGTATTTAAATATAACTGCAGAATAACTCCTTTATCTGCAGTTACTTCTTCATCACATATTCAGTTTTTAATCCGTCTGCATTTTTAAAACATTACAAATTTAAAGCCATCATTAGTGATGTGTTTGTGAAGCAAATGAATACACTGAAATTGGTTTTCAATGACTGGTTCATTGGTTATTCTGGGTTTTTATCAAATGTTTTTCAGCTTCATCATTTGCTCATGGGTTCAAATTTTGTTCAGGTTTACTGTGAGGGCTGAGAGGTTCCCTTTTGCTGTTTGATTTTCTACACTGTTTTGTTTATGCAAAGTGTTTAAAGTACTTTAGAAATACAGTAATGATAATAATAATAATAATAATAATAATAATAATAATAATAATAATAATAATTTGGTTAGTAGTAATAGTAGTCGTAGAAGTAGTAGTAGTAGTAGCAGTAGTAGTAGTATCATCATAATAACCGCGTTAATATCATAATTATGAGATTAACAGTACTAATACAACTGCTTCTAATTATTATTATTATTATGATAATTATAACCAAAAGTGTATGAATAATATTTGAATGCAGCAGTATTGACACTTTTCACTTTGGTTTTTTTCTATGTGTTAAATGGGTCCTGAGTGTGTGTAACACTGTCATGGTCTTTGACTGACCTAGTCACCGCTCTGATTTACTCTTAAATATTGCTCTGTCATCTTTGGTTATTTGAGTATTTTATTAACTATTTTAGTATTTAAATTGATTGATTCTGTTTGATGACTGTAGACTCTAACTGAGTGCTTGGGGTTTATCAACAGTGAGATGTGCCAATCAAAAGTGTTGTTATTGCCATCCATCACAGCTGTTTATCAATGGTGGGCAAAAATGGACAAAAACCCACCAAATGAATTAATCAATAAAATATTTGGAGTTTAGATAAACTAATGCCGACAGCTGTATTAAGGTCTATGAAAGTGTTCCATAGGGCTCTGTATTAGGTCTGAGCTCACTTATAACTCCTGATATTTCTGTTTTTTTGAAGAAGAAAAAACAAAAAAAACAGACATCTTACTTTCAGTGATAAGACGCTACAATTAGTTTGATATTAAGTTCAGAAACAGTACTTTTAGTGTTTCAGCACTTTCAGGTTTAAATTAAGCTTTTGAATGTTGTTTATGAGGTCCTGATGCCCCTGCTGAATATTATGGTCTGTCTGCTGTACTCTTTATAATATAATAATAATAATAATAATAATAATAATAATAATAATAATAATAATAATAATAATAATAATAATAATAATGATAATAATAATAACAAAGGTTACAAACTGAGTTGATATGAGGTTAAACTGAGCCCTGAGGTCACTTCACACTGAGGAGTCATAAATATAAAATATAGAACAATCATCTCACCCTGTTGTTCTGCTGATCTTTATTTTCCCTTTCAGAGAAACAAAATTCAGTCACAGAGAAACTTGGTTTTTATTTGACAGTGAATCAAAAAGTGTGATTATATCGGTAATGATTTCAGTAACGGCCAACATGAGTTTGAACTAAAAGCATTTCTGATCTATATGCACCTTGATACCTCTGTGAATGTAAACCCTGCAGCACTTTCTATCTTGGTAAAGGGTCAAATCACCGATAAAGGGTTTGGAGTCCTCGTCTGAAACCTCTTCAGCGTCTCTCAGACCTCAGCAGAGGGAGCTCGGCTCTGCTTTCCTGATGTTCCTATGTTTCCTAGACAGATATTTAGTCTGCTGTGATGTGATGTAAGTCTCTGCCATTGTTCTCCGGCTGAATGTGGATGTTGAAAGGGTTTGTTGAAAAGTTTCAGAGCCAAGGAGAGAAGCAGAGCCTCAGAGTCGCTCTCAGTGTGTTGAATCTGTATTTATAACCCTGAACCTGGACTTGTGCTCCTATAGCTGTGTGTGTATTACTGTGATGGATATAAATGATGAGGCGTGTTCTGCACCTCGAGGCTGTAAATGTGGTCTTGTCTGAATAATCACATGTCATCCCTCGCTGAAAATAAACAGCAGTAAAGGAAAACAAAGAGGGAAAAACAGAAAAATGACTTTTCTCCCTCAAACCTCTCCAGCCCTCAGAGTGTCTGTAAACGCCACCCTCTCACAACAAAATGAGCCGGGCCTAAGTGCTGCCATTCCTCTGCGTCTGCGGCGGCCCCCACCGGCTAAAAGGTAAACCACCTGACACTGAGTGAGGAGGAGGGTCCCTGGGCCCCTCAACTGTCACATACGTGAATACAAATGCTCTCTTTTTTCCTACCAGCCATTTCAGCTCAAAAAGAAAACTCCAGAATAAAAAAGGCATATCAGGAGATGCTGCCCCTTTTTTCATCATGCTTTGGGCCTGTCTGTGTGTGTGTGTGTGTGTGTGTGTGTGTGTGTGTGTGTGTGTGTGTGTGTGTGTGTGTGTGTGTGTGTGTGTGTGTGTGTGTTTGGTTGACAGCTCTGACAGAGGCTTGATATTTTACTCATGGAAATGATGCCCTCACCCAGCCATCAGCGTCGCACAGTCTCCCTGGGTGTCCATCAGCGTTGGAGGAGGAATAAAAAGGTTGTAAAAAGGATGTTTTTCATGCTAGAGTGGCCGAGCTGGGGTGGGGTGTTAACGGGGGGAGGGAGAGGGGTAAGGGTAGTGAGGAGTGACATACATGTGATTACCTATGCATTAGAGCAGATGATGAGGGCCTTACAGCTCAGGATGCTTCAAAAGAGCTGAAACATTATGCAACACAGCAGCAGCAGCACTGTTTATCTAAAGCATATGGTTTTCCTGCTTTCCTAATGCTGCCGTACACACGAACCGTGTGTGTGTTACACACAGGAGTTGTAATTTCACAAGGTTTTAAAGGAACATTTCATTTAGTTATTGCACCTCAAACAGTCTGCTGAAACAAAACTCAAATTCTACCTCCATGTAATGCTGAATGGACTAGACTCTCCATTAAACAGGTCCTGATCCATTCAACAGGAGGACTGGGTCCTCCTGTATAGTGTGGGTGACATGAAATAAGTGTTGCTTGTGTATGCTCGTGTTGTCTCTGGTCAGTGGTCCCTGTTTGCCTGTTTGGTTACCACTGGTCATCAATATTTCATTCATTTGTTTCATTTATTGGTGTTTTTGTGGATGCAGATGAGCAGATGCAGAACTTCAGTCCAAGATTGGATACCAAGGAGACAAGAAAGAAGATCATGTTGTAAGTTTAGTGTCTGGCATGTCGAATCACGACATATCTTATTGGGGCCACAGGGCAAATGCACCGAGGCACTGGCCCCTATACAAAAGTATAGGGCAAGTGGATTTTTTTTTTACTCCTGTTCCAGTCAAATTTTGATTCGCTTCTAGTCTTACAGTTTGAAGAGTTGTAGGACAAATTATATATCAAAATGTGCGGTTTGATCGTGATCTATTTTTATTGTATACACATTTTTGCGATGTAAGTCCAAAAAAGGGGCAATATTGGAGTTTTTCAAATGTCTTCTGGTTTTGCTCCTTTTTTATTGTGTGGTAAAAAAAAATACTTGAAAAAGGAATGTTAGTAGTAGGTATGCTTCTTGTATTTAATATCACAATGCTACTAGTATTCATTTTTTTTAAATCTCTGAAAAATGGTGGTGAAACCATGGTGGAAACCATGGTAATAGCCCCTGTTGCCCTATAAAAAATTTCACAGAGGTCTGGTCTGGTTGTATATTACTGTACTTCATATCATATCATATCATATAACACATATTGTATCATATCAAATTACATGTATCAAAGGATATCACATCATCTTACATCATAATGCCATGTATCATACAACATCATATTATAATGCATCACACATGGTATTTTAAAGTAATACATTAAATTGTATTTTATCATTTTGAATTTGACCACATTGTAATGTATCATAACATGTTTCTTATTGAATTGCATCATAATGTAACATGTATCATATCGCACCATCTTTCATTGTTATGTAAAGTATTATATCTTGCTGTAACCTAATGCATTGTACTGCATAATATCCTGATGTAATGTCACACTGTTACATGAAAGTGTGTTCTATCTAATCCTATTGTAACATATCACATCTCACGGTATCCTATTGTGCTGCATCCTGTAATTATCAGCCTATCACTTGACTGACTCACAGAGACACTTGACCGCTTACACACTCAAACCTACAGACAGTTCAAAGAAACTATTAACCAAACTTAATTTTATTCTTCTACATCACGACAAAGGTAGAGGAACTACAGAAAAACCCACAGAGGTTGAACATAGAGTAAAAGCCTGAGAGTTCACTCAGAGAATAACTCCTCTACAAGAGTCGTTTCTATTACACCACCACAATGTACATTATTCTTCAGATATTTCTGACCATAAATTCATCCTGTCAGGTAAACATGCTCATTTCCAGGCCCTGTGGTTCTCTGAACTAGCTCCATCAATCACACCGTAAGCCTCAAGTCTCAGCTTTCAGGAGCTTAACTCTGAGCTGGAGGGCAGAAAAGGTTAGATGACAGTTAGGATCAGCTGATCGGGCTAAGGTAGATGGGTTGGTGAAGAAATGGAAGAAAAACAGCTGATCTTTGTTGATTTATAGTAAAAAAAAAAATACAGCTGATTTCATAATATCATAATTAATGATGCAGGAGACCACCAGTCTTTTGAAATTTTTGATAGAGAAACAGCAGATATTTATTGATTTATGATGGAAAACAACAGCTGATATTTGGTGATTTATGATGTGGGGAAAAAAAGAGCTCATCTTTTTTGATTTATGATACTAAAAACAGCTGATCTATTTTGATTTATGGTACTAAAAACAGCTGATCTATGTAAATTTTTAATGGAGTAAAATCACCTGATATTTGTTGATTTTTAATGGAGAAAAATCAGCTGATCTTTGTTTATTTATGATACAGGAAAAACAGTTGATCCTTTATGATTTGTTAAGTTTCACTGGTTTTAATGTTTTTTTAAAATGTACACTCTGATCTTCAAAGCTGACTTGAAGCTCTATCCAGAGAGTAAAAACAAGAAGACTCTACTGCAACAAAACATTATGAAGAAAATAACTTGACTTATTTTTGTTGCATATTTTCTATTTTGAAGAAAAATGGCTGCAGCCACCTCCATGGAGCTTCTGAGGTTTGATAAAACATGATTTTTAAAGATACCAATTGGATTCACTGTTAAAATTTTGAACTTCAAAAGCAAGAGTGCTCGATCCCCATAAAAACTGTTATATTTGTAATAATAGAGGTACATGGACATACTTGGCTGCTTTTTATAGGTAAACTTAAAAGTTCGACATGGAACATGTTAAAATCAGCCCCTCTATTCACTTCCGAGGTATTTTCATAAATCCTCATGTAGCACTGAAGACATTAAAATCTTCAGTCTCCGATCACTGAGACTCTCCTGACTACACACTGCAGAAATGCAAAGACCCAGTTTTTCTCCTAATGGAGAGAAGGATGAAGTGTTGTCTGAATAAACTTTGCTCTGCTGTGTAGCAGATATACAATCCCCTGCCAGGATCTTTTGATCCATTTATGTGAAGCTTTTCAGCAAGCAGAGTTATCAGTGATTGTCCACATATCATACTCATAACAGTTAAGAGGGAGAGGCTGCTGTGCAGGCCTGATGGCTGTTTTCAGATACCTCATTAAGATTCCTACAACTTCATCACCTTTTCACGTGTTCACATGTGTTTTAGGAATCAGTGTTCTGTAACCTGAGAGAGAGTTTTTTTAAAAAAAAACACGTCATTAGGAGGTTAAGGTGTGCAGCATGGAAAATACTGAGCTGTGCATAACAGCAATTATCCCAGTTTAATAGATATGCCTCAGTCTGAACGCTGCTCCAGGTCCAGGAGTTTGAAGCTCCGAGTGAGCCACAAAAAGCGACCTTCAGACCGATTTCATCTGCAGTCTGATCTCAAACACTAAAACCAGCTCAGGGTCACGTCACAGGACCTACAATCTGTCAAGTTTTACAGTCAATAATATGTCAAATAAAGACAGCTGTTTGAGTTCGAGATACTGTATTATTGATGGCTGCTTAGCTAAAAGAAACACCAGGGGCCTCAGGACCACCAAATTAAGACCTCCTCACAGAAACTTCCAGATGAACTCCAAGTCAGGTTTCTTTTACTGTTCAAATGAGGTTAACATCAACACAAAAAACTCAACACTGGGGCTGTCACATAATTATCTTTTTCATTGTGATTAATCACTGAATTTATATCATGAACAGCCATTAATCACATTTTAATCATGTGAGTAAAATTCCAGTGTTTTGCATTTTAACACTAGTTTTCATACCAATGTGAAGCTATTCAAAGATGAAGTCAATGGAATGTTCTTTTTGATCTTGAGATTTTAATAATCAAAGTGGCTGCTAAGAATATTGAGTAAAATGATGACTGATTTGAATATTCATATTATTATGGCCTATATGAGGGTAATAAATCAGTGGATCAGCTTGGGCTCTCTAAACTGAGTCATGGATATTTTTAGACACCTCGTCCTGCAGCGTTCAGGGTACAGATGTTTGTCTCCAGGTGAATGAACATGGTCTCCTCTGGTCTTCTAAAGCTCTGACATGGATCCCTCTCTCTGAGTTCTGGACGCTGTCTCTGCTCTGTTCTCTGCAGATGCTGAGCCTTGCCTTACTCTGCCTTCACTCCCATGAAAAGTCTCATTGTTGTGAATTAATGTTCAAAAAGGACAGAAGAAAGAAAAACAACATTCAAAGAGAGAAAGGGAGGGAGGAGGGATCCTGATTTTTACAAACTGCAGACCTCCAGAACTAAAAGTTTAAAGAAGTCCCCTGATAGTTCCCTTTAGGAGCGGCTTGAAGTCCTTGTCTTGTAATAATATATAATGCCTGCTTGGGTCATCTGCAGTGGAGCGGCGGCCATGACCTCGGCCAATTACAGACAGGCATCAGCGAAGCCTCTCCTTACAGCAGCCCCATCTCCTGATGTACAGAGTAATTCTCTGCCTCTTCAGCCAGTCTGAGGCTGACACTGCAACTCCCCGGTGTTTGGCTTTTTTAGAAACAGCTGGGTTTAAAGAAAGAGGGCATGGGCCACCAAAGTCCTCACATAACTGGATTGTTAAAGTCTGGCTGAGGTGGACCGGGTGGTGAGACCTGCTGGGGGTCTGACAGATGTGCAGAGCTTGTTTTTTTTCTTGCAGGCATGTTTCTCATTTGTGTTTCAATTTGTTAATTCAGCTTACACTCATGAAGCATTGCTCGCTGAGCTGCTTGCCAAGTTGACGGTGGTGGTAGTATGATTGGAGACCCTCAGAGGGGCCGGTTCAGTGTTTTTTTCCTCCTCTGCTGGGAGCTCTGGAAGGCCGGCATAAAGGTATCTGTGCAACCTGAACACTGACACCATCATGTCTGTCAGGACACCCAGAGAGTCTGACAGAAGACCCAGCTGACTGTTTCTGACAGTAAACATATGATCCCTGTTTTCAGTCTTGATCCTCCAGGATTTATAAGTGCTTGTCCCTGAGCATCCTGAAGTTTTTACAGGGTTCACAGGACCTTTATTAGCTCCAGCTGCCTGACGGATCCTGATCTGCAGGTCAGCATGTTGGGAAGCTTTCAGGTGAGTTGAGTTAACAAATAAAGACGGAATCTTTCTCCAAACCCAGAAAGTTACAGGAAAGTTACAAGAGGAAAAATCAGGATTTCCAACCAGAGATTCAAAACATAAAAATGAAGACTCAAATCCCGATCCAGATCCAGGCAGGAATAATAGTCCATGCTATATTATTTTAAACCTAGTTTGTCCTGCCATAACAGAAAATACAGTATTTATAGACTTAAATCTAAATTCTGCCAAACAGTAACTTTGGCACTGTATGATTTAGCCAGTACAACTCCAAAATACTTTGCACTGAGTGTTTACAGAAGGAAGTCATTTAGCTCCACAGGTCTTTGAGAGGCTTTAACAAACAAGCGAGAAATGAGAAATACATGAAAACACAAGGAAACAAAAACTATACAGTTAAAATACCAGAACCCAGCTGAGAGAGACTGATAAAAACTGTAATATTTGATATAATATTTAAGAATGTGTATATATTTCAATTTAAATTCAGTTTTATTTATTCTGATCTTATTACTAACACATTGTTATACTATTTTGTTTTTGTACAGCTGACTGAAAAGTAAAAATTCAAGACTACCTGTCTTGCTCCTGTACAAAAGGCAATAAGCCTCTACTTTGATCTGTTTTATTCGATTGAATTCTATTTTATTCGGCTCTATTCTGTTCAAATTTGATTTTATTCTTTTCTCTTCTGTTCTTCTGTTCTACTTCTATTCTATTATGTTGATTCTGTTCTATTTTATTGTCTTCTTTTCTATTTTATTTCTTTCTATTCTGTTATAGCGCTAAGGGACTGTTTTAAATCAACAGACTGGAATGTACTGCTGGAAACAGATGTGGATAGAACACTGACAGACAGGTTGACTGCTTTACTGAATATGTCAACTTCTGTAGAGACACAGTTATACACACAAAGACTGTTCGCTGTTTCCCGAACAACAAACCTGGATCACAAGAGACATACACTGTGTGCACAATTATTAGGCAAGTTGTATTTTTGAGGATAAATTTTATTTTTGAACAACTACAGTGCCCTCGGTCAATCCAAAATGTTAATAAACCTCAAACCTTAATATTTAAGGGAGTAAAAGTGAGATTTTGGCTTCCTTAGGAGAATATCTATGTGTGCACAATTATTGGGGGCAGCTATTAGTGTGCAGAATTATTATGCAACTAAATTAAAAATGAAAAATTTTCCATCTCACTTGTTTATTTTCACTTGTTAAAGTGAGAATGATAAACAAACAACTCAAAATTTACAAATAAAAATTGTTGAAATTTAAAAAAAAAAATCAGTGACCAATATAGCCACCCTTATTTTCATCAACAGTCATAAGCCTTTCATTCATGAAGTCTTTCAGTTTCTTGATCTGTTGACGATCAACTTTTTGTGTTGCAGTAACCAAAGCCTTCCAGACACTGTTCCAGACACTGTTCAGAGAGGTGTACTGTCTTCCTTCACTGTAAATTTCCCGTTTAAGAAGGGCTCACAAGTTCTCAACAGGGTTTAGGTCAGGTGAAGAAGGAGGCCACGTCATTATTCTTTCGTTTTTAAGGCCTTTACTGGCGAGCCACATAGTGGAGTACTTTGTTGCATGCAATGGAGCATTGTCCTGCATAAAAATCATGGTTTTCTTGAAAGATACAGACTTTTACCTGTACCACTGCTTGAAGAAAGTGTCTTCTCAAAACTGGCATTGGATTTGGGAGTTGATTTTAAGTCCATCTTTAACCCAAAAGGTCCAGCTAGCTCATCTTTAATAATTCCATCCCATACCAGTACCCCGCCTCCACCTTGCTGGTGTCTGATTCGAAGTGGAGTTCTGTGCCCATTACTGATCCAGCCACGGGCCCATCCATCTGGTCCGTCAAGAGTCACTCTCATCCCATCAGTCCATAAAACCTTTGAAAAATCTCTCTTCAGATATTTCTTGGCCCAGTCTTGACGTTTCAACTTGTGTCTTGTTCAGTGGTGGTCAGATTTCAGCCTTTCTTACCTTGGCCATGTCTCTGAGCACTGATCATCTTGTACTTCTGGGCACTCCAGGTAGGTTGCAGTTCTGGAATATGACAGCACCGGAGGATAAGCGATTCCTGGTAGCTTTACGTTTGAGTCTTCTCAAATCTTTGGCAGTTAATTTGCGTCTTTTTTTCTTAACACATTTCTTGCGACCCTGTTGACTATTTGCATCAAAATGTTTGCTGATTCTGTGATCACGCCCAAATATCTAAGTGATTTCAAGAGTGCTGCATCCCTCTGAAAGACTTTTTACATTTTTTGACTTTTCAGAGTCACTTAAATCTCTTTTTTGGCCCATTTTACCTAAGGAAAAGAAGCTGCCTAATAATTATGCACACCTTGATATAGGGTTTTGATCTCCTTAGGCCCCAGCCTCCCTCATTACACTAATACACATTAACTGATATGCTTATATCCAATAAGCATTCAAGTTTCTACAGCTTGGAGTTGGAAAATATGCATAAAAATGATGATATGATCAAAATACTCACTTGCCTAATAATTGTGCACACAGTGTAAAAGCAATCCTTAACCAGAAAAAGAAAGTTTTTAAAGATGGTGACAAAGAACGACTCAAACAAGTGCAACAAGAGTTGAAGAGGAGACTGAAGATGGCAAAGCTGGAGTACAAAAAGAAGATAGAGAATAATCTACAACACAGCAACATCTGTGAGGTGTGGAGAGGAATTAGTACCATCTCTAGACACAGCAATAAATAGAAAAGACAGCCAGTGGTGGGTGATCTGGAAAGAGCTGATGAACTCTACCTGTTCTTCCACAAGATTTGACACTCCCACTTTGTTACACCCACTTACCTGCTTCTCCACCTTCCTCTCTGCAAAAAATCTCCACTACAACTGCTCCCCTTCCTCCTGCTTAAAGACTGTGCTGCAGGGCTTTGTCAACCTCTCCACAGGATCATCAACCTGAGTCTACAGCTGGGGCGAGTACCTGCTCTGTGGAAAACATCCTGCATTGTGTCAGTACCAAACACAAAATGTCCTGCTGAACTCAATGACTGCAGACCAGTGGCCCTCACTTCACACATCATGAAAACCCTGGAGCGGCTGATTCTACACCGTCTGAGGTCTGAGGTCAGAGATAAACTGGATTCTCTGCAGTTTGCACAGAAAGAACACATTGGAGTGGATGATGCTGTCCTCTACATACTTCACTGTGCCCTGTCTCATCTGGAGGAGCCTGGGGTTTATGTGAGAATCATATTCTTCGACTTTTCAAGTGCATTCAACACCATCCAACCTACCATACTCAAAAACAAGCTCACAGAGATGGTAGGTTGGGAGTGGATCCTTCCTGTGTTTCCTGGATCACAGATTACCTGACAGGAAGGCCACAGTTTTTCAGGCTGGAGAACTGTGTTTCTGGGACATTAATGAGCAGTACAGGGGCTCCACAAGGGACAGTGCTGGCGTCATTCCTGTTCACACTGTACACATCAGACTTCAAATACAGCACTTAGTCCTGCCACATCCAGAAATACTCAGATGACGCTGCTATTGTGGCACGTATCAGAAATGAACAAGAAGTTGAATACAGAGATCTGATAAGAGCCTTCAGTGACTGGAGTCACAAAAACTGCCTCCTCCTCCTCAACAGCTCAGAGCCAAAGGAGATGGTCATAGACTTCCGTAGATCCAAACCCCCTCTTCAGCCAGTGAACACCTGTGGAGTGGACATCGCGGTGGTGACATCATAAAAATACCTAGGTGTACATCTGGATAATAAGTTGGGTTGGTCTAAGAATATAGACTACATCTACAGAAAGGGGCAGAGCCGCCGTTTTTCCCTGAGAAGACTCTGATCATTAGACATCTGTGGTAAGATGCTGCAGATGTTTTATCAGTCTGTGGTGGCAAGTGTTCTGTTCTACGCTGCAATCTGCTGGGGAGGAAGCATAAACCACAAAAATGCAAGACGTTTTGACAAACTGGTGAAAAGGCTGGCTCTGTGGTTGGACTCAAGCTGGACTCAGTGGAGGATGTGGTGGAGAGATCTATACTGAGGAAGGTGGAGTCTATTCTTAAGAACATGGATTACCCACTTCACAACACCTTGATGGACCAAAGGGCAAATGGTGGTGGACGGCTCCTCTCTCTTTGCTGCATGACAGAAAGATTCAGAAGATATTTTGTACCAACAGCCATCAGACTTTATATCTCTTGTGTAAATAATAGAAAACTTTTAGAGAAATATTATGTGAGACAACAGACAATTGAATTTCTCTTCAGGGGTGAATAAAGTTCTTCTTATCCTTATTCTATTCTATTATATTCTTTTTTTCTATTCTATTCTATTCTTTTCTATTCTAATTCTATTCTGTCTGGCTTTAATCTATTCTATTCACTTGTATTTTATTCTATTACGTTGTGTTCTGTTTTTTCTATTCCATTATATTCTGTTCTTTTTTCTATTCTTTTCTTTCCTGTTCTATTCTATCATGTTCTGCTCTTTGCTTTATTCTGTTCCATTCTTTTCTTCTCTATTCTTTCTATTCTATTATGTTTGGTTCTGTTTTTTTTGTATTCTACTCTTTTCTACTCTGTTCTATTTTATTCTTTCTGTTCTATTTTTTTGCGTTTTTTTCTTATTTCTCTTTGATGTTTCATTTTCAACCTCATTTGTAGATGCAGTAATGAACTGTGATCACTGACAATTGTTTTTCCAAGTGCTACACAATTTTACTGGTTGAAGAGTGTCAAATGGAACCAGGTGGCACCAAATCTATGTAAATTTCAATGAAGGCCTAGCTCTGGTCTTTTTGTGCAACCATGGTCATGAGCTTCTTTTTAAAATTGATTATATCTATGATAAAACAGGTTTTGTTGTTTAACCTTCATTGCTCTTTTGACTACATTGAGCGGGATGATTTGCTTATTTACAGATCTGTCTCAACATGTAAGTAGATGGGAAAAGTCTTTGTAGGCCAGAGTGCATCATGGGACTGACCCAGATGTTGTTTTAAGATTTGGACACAATTTTGAATCTTCAAAGCGTTGGAACAATTCCCGGGGGCCTGGGTTCATGGTTTTACTCTACACTGTGATTTTTAGTGATAAATCCTTTAATTTAGTCTTCAAAAAATTCAGTATACAGGAATTGCATTCTTCCACTCTTCTACACTCTTTTTATACAACCCTATTTCCAAAAAGTTAGGAATTTAAATGCAGAAAATTGTTTGTAAAAAGTAGTTTCAGGCTCATGTTTCTTATCGGTTTTCACCAATCCTCTGTTGACTTTAGTGAATCCAGCAGACCACATTCTGGAGTCTGACAGTCAAATGTTGTCCAATTCCTGCCTGATAGAGTTTTCAGCTGCTCAACAGTTCAGGGTCTCCTTTGTTCTGTTTAGGGTGTCATGATGCTCCAAATGTTTTCAATGGGGGACAAGTCAGGACTGCAGGCAGACCAGTTTCTTAGCAGGACTCTTCTCCTACAGAGCCATGCTGTTGTAATCCCTGTTGTCAGAATATGGTTTGTCAATCTTTTTTTTTTTGTTCCATTGTAGTCTATCTATTCTATTCTATTATGTTGTGTTCTGTTTTTTAACCTTTTTTATTTTACTCTGTTTTGTTTTATTCTGCTCTATTCTATTCTTTTTTTCTATTCTATTCTATTCTATTCTATTCTATTCTATTCTATTCTATTCTGTTTTGTTCTATTCTGATTTGTTCTATTCTATTCTGTTTTTTTCTATTCTATTCTATTCTATTGTGTTCTGTTCTTTTTCTCTAATTCATGGTTCATTTTTAATCTCTTTTGTAGATGCAGTGATGAACTGTGATCACTGACAATGGTTTTGAAGTGATTTTGAGTCCATGCAGTGATTTTCCCTGCAGAGTCCTGCCTGCTTTTAATGCAGTGCTGCCTGAAAACCTGAAGATCAGGATCACTGGGTCTTGGTTTTGGTCCTTGTTCCTTGTATACAGAGATGTACTGTGTTATGTCTAAAAGCCTTCGACAAACATGGTGACTATCAAGTTTAAGGTTTTCTTCATGAAGTCGATCAGACTTCAAAGAAAACCATTGAATTTCTTCCTCATCTACATTTCTCCTGGTGCTCTGATTCTTTTAGGATCAGAAATGTTAAAACGATTAAACTTGTCATAGGAGTAAATTGTCAGTTTGATGCCCCAACATTAGTATTTGTGGTAAATATGATTAATAGGGTAAGAAAGTCTTTTCTGACCAGGATTAATGATATGACTGATCAGACATTGTTATTTAAACAGCCTGCCCCAAAGATCAAACCCTCTTCAGATCTGGACTCATTTGAGGTCAAACTGAAGTGTCTCATGTCTCCTCTCCGTCATCACTGTAAAGCTGTTCCCTTAAAAATTTGTACAATTTGAAGGTTTTTCAGACTCCTCCAATGTCAACAATGTTTCCTGGCAGCAGGTTTCTTCTCTCTGTTTCTCTGAGTGATGTCTGGCTGTTCAGAGTGACATTTTGTTTCTCAGAGTTTTTGGACAAAATGCTTAATCTTGCCCTGTGTCTCTAATGAAATAAAGGTGTTTTTTATTCTTTAAAACTCAAATGTGTTGGTCCAAAAACAACGACCTGGTTACTTCCTTTAATCTTCTCTGTCATCAGCTGTTGGACAGACTTTCTCTCTGCTAGACTGGAGCTCCAACAAAAACTGATGTCAGGGATGGATTATCCAAAAGTTCAGTTTTCCTTTCCCACAAATAAGAGCTTAATTTCCCAGAAATCTGAGAGATGAATATCTCAGATTTTCAGCAGAGGACCGATCGATCGAGCGAAGATGTTTTTCTGTCTCTATTTTTTAGATAAGGGTGGAATAACTTTGCTGTGATGGAACTTTGAAGCTGCTGTCAGGGGAGGAAGGAGTTGACTGAAGGCTCTATTTTCGTGATCGTCCAGCGGAGCCCGGAGTACAGCCAGTTTGGTATTTTCATGGACTGATAAATCCATAAATAAAATAAATCAATATTTATTTACGTTTTTATTACGTCATACATAAATTAAATATTAGCAGCATCTTCAAGTATTGTTTTAAATTATTATATAGGGGTAAACAACGGATGAATTGGAGAGTCTGTTGACTCCGTTGTATGTGTAGCCTTGCTAGCTCGAGGCTATTGACTCTATCGTAATCATAGACTGTATATAAGATGGACACCGTGGTTCCGCCTTCCGCCTGTATACGGATTTGAAGCCAAAAAGCTCTCGGTAATTCTGGGTTTTTCTCCACTTCCTTGAAACCAGAGCTGTGCAGTAGCGTTGTGCGCATTCGGCCGCGCAGTCGCCGAGAGTCCCTGTGATGACGCTCGGCTCAAACAGCGTATTCCCCCGGAAGAGCTACGCAATCCCTGAACGCCCATAGGCTGTACCAGGTGTCAATCATAGAAAACATGAACCCCCTAATAACTTTTAAAAACGGAGCTGTACAGAATAAAAAGGACTTGGGCACAAACCAGTCTTACTGTAACTATATGTCAACATCACAACCGGGGGAGAAAAAATTATGTTCTGTGTAATAAATTTCTAAAGTTTGTCCACAGTCCCATAAGCTTTGCTGGCGGAGGCGGGATTTATGACCTGTACTGCAGCCCACCATCAGAGGGTGCTGTTCTCGGAGTGGCTTCACCCAGCGAGGAGGCAGACTCTGTCCATCTTATATACAGTCTATGATCGTAATAAAGTCCCCCTCCTTTGTCTTATCATCACTGAATCTCTGCAGCTCTCCCTCCGTGTGTGTGTGTGTGTGTGTGTGTGTGTGTGTGTGTGTGTGTGTGTGCGTGCATGCATGCGTGTTCATCGGGAAAAAATAGACCGACAAGCAACACCGTAAATCCTTTTTTTCTAATTTATTAAAATATATTTTATTTTGAAAATTGACCAGATTCTCTCGCATCTCCCTTTCCCGACTTCCTGGCTGGTCTGATCTGCTCTGTCCAGCTTTACAATTGGCGCTTGCGACGCGCGCGCTGTGTGAACTGTCACATAGGTTAACATGGGCGCCGATCCGAAACTCGGTGCGCGGCGCTTCCGCGTGCGGTGCTTCCTGTGTGAACCAGGCGTAAGACGTAGCAAGGGAGGAGAGAGGGCGTGGAGTGGGTTTAACACAGCCGAGACCTGTATTGGCCAATAACATCAGCTCCTCTCGTTGCCTTAAATCCGCACATATTAAAGTTGCATATATTCAAACCTCACGTGACAAAGGTGTGTTGTGCGCAGAGATCACAACATAAACTCCAATAATGGCATTAAAATCGGAACCATCTGTGCGTAATGACGCATCGCGCTCCGTGGCCTGGCTCTTTCTTTCATAGATGTTGGCATATAAAATAAATTTGGCTCACAAAACTGAATATTATAATATTCGTATGTTGGCTTAAAGTAAATAACTCATCTGATCACTGAAACAAATCATCTGTTCAGCCGCCGCAGCAGCAGCTGCAGCAGGACGGGGAGAGGACAGGAGACATGTCCAGGTCGAGCTGTGAGAAATAAGAGGAAGAGGAAAAAAGAAAAGGAGGGAGACGAATTACATATCTTGTTCACTTCATCATGTGTGTCTATTTACTAGATATTTAATTAAATTTAATTTAATGCGGCTTCAGCTGTGTTAATTTGGTCAGGTTGTGTGTCCAAACGCGTGCCAAACGCGCTCATCAGATAAGATATAGATCAGAATATATCTATATAGATCTAAATGTATGTGCTGACTCTGATTATTAGTTGTTGATGATTATTTATTGCACTGAAATGTGCCTGACACTGTGGAAACCTGCCGGTGAGGTATCGGTGACGTATGCCGTTATGTCACAGGTCTACCAAAATACCACTAGACCAGCTGCGCTCCGCCTGCACTGAAAGCTGACCAGGTTTGAATCGGCGAGCTTTCAGCGCACTTTATACGACGGTGGCGAGCAAGAAAATGTCACTGCGCCTTCTGATACTGTCGACACCTCTCCCTACCACGCCCAGCTTGGCGGATCTCGGTTCGCCTCAGTCCACGAAAATACCAAACTGGCTGTACGCCGGGCTCCGCCGGACGAAAATATAACTGCGCGGGGTCCGCCACCCTTCGCCACCTTACCGGCGTACACGAAAATAGAGCCCCTTGTGTCCACTAATGCTGAGAGACCAACACACGCAAATTCAAAGCCTAAAGGGTTAAAGCATCAGTGTGCTCTTGTGCTGTTTGCAGACATTCAGATTTAAGGTAATTGGGCATTTATGTTGTTGGCTTTTTGCAGATATCAAATGAGCTGCTATGTGTTCAATGTGTCTGATTGGCTGATGCTGATGTAAACAAACCTTTTAGTTTCTCAAGTCTTGGTTTTTGGCCAGAATTGACCTAATACTCTTATTCTGGTGGCATTTGTGGATTAGAAACAAACAGGAATGTCAGAGTTTGGAAGACATGACCCATGTTTTAGGAAATATTAGATATTGGTTTGAATAATTGATCCTTAAAGTCTTTGCATCAGTCATTTTTTCATTTTCATTTTCCTGCTGTCAGACCGAATGTTTAAAACCATGAGGTGTGTTTCGGTTTTTGGACTTTGAGCATTGTGATAAATTTGTTTTGTGAAATCTTTATGATTTCAGGCCATGTCTGTACAGCTCTGACGTCGCAGTGATGGAGGAGTTCAATCAATCGTTTATTTGGCATTGTCATAAAATAACAACCAAATTCCGCTGGAGCGTACAACCTTACATAGCATAATGTCGTCCAAAAGGTCAGAACCTGCAGTGATTAGGACAGACAGATTGAGAGAAGAAACATTTACTCTGTTTGATACTGGTAGCAGATCTGTATGTCTCCACAAACATCGCATGAACCCTTATTTTTCTGGAGTATCAATGGTTTAGTGTTTGGAAACACTAACTGCGGTTTGAACAGGAAGAATTCCTGGAGACAAACAAACATGTGAGCTGTAAACAAACAAGGTTGTGAGGCCGAGATCTTTTTAATCAGACTGCGTATTAACCCGACTGGGCCTTTTTATGAGGCCAGCGGCAGTGGTCAGTATGCTCATGACTCTGTGTTTACGCCGTTTCTGCTGTGATGATTGCATATTTACGTGTGTACTCCTCTGTAATGTGGCGGCGAATTACATCACACTCCTGTGGTTTTTCAATTACCACAGTGACAGGCCGGCCAGCAGTAATGACCTGAGAGTGCCCGGCTCTGCTCAGCTGCTCCCTTAAACCAGTTTGACTTTGGGTGTCTGTCAGAGCAGCCTGTGTTTACATTGAGCTCTAACAGGAGGGGGTCTACGCCCTGTGTGAGGTACTCTGGTTCTGCTGACAGCTCGCCAAGGCTGCCTGCCGCCTCAGCCCTTGCTCATCCTCCACATACTAACGCTGCCTGATGGACACGGATAATGGAGCAATATCTGTGTCAACAGCCGGCCATAATGTTGCAGATCTGCTGCATTTGGAAGGAATGCAACTTTCTGAAAGAGCTATCGTTTTTCCTTCACAGGCCTCATCAACGCTAACGCCCCAACCCTGCTGCCCTGGAACAGAATTCAGATGAAGTGGTCCCATTTTGAGCCTATCCCTCCCATCCCCGTCCTACTGATTTGTAGTTAAATCATGGCTGTCAGTGTAGTAGCCTTGATTAAAGTTCAGGGGTTTAATAGATCATTTTAAATAACCCCCAATTACTCCCCTCTCCCAAGCCCATCCACCTGGATCCCTGCCCTGGGTGCATGGCAGTCTTCAACCAACGCGGGGGCGAGCTAAGTCCAGCCTCGTGGTTCCTGTCTATTCCCTGCGGACATTGCGCTGCAGGCCTCCACCGACATTCTCAGCTGTGTTCAATCTGCTCTGAGACATGCTGGCTATGAGAAAAGGCCAAGTGCGCGCGCACACACACACACACACACACACACACACACACACACACACACACACACACACACACACACACACACACACACATTCATCCAGGGGGAGAGATGTGGAAAATCCTGGACAGTTAGTGAGCTTTGTTCACTTGGTTCAGCTGGAATCTGTCCAGAAACACCCTCACACACACACACACACACACACACACACACACACACACACACACACACACACACACACACACACACACACACACACACACACACAGAGCTCCCAGGTGACTGGAGTCCGCTCCAATTAATCCTGTTTAACCAGTCTAATCACACTTTAGCACATTAATCCTATTTTCCATCTAAAACACATCAGCAGGCTCCGCCCATTCGCTGCTCTCACTCTATTTTTTCTTCTTCTCTTTTTTTTCTCTTTTAAAAATATTATTACTATTTTTTTATTGCCACCGCAAATCAGATGAAACCCAGAGCCGGCAGCTCGGCCTGCACTCTCACTGAACTCAGACTTTTAATCACTTTTGCCTTTTTTCCGGCTCAGCTCAGAGGTTGGATTTATAGCATGATGCTGATGCCTTCACTCAGAATACATCCCTGCAGAGCTGAACAATTACCTCTGCTGAGGTAATAAGTAAAAGGAGCAGTGAGGAAGTGCAGTTTTCCCCCCTCACGCTGATTATGTTGTGTTTCTGTGTATGCCATGGATACGGTCGCAGTATCTTATCAGTTTGACATCTTAAGTCAGCCAGACAGGCAGATAATTTGAGCTACATCCATCTGCAGGAGGAGCCCCCCTGGAGGCGGGTCATGATTCAGTATATCTAGACCCTCATTTAATGCTCAGCTGTGTAATTTCACTGCGGATCATCTGGAGGCTGAGAGTTATCAGGAAGAGGGAGGTTGTTGTTCTCTTAAATTACCTCTTCAGGGTCCGTACATTTTAGAAAGTCGGGTTTCTGCCTCTTTACTGCCGTGCTGAGGTGTTTAGCGCCCCCTGAGGCTCCTCCTGGAAAGCCCTGGAAAAATCACAGATCTCACCTCTCCTGGAGCTCCTGAAAGCCTGCGGCCGGGGGTCCTGTAAAAGGTGCTGGTGCATCGATAATTGAGCCCCGCAAAGCAAACAGAGCGTCAGAAATGGTGTTTTTAATAGGCGCCCACTGCCGCGGCTGTAGCAGCAGCAGCGGTAGAAAAGCAGGAGGCATTAAGCTAATTGAGTTTTAGAGCTGGAGTCAAACTGGCAGAGAGTGATATCCAGAGCGATGAAAATAAACAAAGAGCTACTCACAGGGAAACAAACGGCCTGGACGCCGTGTAAACCCTGACATCAGGCTGCTGGGTCCCTGCTCAGCATGTGAGCAGCATGATGTAATGGGAGCTCGGCTAACCCAGCACACATCCAGACCCCCCCTCCCCTCCACCCCCTCCCAACACACACACACACACACACACACACACACACACACACACACACACACACGGCTGCTCCTGGGGACGTGTTTTTATTAATCACAGGTTCATTAGTGCACAGAGGCGCCTGTTAGAAACAGGAAAAAACACAGTGATTGCTTGACAAGTTTCACTCCTAATGTGACAGCTAAGCATGATGAAGAGACAACAGGCATTAATCCTGCAGGCAGGGGTGGGGCAGAGAGTCTGAAGGCCTGCAGGGTCTGAATGTAGGGACCGGCACACAAATCTACAGGGTTCGTGTCATCAGAGTTCAGTTTATGATGGATGCAAAACCAGCAGAAACTGCACAAACCCTCAGATGGTCCCCTTGATAGCTCAGCTGGTAGAGCAGAGGACTGTAGAAGAGCCTCTAGACATCCTTATGTTGCTAGTTCAAATCTGCCTCAAAGGAGTGACCTGATCTTTCAGCTTAGAGAAGAGAGGGTAACAGGAAAGTTTATTACGGTCACACCACCTCCAGCCCCTTAGCCCAAGAACCATCAATTTTTTTTCTGCACATAAATTCATGTCTTGTGGGTTAAATTTCCAGTATGTGCAACTTTTAAAGACAAATTACTTTATCAAATACATTTATTGTGTTTTTAATCTAAATACATTTTTAACTTGTGTGTGAATGGATCATTAAATTGTTCCAAGATGATCGTGTTTGACGAAGTTTGATCATCTTCAAATATGCTCATCTTTTTTGCACAGTTTAATAAAGCATGCAGTGGGGGTCACCTCACTCTTTGTGTGTGTGTGTGTGTGTGTGTGTGTGTGTGTGTGTGTGTGTGTGTGTGTGTGTGTGTGTGTGTGTGTGTGTCTGTGCGTCTGTGTCTCTGTCTGCGAAATACAGTCAGTTCATCCAGGAGTGATGGTACCATCCTGTTCAGAGATCTAAGGGAAGGTCTGTTCAGATTGAATTTTAATTCTATTTATGTGTAAAATAATGTTCCTGTACCCTGGATATTAAAAAGCATTACTGTTAAAACATTAAAAAATGTTATATTGGTTTTTACTTAAATAATGGTCACAATAAAGGGGGTGTTTTTTTGGAAATTACAAAGAAATGGTAGTTATCTTTAGTATTTAATTATGTCAAAAAATGTGCATAAATGAAGACAAAAATGAAAACCTAAATGACATGACTGAATATTTAGCCTATTTTATTTTTTATTATTTATGAAATGATAAACACAAAATTCTGATAAGCAGTGAGACAATTAGTACAGTTGCTAATTATTCATCCATTGTATCATAAAAAAACAACATACAGACAATAGACCATGACAGTTGGGTAAAACATGTAGAAATCTGATACAAAAAGTCAATCCTGATTCACATGAAGGTTAAAAGTCTATACACAAAACAGAAGAGGCAAAGAGGTTACCCATGATTGCAAGTCTTGCTTGTTTCAAGATACTGTGATTGACATGGTTTCGTACATGAGCTTGTTTCCCTTTGATGGACACCACCATTTGCCCAAATTTAGTTCTGTGCCATGTTATATCACACCACACTCTAGTCAGTGTTCTGGTGTTTGCTCTAGAAGATATTTTCTTCATGAAGTCCTGTAGTAACCAAGGGTAACCAAGTTTTTTTTTTTTTTTTGTCAAGAGTTTTAAGTGTTCACTTGAACAGAGACTTGATTGGTTTTAGAACACTCTCTGATGTATGTAACTATGTTGTATTACAGTAGGAGATGGAAGTACATGCGTATAGGATCAGGCAGAGCCTGATGTCAGAAAAGCCAGAGACATAGTCAGGGATCACGCCAACATCAGTGTCTGTACATTTTTCTGAGCTTTTCTCATAGTTGCAATTTTATGAATGTACTCAAACACATATCAGCAGAATATTTTTCATTAACAAACAATGATGTGAAGGAAGATCATGAGCAGGAGTTTTTCTTCGACCTCTTTACCTGCTAAAGAACCTGTTATGGTCCGTGAAAGCCGAAAATCCTTTATTTTTTCAAGTAACAGATCCAGGACTTATTTCTGCTCTGCTGTTGGTTCAGCTTTACTCTGATAGTCGAAAACATAGAAAGGTTTTAAGTGTGTTCATGTAATGAGGTTTTATTGACTTTGACGGGCTTGGTACAGTGGACCCACTCAGAGGAGCCAAATCTCACCTCCTCTTCTGTTCACGCCCCTTACAGAAGTGTTTTTCCATTTTCTATCAGCATATTTACTCCAAACAAAAGTCCCTCATTACTTTGATGTTGAAATTCTTTATTGGGAATACCCCTTGAGATGAACCATCTTGTTTTCAAGGGGGTCCGCAATGCAGACACATGAAAATCACATACAAAAAAGCAATACAGAAACAAAATAGACAAAAAGAAATACAAATCACAATAGACATCATCACAGATTCAGACACCTCAACTAAAGACAAGGGGCTCTTTTCATGCCTCGCCGGAGACGTGCCACAAGCGCAGCGTAAGTCAGGTCCGCCACGCCGACAAGGCGTTCCCAAGCACAATTTGGTATTTTGGTGAGCAGCACAGCCCGGCGTGAGTATCCCCCCTCCCTAACTCAGCTCCTCCCAGCGCCGTAAGTCGTAGCGGGGGAGGAGAAAGGGCGTGGAGTAGGTTTAACACAGCCGAGACCTGTTTTCACCAATCACATAAGCTCCTCTCCTTGCCTTTAAATCCGCCACAGGCGAGGCGTATTACAATTTTCATGAAGAAGTCAAAGAGATCAAGAGATGTCTGAAGACAGTAATGCCACAAGATGGCGACAGAGGGCAGCTCCTCAACAAGTGTCACTGCAAGCGCTGCATTGGACGTCCTCCACACTCTCTCATATGAGCGCAGATGGATTTGGTGTGTGTAATGTTGGACCCACTGGTAAGACAAACACCCTTTTCCACAAATAAAGACACTCACATAAAGTTACATATATTCAAACCTCACGTGACAAAGGTGGGTTGAGCGCACAGATCACAACATAAACTCCAAAAATGGCATTAAAATTGGAACCATCTGTGCGTAAATGACGCATCGCGCTCCGTAGCCTGGCTCTTTCTTTCATAGATGTTGGCATATAAAATAAATTTGGCCCACAAAACTGAGTATTATAATATCCGTATGTCGGCTTAAAGTAGATAACTCATCTGAGCACTGAAACAAATCATCTGTTCAGCCGCAGCAGCAGCAAGACGGAGAGAGGACACAGAGACATGTCCAGGTCGAGCTGCACGTGAAATAAGAAGAAGAGGAAGAAAGAAAAGGAGGGAGACGAATTACATGTCTTGTTAACTTCATCATGTGTGTTTATTTACTAGATATTTAATTTAATTTGATGCGGTTTCAGCTGTGTTGATTAGGTCAGGTTGTGTGTCCAAACGCGTGCCAAACGCGCTCATCAGATCAGATACAGATCAGAATATATCTATATAGATCTAAATGTATGTGCTGACTATGATTATTAGTTGTTGATGATTATTTATTGCACTGAAATGTGCCTGACACTGTGGAAACCTGCCGGTGAGGCATCAGTGACGTATGCCGATACGCCGCCGGTCTACCAAAATACTACTAGACCAGCTGCGTTCCGTCTGCGCTGAAAGCTGACCAGGTTTGAATCGACGAGCTTTCAGCGCACTTTACACGCCACTGGCGAGCACGAAAATGTCACTGCGCCCGCTGATTCTGTCGACACCTCTCCCTGCCACGCCACCACGCCCAGCTTGGCGGATCTCAGTTCGCCTCCGAGCGCCTCAGTCCACGAAAAATACCAAACTGGCTTTACACCGGGCTCCTCCAGACGAAAATACAACTGCGCGGGCTCCGCCACCCTCCGTCGCCTCACCGGCGTGCATGAAAATAGAGCCCAAGGACTTAGCCAAACAAACAACAGTAACACATCACAAAACACAAGGTACAAATAAGGGTCATTGCATAACAGACCTGATATACAGAATACTGATGCCTTATTGAAAACATGAGCAAGAAGTCCCAAAATAAGACGATAGAGCAGTTTTGAACAGTTTAAAAGAGGAGATAGACCGAATATGTATCGGTAGGTTATTCCAATCAGAAGGAGCTTTGAACCTGAAGGATTTTTTAGAGACTGATTTGAAAACAGTAGGAGTGACAAAGAAGACTTGTGAGCAATGTCTAAAATCCTTTATTTTATCAAGTAACAGATCCAGGACTTATTTCTGCTCTGCTGTTGGTTCAGCTTAACTCTGATAGTTGAAAGTGTAGAAAGGTTTTTAGGTGTGTTCATGTAATGAGGTTTTATCGACTTTGACGGCCTTGGTACAGTGGACTCGCTCAGAGGAGCCAAATCTCACCTCCTCTTCTGTTCGCGCCCTTACAGAAGTGTTTTTCCATTCCTATCAGCATATTTACTGCAAACAAAAGTCCCTAATTACTTTGATGTTCTCACTCTTCTGTTCATGGACACAAAGTGAGAATTCATAACTTTTCCAAATCAGGAGGAGGCGACAGAGCAGCCAGACCTCTGTGAGAGGTCAACCTAAGCTTCGCTTTCGGTTTGAACACTCAATGTGTATTTGCTGGTTTCCCCTGATGTGAGCTGCTGAAGGGCTTAGGTCTGAGAGGGTCACAAGTCCTCTGCTGACCCTGTTTTCACCTGGGACTCATGACATAAGAACCACCGCACTGCTGCTGCATGTATGTGTGTGTGTGTGTGTGTGTGTGTGTGTGTGTGTGTGTGTGTGTGTGTGTGTGTGTGTGTGTGTGTGTGTGTGTGTGTGTGTGTGTGTATTGAGTGAAAAAGGCTGACTCAGCAGACTTGGGGCACACCAAACACATCAATATTATTTACTCACTTATTTTAAACAAATTACTCCCTCTAACCAACAAACGATGTAATGTGGGAGAGGCGGGAATTCCTTCACTTCACACAGTTGGAGTATGATTCCATCAAAAGTGGTTGACGTGGACTTGACTGTGAGGATCAGTTAGCAAATAATCTGAGCTCCTCACTCATGTTCCTCTCTCTGGGTAGCAGCATCAGTTTTTTCTCCATTTATAGATAGATGAACCTCCATGGTCTGTTAGTGTTATACATCACCAGGGAATCTCTAAGCTGATTGGCTCTTGCTGCATGAATGATTTGTTTGAGTTCAGATCTTTTACTTGCAAATGAAGCATGATGATGGTGTTCGAATTGCACCACCTGCAGGTATAGTTTGCTTAATTTGTGCCGCATTATTGACATCTCCCAACAAGTAAATGTCTGATTGTGCCCTAAACTTTACTTGTACTTTACTTGTGTAAATGTGGTGTGACCACAGCATCAAGCCTCTTATGTCACGGTCAGACCAGATGCAAATAAATGGAGCGAATCTTTTCTGTGAGTAAATTATATCCAAAGTCAATGTAAAGATGTGATCAGATGTAAGTTCTTGTAGGGTGATGTGAATGATGCTAATGAGCTGTGTGCATCAGTAAAAACAAAACAGTAATTCACTTTATTGGATAAATTCTTGAGAATTGAAAAAACTCTGAGCCCCAGAAATGTTATGACAGTCATTCAACAGGGAGATGGTGATGTTTGTCAAGAATAGCAGTTCCCCCATCTGAAAAATGGAGAATAAAACGATGGTGATGGTGAGCAGCCCCATTGAGCTCTTGGATACGACTTGTTTCTATTAAAACAGGAGAGGAGGAAAGTCAGTGAGGAGGTCAGATTATCTGGTTAGTCATGAAAACACAGCAGATCCATAACAGGACTGAGTATTTGTACTAACATAACAGCGTAATAACGGTGTCCCAGTGTGCCATTACACATCACAATACCTCACAGCAGGATGGACACTCTGCAGGTGTAACAGGACGTAAATATCCAGCTCTGTGTTTGTCTTTGCACACGACACCTGCTCTCTGTCAGCACCGTCAAACATTCAAAAACAAGAAATATAAAGAAAGCATGTTTTTGCAAGTTATGAATATTAGTTTCTTCACAGCCAGCGAAAACTCCTGACTGGAGCTTTCAAAAGGGGAATTATCAATGCTTTGACATAGGCCTGAACGATATATCGTTTGACTATCGTCATCGCGATGTAATAATAATAATAATAATAATACATTTTATTTAAAAGCGCCTTTCTGAGCACCCAAGGACACTTTACAGGGCATAAAAACACAGCTAGAAACATAATTAAAATAAATAAGAACAACATACAAGTGTGAAAGAAGACAGTTAAAGTGAGTATGCGATTCGGAATAGGTGTGTTTTGAGATTGGATTTAAAGTGGGGTAATGAGTCCATGTTCCTGAGGTCCGGGGGGAGAGAGTTCCAGAGTTTGGGAGCAGAGCGACTGAAAGCCCTGCTCCCCATGGTGCTGAGCCGGGCAGAGGGGACAGAGAGGTGGAGGGAGGAGGAGGATCTGAGGGAGCGTGAGGGGGTGGATATGTGGAGGAGATGGGAGAGGTAGGGGGGGGCAAGGTTATGGATGGCCTTGAAAGTGTACAGGAGGATTTTGTAGTTGATTCTGAACTTGATGGGGAGCCAGTGAAGCTGCTGAAGGACAGGGGTGATGTGGTGAAAAGAGGGGGTTCTGGTGATAATGCGGGCTGCAGAGTTTTGGACAAGTTGAAGTTTATGGAGGGATTTGTGAGGGGCACCGAAGAGGAGTGAGTGCGATAGTCACATCGCAGAGCCTGCGATATTGGAGGTGAATGAACTCATTTAATTTAAAGGGTAACCGACTGAGATACACTCCATGTGACTCTGCATGTGCTGTGCAGCGATCCACCAATCGCCTTCGTCCTTAACTCAGTTGCCAATCAGACTCACTTCTCAGTTGCCAATCAGACTACCCTGCCAGCTGTCAATCAAAATCAGGGAGGAGAAAACCCACCCCTGCACATGTTCTGCACATGGAGGGAGACGTGTGTCCACTGAGAATTACTTTCGGAACTTTACTCATGACTGTTAAGCTCAACAAATAAGAACTGTATGGGTTTTAAATTGTACATTTCCGTGGACCACTCTACTATAAGCAGTGCGCGTTTTGCGAGGTGCATGCAATTCTCGGAGGACATGCGTTTCTCGGCACAACACCGCTAACAACAACAACAACGATCGCAAAATGAACAACGAACAAGCGAAAACCACCGAAAATGAAGATTTGTTGCCAAAAAGAAAAAGGAAAGTCAGTTATCTGGAATTATTTCGGTTAAAAGAAGGATGATGTCGACCAAAACACGTCTTCTGTGTTCACCTGTTGCCACAATAACGTCCCAGCACAATAAAAGCTAAAAATATCTCTGAGACAGACAGAAGCCGTTCTACTAACATTCACAAAAAGAGGTAAGATCAGAGCAGATTAACTGTCCTCAAGATTTCAGCAGTGCAGCATAACATTAAGTGCTATTCAGGTCATCTGGTGAAAGTACTGTATTTTTAATATCGCAATATATATCGCAGGGTTGAAAAAATCGCAATATTATTTTTTTCCAATATCGCGCAGCCTTACTTTGACATAGTTAGAGGGATCTGTGAGCCTCAGACCAAGAGAAGGAGTTCAGGCTGATAATGAAACAGAATTTATATATTAAGAAAGAAAATGACAAAAATGACCATCTGTAGCTGAAGTTTAAAAAAAAAAGGGTGGATCAAATATTTTCAGTGGCTCAGATAAACCAGTTACTGATAAATCAAAATTATAACACATTTGCATAAACACATTTGTCTCCTCTCATAATCATTACAGTTTTTAAAATGTGCTGAATATACATCAGTTATGCCTTTAGCAGGGTTTAAATATGTGGAAGTAATCTGTGAGTTAACATTGTACAATCATCCGATTGCTTTAGATGATCATTTAACAGTCAAATATTGATTATGTTTTTATTCTTGTTATTAGGATTAAGGTTTAGCCTTGAGATGAAACACCTAATTTTAAAGGGAGTCCAAACAAAATCACAAACACAGCAAAGAAGAAAATCAGATGGATAAATATATATGTATAATAATATACACATATATGTATGTATGTGTGTATATATGTATATCTCTGGGCCCTGCTTTCACATTAAACATCAGTAAAAAATCTGTTAATGAAATATATATATATAGTAAATGAATTCTGTGGGATCTGCTGGACCTGTTTGGTCTTAGGGTGCTTTGGTTGTTTTTTTTAATTGATTAATGGTCTTTACAGTCAGACTGAAGAGTCTGACTCTTCAGGATCACTATAGACTGCTCTCGCCTCTCTGGATCAGTTCAATCCTGATCCGCACTTTCCCTGCAGTTTGAGAGGCCGAGCTCACATTCCAGCCGCGTGGAAACGTCTCGGTTCAGTTTCACACATGCTCTGAGAATGACTCTTTGTTTCCTCCCTTTTCCACAGCCGACACTTAAAGCCGAGCAGAATAAATAAGCTGGCAGCTTGAGGAAACACCAGAGAGCCGGAGTGTGTTTTCTGGAGCCGAGCCACCACTCGCTTGTCAAAGTGAATGTAAGTAGGCCACAAGTGTGAGCAATCACTGGAAATTATACGCTTTTAGAGGGATTTCATATAAAGGTATTAAGCCGGTCTGAGATGTTTGGCAGCACAAATGATGGGAATTATATTCATGGACATGATGTGCGCCACAACTGTGGCTTCTTGTTGGTTCCATCTATTGCATATTTTCCTAAACTCTGCCAGCGTGTGAAGTGGATCCCGGCAGATTGATGTAATAGGATAAATGCGGCTCCGTGAGAGGGTTCGAGTGGGCCGGTGAGGGCACCACATGGTAGGTGGGATGGAAACTCTACTCTGTGGCCCGGATCCTTTTCCCAGAGCCTCAGCTAGCCGAGGAGCGTCTCTGGAAACTTCAGAAAGCCTCTAACAGGCTGCTGACAGGAGGACGAGCCAGACCCCAGACCATTTGGACCTTTTAATCCAGTTTTCACCAACCGGTTTTAGACTTCAGTGTGAGCGGAGATGAATAACGAGGAAGATATGATATCCTCTGCATTTAGTCTACCATCAACTCTTAGAGAGGCCGATTGCAGCCGGCACGCAGCCAGACAATCAGGACCAAATTTCAGGCTCGGTTTAACCCAGGGTTTGATTTTCCTGGGTGTTACAGCGGGGCTCTGCTGCTTATTAGCCTGTACACAAAGCTCTCTAAGCATTTATATCATAAAACACTGAGCATCTGTCCAGGGCACTGAAAGCCCAGGGGTCAGAGTAGGCCGGTTCAGACCTGTGCCCCACTATAAGATTCAGTGGCATTATGCAGGTCTGCAGAGAGAGGGGAGCTGCTGTCTGCCAAAACCCACATTCAGATACACTCACAGTTGCAATTTCAGCAAGAAAACATCTGCTGTTATGTCTTCTCAAACAACTCTGTCCACTTATAAATGGCTGATAGTCCATCCTGATTAGTGTTTGGATCCAGCTGTCTTTGTGAGAGCTTAGAGTTAACCTGAGCTCCCACCCACACACTGCAGCTGACTGAGATCCATGCTGTGGAGTCTTGATAAGCAGACGTTTGAGTTTAAATGTGCAGCAGTGTGAGGTGACGGTCAAGAATCCCTCTGGAGGCTAATAAAGCTAATGATCTGCAACAACCAGCTCAGTCTTCATCAGGAGAGACCTGCTGCTGCTGCTCCAGAGACAACACAGAGTCACTCACACATGCTGCAGTAAATCTGCACTATAGATAAACCATTATGTTTGATCTGTAAACCTGCTGCAAATGCACAACACACAAATAACACACAAAGCAAAAGAAACGCTCAAAACAAAAGCTGCAGATTCTTTCAATCAAAAGCTTTGATTGTGTTTCTGCACCATTCATTGGGTATGCAGTCATTTTTCAGCATGTTTTTGGATGCAGTCTTTCACTTGTTTTGGATGTGTGTGTGTTTTATTTTTATAAAGTTGTGTCATTTTTGCACTTGCAGTCCATTTCTCCTGATGAAGATCACGTGCTCTTGTTGGACCACGATAGATGTCGCTCTGTCACTCATTTTAAGAGTCCACCGCTGAGCATGCATGTGTATTTGTGCTTATTAAACTTCTGGGATGTTTAAAAAGTACTGACATGTTTATTTTTGAACCCCCTTGAAACTGTGAAGGTTGAGGTCTTATGTAAATAAGAATTTAATATTACTTATTATCCCTTCATAAAAATTGCACATCAACAAACAGACAAAATGAAGAAAGCCTGTCAGCTCAGCTCACCTGAAACCTGCTGCAGATGTGTGTTTGAAAATGTTAAATATGGTCACGTTTTAGGACTTATTTCTCCTTCTGTGATCTCTCTGTTTACAGTGTCTATGTCTGCTAAACCACCTGAATTTAAATCCTGACAGTTTGTAACAGCTAATATTTGACAGAAATATGATGATCTACTCAAATAAAAGCAGTCTGGCAGAGATATCATCCAGTGAGATCCCTCCGCTCTCACTGTCAGTAGCTGTGTTTACATGGGCGCAAATAATCAGAATAGAGGCCCAATCAGAATAAAAATGTGTCATGTAAACATGTCGATCGGAAGATTCTGATCCAATTTGGCTCAATTGGAAAGAATTTGTATTCCGATCGAGAGTGGTGGTTTATGCTGATCGTTATTCCGAAATGCGTGCATGTAAACACTTATTCTGATCGTGACTCTCTAACCTGACTCTATCTTCACCCTTTAGCCTTTGACTCATTTACTGAGGCCAGTTCAGGAGGTTTCATTATTAACACTCTGATATAAAACACAACCACAGGTGCTGTGTCTGCTCCTCCGGTAACATAACAAGGCGTACATACAGCGTAATGATGATGATCTACACGCACAGTGCAACCTTTGACAGAACAGCAAAATAAGTACACAAGGGCGCCATCTAGTGACAACATTTAAACAGGGGGGAAAAATCCTGAATTGGATGAAGTGAGCCACAACCGCGTTTGTTGGTTTGTTGACAGCGCAGGCATAAATACAACTCTTCTTCTACGGTTGTTCCTACGGTCAGATAACTCTGCGCATTTCCAAATGCTTATAATCTGAATAAAATCTGGTGCATGTATGCACACGTCATGATCGGATTATTTGATTTTGCACCCATGTAAACAGTGGATTCAGATGATCAGATCCCTCAAATTTTTAATCGGTGTAAGAAATTTTGCACAATCTAAACATGGCTACTGTGGCTCAGGGTCAGATCAGTTATTTGGTTGCTTATTTGGGGATTTTTCTAGCTTTTAACCATAAAAAGCAAATAGATGCACACCACATCATGTACTGAAGCAGTCTCTGAGTGCAGGGAAACCCAGACTGATGCTTTTATGGAGTGTTTTGGGTTCAAATAAAGGCCTCATTTCTCCAGGCCCATGCATCTCTGTGCCTTAACCTATTTGATCCCTAGTTATGATCGCTCACAGAAAAAACACCTTATAAAAATGGATCCAGGAGGACTCGACAGTAGAGCATTTAAAACATCAAAATCAGCCTGACACCTCCTGAAAAAAGGTTGAATATTAATTTCAGGGATGGATCCTGCATGAGAGAAAAGTTTATTTCTTTGCATATGAATATGGTTTGATAGAAACACAGCTATCATCTGTCTTCACTTTATCTTTCTGCGAGTCTCTGCCTCTGTGCTTTATACGATGATAATCAAGCAGTGAATATCTGCGACTACCAGGATCACATTTCCTCTTTAGTAAACATTTCATATGACTCAATAAAAGCAGCCGCTGGGAAAAATAACAGTATATCCCGTAACTCAGACCACATGTAATGAATATGAAATAAATGAAGCATTATGGCAGGAGGTAGACCACGTTAATTCTCCAATACATCTCCTCTATCAGTACAATCTAATCTAGCCAAGGCCGGGAGCAATACTCTGAGTGCAGAGCTGCATGTGTGTGCTGATGGTTTACTCATACCAGAGGACAAATGAAATGATGTTTTTATTCATCTTTGACATGCTGTTACCAGGTTCTGATGTTTGTGACGTGGAGTCGCCTGAAGCCAAGGCTCGGATGCATTTGTGGAATTACAGCGAGCGGATCGAGCCATTACTCCCCGACAGACACTCTGTCCTCCAACTTTCAATTCTCACTCTGAGATTTCCCAAGTCTCACGCTGGATAAGAAACTTTTAGATTGCCTGCTCTGACAGATGAGTGTGTTCAAATTGCTGTGAGAGGTTTTGTAGCTGGAAAATGTATTTACTGTTGAGGATGCAGTGCGACGTTTCATCTTAGGGGCGTCATGGAAAAGCAGAGAGGAAGTATTCAAGGTACTTTTACCTTCAAAATGTTCATCTAGAGCGAGTGGGTGAGACTGTCTGGGAGAAACTTTTTAATGGGCCCAATGCTGCATATTTAACAACACCAATTTAATAAGAAATGGACACTGTGTAAATTGCTGATCAAAAAAACAACACAATTTAAGTCTATATTTCTATATTTAATAACCAAGTGAAAAATGCTATTGTTTCATGATAGATATATGCTCATTCGTTTTTAACAAGCTCTTGTTAAAAAAAAATAAATAAATTTTTGGAGCTACAGTTTACTTCAGATTGTCGTCTGAAAGCTTCAAATATCTTCATATTACAGAGATATTCAGAGGTCTGACTGTTGGAACAGGACACACCTGTCATTATCAGTGAAAAACTCTGAGAAGATCATAAGATTCTGGTCTCTCTGCTCTGAATGAACGGACTTTGATTAAAACAAGGTATTATTTGCTGTCATGTACCTCACTAAATCCGAGCTCAGGCAGAGTCACTGAGGAAACCTGAGTGAAGTAAAGGAACTGACAGAAATCTCATTGGTGCATTTATTATCATTATGAAATGAAGCTGTAAAAACAATGGGACTTGTCTGTGGAAATGAACCCACAGACTGCAGCAGCAGCAGCTTGGGTCTCTGAATGGAAATGCTTTTATTGATTATGTATTAGCTGTGGTCAGCCGCTCTCTCTTCATCGTCTCACACTGTAATTATTTTCATCTGGATGCTGGTTGCCGTGGAGCAGCAGGTCTCAACGCTGCTACTCTCATCAGTCACCTGAAGCGTGGGGGTGTTCACATGCAGGACTACACTGAGCCCATTAACTACAGCGGCCAGGCTCAGGCACAGTAGAGCTGGTTTCCTGCACCACCCCATCACACTCACCTCTCTGATTTTTACCCTGTAACAGAGGCACCAGCTGCTGGAGCCAGTGTCAGGACCGCTCAATCCTGCTGCAGCCCAGGAATTATGAATTTAATACAACACTCAAAGTTACAGCTGGTTTAAGTAGACGTTTTGCAGAACACAATGACACACCAGGTGTTTTTATTTAGATGGAAGTCATTCTGAATGTCTCTGACACTTTGCACTATTGAGATCTGACCTTAAAAATACATGCTACATGTAGATTCTGACATATAACCCCAGGATGATTGATGAGAGGACAGATGGATACAGAGAGGTTTTGAGTGCACGCACATGCCAGCTCAGACAGAAACACGGATAAGTGATGGAGCGAGTTTCAAGTTTCAGTCCAGAGCAGAGGCTCAGACAGTTTTAGAGGAAGGTGATAAAAACGTTACTCCATTAAAGCCGCTCTGAGACTCTGTAGGCTTCAATCCTGCATTCAAAACTCAGATGATACGTTAAAGCCCCTGTGAGGAAGTTTGGCTTTGTGTCAGTTTTAGTGCCTCCTGTAGACACAGCAGTCCTGTCTTCATCAAAAGCAGTGACTGTACACAACTGACTTTTAACAGTTAAACACTGCAGAAACTGTCTCTGCAGCTAACACCAAACACAAAATCATCCAGACATGAAACAGCCTGTAATCAGGTGTGTGGTCCTTTACCAACACTGCAAAGATGACCATAAGCTGGACTGTATGGGCTGTAACATGTATCTATGCTGAGGTGAGAAGGATGTGTCAATCCTGACAATTACTATTATTATTATCATTATTGTTGTTGTTTTTGTTATTTCAATTTTCCTTTTTCCAAATGTGCTACATAAGCATACAACACTGCAAAATACAAACATCTGAATTTAGCTTCTCCCTTCACCCAAATAATGAGGGTGGAAGGAAGTATTTTAAGCCTTAGGCCACTTTTAGATGGAAACGGTCTCCATAGAAAACGGGAAAATTTAGTATCGTTTAGGGGGGTCTGTTTAGATGGCAACTGCCTTTTCAGGAGATGAAAACGTAACAAAGTGAAAACCCCCTCCAGAGTGGAAATGTTGTAAACGCTCTGCTAGTTTCGTCTAAAGTACAAAAACGCTGAAAACACTCAAACCCATGACATCCTGGCTCACGTCGGCTCACGTTTCTGACATCATAGCCATGCGCAGCTTCCTTGAAAATAACAACAACAACCATGCAAGACGTTCGAGTTGCGCTGTCGTTATTATTGAACGAGCAGGAGCTCAATTTCAACCTGTACAGAATCCTCACAGATCATACTGCGCAGCAGAGGAGGCATCTCAATTATTTGCATCAAATAATTAAAGTGCCAAATGGTCGGCTGAGGGGAAAAAGGGCGACCAGGGGTCCGTTTCACGTAGCAGGTTTAGTGGAAACTCCGAGTTTGTTAACCCTGAAATCGGGGAAACTCTGAGTTTTCCGTTTCACAAAGGAGGGTTAGTTAAACCAGGGAGAGAGGGGTAACTCTAACCTGTTTCACAAAGAGAGGTAACTCAACCTCGCGGTCAGTTACCACAGTAACAGACTCCGTGAACCTAACCTGCTCGGGAGCAGGTTTAACTCAGTAAACCCAGAGTTTCAGGTGAGACATCGGCATTTTCTCATTTTGATCATGTTTTACATTGTCAAGTAAGTATTAAGTGGCAGTTTGATCTCTTAAAAAATGCTCTTTTCACACTCAAAACTGAATTTTACTCTCTTATTATGTTCCGTTAAATGATTAAGAATATTAAACTAACACAAAAACGGGTGGTGGTCCAGCAGCCCCACCTTTAACGGAGGCAGAGGCGCACACACACACACACACACGCACACCAGTCCGACGATCGCTGCTACGGGGTGGGGGTTTCGATCGTCGGGGGGGGGGGCAGCTCCTCTGCCTCCGTTAAAGGTGGGGCTGCTGGGCCACCACCCGTTTTTCTGGCATCTGCCCTCTTTCTGTTTGCTGAGTGAAAGTCTAATATTGAGTGTAGTGTGTGTTAGTTTAATATATGTACATATACATACTGAGAGTTAGTTTAATATTCCTAATCATTTAACGGAACATCATAAGAGAGTAAAATTCATTTTTGAGTGTGAAAAGAGAATTTTCTAAGGGATCAAACTGCCACTTAATACTTACTTGACAATGTAAAACATGATCAAAATGATTCAAGCAGTTTCCCTGCAACAGTCTGTCATTGTGATTGCACGAGACTAGATTTAAAGTTACGCATTGACGCGAGCAGCGATTTCCTCCCAAGCCCTCTCCCTCTCCTTTGCAGCTGCTGCTGTATTGCACTTTCTTTTACAAACGTGCTGTAATTCGCTGTTGGCTTGCTGCTGCCCCCTCCTTCTCCCTGTTTCCATTGGTTGATCATTGAATCTGCGCTCCACAGATGCTGGCTGTTTATGTCTGGCGTGCACGTGCTTAACTCCAGGTCAAACTACTCGGAGTTGTTAAAACCGTCTCAAATCAGGTATTGTGAAACCGGAAACTCAGAGTTTCCTAACTCAGAGTAGATCAACTCAGAGTTAAGGATTTAACTCAGAGTTTGTTGAACCACCTACGTGAAACGGACCCCAGGAATGCACATTACAGCGTTTTCAACCACATTGCGTTTTTGTGTAAACAAAGCATAAAAACTGAAAATGAAACAGCACTTTTCCGTTTTCTATGGAGACCGTTTCCGTCTAAAAGTGGCCTTATCGGTGCTTGCTAAAGGGGGTGTCATGATCCAGGGCTGTTTCCTTGTGTTTTGGTTGTCTGTGTGCTCTCTCTCTTTCTCTTCCTGCAGCACTGGAGCATGGCAGGAGGCAGAGCTGGTTTGGCTGGTCAGGAACACACCTGCACCTCATTGTGCTCATCAGCTGGCCTTTAAAAGCCAGATTCCTGTCCTGCTCTTTGCCGGATGATTATCGCAGTCTTCCTCTCGAGCCTAATCATGCCCTGCTTCTCGTGTCCTCCTGCTTGTGCCTCCAGTCTGCCTTCATGTCTTTTGTAAGTTTGTTTGTCACTTTGTTTCAGTTGTTTTGTATTTTATAGTTCTAGTATTTTCCATTGCATTTTTCTGAGGTGATTTTCAGTTTGCCTTTTGTTTTCTTTTGAACTTTCTAGTTGACTTTATATTCCTTTGTTACTTGCCCCACATGGTATATTGGAGTTGTACTTTTAGTGTCAGAGGTTGCTTGAGTTTTTCTGTAATTTTTCCTGACACTTGTTTTTCTTCGTTTTCAGTAGCTGTCCATGATTCCCGAGCCTTTTTACCCTGTGTGGTGATTTTATGTTTTTTGTTGTTGTTGTTGTTGTTGTTGTTGTTGTTGTTGTTGATATTTTTGTTAATAAACTTTTGGTGATTTTGTCTCCGCTATATTGGGTCCTGGCTTTTTGTACACGTAACAGGGGGCACTGTCAAATCTGGCAATGCAGCCTGGGTGCCATGTGGCATTGTTTTACAACACTTGACCAAAGTGCAGGATTGCAGGCAGGCTGCATTAGCTCCGCTAGCCAGCATAAAACACAAAATGGACTTTGTGAGCAGCAAAGTCTTATCCACCGCACAACCTCCACAGCAGAGCGTTTAACAGAGGTGTCTTGTGAAATAGCATGGATTTTGGCATGGGCCAAAACACCTTTCTCAGACTCAGAAATAGCAAAACTGTTTTTGGCTTCAGCAGAAATACTGTTTAGAGACTTTAACACCATTAAACAAATAAAAGGGTTACAGCTGTCTGATTTAACAATGATGAGGCAGATGGAAGACATCGGAAAGGACATATGTGACCAGTTGTTGGCTGATCTGCGCGCTGCGCCTTGTTTCAGCATCATAGTGGACGAAAGCACAGATATCACTGATGTTACTCAACTGTGCACTGTGAGGTTCCTAAAAGAAATCTCTTTTCAAGAGGAAATGTTCTGTTTACTACCACTCTATGGTCAAACAAGAGGTGAGGATATTGCAAACTTGCAAGTGTGTGTACTGATGTTGTTCCAAGCATGCAAGGCAAAGAGGAGGGTCTTGTTGGTCTCATGAAAAAGAGATGAAATTCCCAGTATTAAGGTAAATCTGGTCTTAAATGAAAATGTATTGGCTGTGTTCTTTTTTTTTTTGTGCGATGTCCAATTTATATGTATAAATGCACATTTGCAAAAGTGACTTAGTATGTTGTTGTAAAAGTGACTCTCCTTTTACAAGTAATTTGCACCGCCAGTGTGGCTCTTGTGAAAAAAATAGTGAGGATCACTGCATTACATTGTCAAATTTAGCTTTATTGTCAAATATGCCATACGACAGCATACAGCATATATGAAATTACAGTCCGTTTGGACCCGCAGTGCAAATAAAAGACGGATAGATGAGAGTGTTTGCTCTGTGGAGGTCAGCTGTGTACACCCCATGGGTGTGTGGATCACATCTGTACTTTACCTACACCTGTCACTCCATTGCTCGTCATGCACCTTTATCTAGTTTCTCTAATTCATCAGGAATTGGGCAGCAGATCATGTGTTCATTCTGACCGCACTGAATCACAGCAAGATATGTCAGCCATGGAGGTCTCTCTTGGATCAAACTGATCTTTAACAGCTTTACGTGCTCTGTACTTTATGATTATTTGTCAAAGCACTTTGTAAACCTCTGTTTTTAAAAGTGCTATAGAAATAAAGTTATTATTATCATCATTATTATTATTACTGTTATATTACTGACCCCCTCTGTAAGAGAAAAAAAACCTCATCCTCCAGGTCCAACAGAATCCATTCAAGAAGGCACTGTGGAAAGGAATGAGGTGTGCGGTTGTTTTGTCTTTTACTCCTGCAGGCTTAGATATTCAATCACAGCTCAGAGCTTTGGGCCTTCTTTGACCACTGAAACACAAAGAATCAGCCCGGGTTTAAAAATGAATGAATTCTGCTGATTTCTCCAGAGTCTTATGTTTCATGTTATTCTGGGAAAATGAGACTCATCCTCAGATGAAGAAAGCACATAACAGCAGTGTTTAAAACCAAACTAACCTCCACACACAGCTCACCCCCTCCCCTCCATCCTCCCTCTGATTCCTGCAGACCTTCTCCAGGAGAATCCAGCCAGATCTGCCAGCTTTGGTCTCCAACATGGCAGTGCTGGTCGGACCACCAGTAAGGATCAGATAAGTGTATGTGGAAAGCCTGGCCTGGATCAGCATGGCACTCTGAATTACCCTGATGTACCCCCCCCCCCCCCCAACACCACACTGTTCCCCTGTAATAGATTTCAGCAGGTTTTACGCTCTCCTCAGCGCCTGTTTATTATTGTTGTAAATGACAGAGTGCAGAGTTTAGGGTGGTGGAGGCGGCTGCTGCTGCTGGGGTGCAGCCTGAGAGCCTGCTCGAGATTTCCTATACTTATGAGAACCAAATGTCAGGTCAGGATCAGGAGTAGGAAATCATCCCAGGTGAAAGAACGCTGGCTGAAGCCTCTGCAAATACTGTGATATAAATGTGTGTGTGTGTGTGTGTGTGTGTGTGTGTAGCTGCAAACCAATCATCGTCATCTGTGCACGCCAGCTGTCAGTGGACTCTCAGAGAGTTTTAGCTACACAGCTCAGGGGGTTTACAGGTTTTAAAAGCAACATATCCTGAAGGTGTCATCCATCCACTCATCTCAGCCCTCAGTTTAGTCTGACAGGCAATTTACTGCTGAAGCAGCCCCTCCCTCACCCATCCACCTCAGTAAGTAAAAGGGTGTCAACAGTTTCTTTACCTGTGAGAAGATTCACAACAGCTTATAACTGTTTGTGAAACTGAAGCAGACTCATTGTGTTTTTACTTCTCTTCTTTCTGTTGCTGCTGATGGTGCTCGTTCAGGGTTCACAAGTGGAAAAACAACATTAAGGAGAAAGTATAGACTCCTGTTTGTATTCACTAAGGTCTGAAGGTGCATTTTCACATGAGAGGTACAGCAGACAGGTGTCTATGTGAGGAGGTTAGGTCCCCAAAATTGTTATTCTGGCACAGGCAGCACATGCTGAACATGAACCAGTTGAATAATGAACCAACAGCAGGCCAAGTTTAGTCTGGGCATCACAGTGCTGCAGAGGGCACTGATGAAGCACAGCAAGAAGGTTCCTAGTCAAACGGCGCATTTGAAGTCTGCGTGATTTCACGACGCGGCGCGAACGGTGTCCCAATTGGCTCGAAATGCACGCTTGAAATTCAGTCTGAAAACCACACTAACCCCCCCACCCCCCCTTGGAAGTCTTTTTAAAAAATTCTCTATATGGCCCTCATAGTCCTTCATACAAAACATGCAATTATTGGATGAATTTTGTGGAAATGATCTGTGCTTGTATGTATCTATTGTTTTGTGTCTTTGCAAGGTCGCACAATTAAAAAACAACTACTGCGCTCTGCAGCTTTTCTTCAAATCAGCCGTGACGCTAGCCTGAGGGTGGGGACATTTGGCGACTCAACCAGGAAGTCCTCCGAAGGGTAGTCTGTCTCATTTCACAAAAAACGGACCATCTCACCCAAGGTACTCAAGTCCACATAAGGGCAGTGCACTTAGACGCGCTCAGCCTGATGCGGTCTCTGAAATGAGACACAGCCTGGCAGGCATATCCAAACTATTCCACAAAGGGCCGTGTGGCTGCAGGTTTTTCTTCCAACCAATCAAGAGCAGCAGTCTGACCAATCATCTGTCACTGAGATCAGCTGACTGAGATCAGCTGATGAAATGAATCAAGTCTGGTGTGCTGCTGCCTGGTTGGAAGAAAAACCTGCAGCCACACGGCCCTTTGTGAAATAGTTTGGACATGCCTATAGTATGGACAACGTGGTTCTGCCTCCTTTCATTGTACAAATTTGAAGCCAAATTTCCAGGATTTTCTCTATTTCTGAAACCAGCATTTGCACAGTAATGTTCAGTGGGAGAGTTGCTGTGATGACGCTCTGCTCAAACAGCGTACCCCGGATGATTTATGCAATCTTTGTATGCCAATAAGCTGTTTCAAGTGTCAACCACAGACAACGTGAACCTCTAAATAACTTTTAAAAATGCAGCTATACAGAAAAAATTGGACTTGAGCACAAACCAGTCTAACAGCAACTACATGTCAATGTCACAACCAGGAGGGAGAAAAAATTATATCCTGTGTAATAAATTTCTAGTTTGTCCACAGCTCCATTAAGTGTGCTGGAGGAGGCAGGATTTATGGCCTAAAGTGCAGCCTGTCAGCAGGGGGTGCTGTTCTCACAGAGGCCAACAAGGAGGCAGACATTCTATATTCAGTCTGTGGTTTAAATCCCTGGGTTTTACTCACAGACGTGGCCACTTATTATTCTCACTGTCTGATTGGATGCTGCAGGACTTCATTGAAACTTCACATCACCAGTGTTAAACAGTCAGTAAGAGGGCAGGCTTTAAAACAATCAGTAAAAGAAGACCTTGAAACAGTCAGTAAGGAGATGCACCTGAAATCAGTTAATGAGAACACGGGCCCTAAAACAATCAGTAAAAGAAGACAGGCCTTAACAACAGTCTGTAATGGAGCAGGCCTTAAAAAAAACTTTAATGAGCGGGACTTTTTAACAGTCAGTAAGAATATCCACCTTAAAACAGTCAGTAAGGAGACAGACCTTAAAACAGTCACTAAGGACAAGGGCCTTTAAACAGTCATTAAGGGTATGCGCCTTTAAAAAGTCAGTAAGAAGACAGACATTAAAACAGTTAGTAAGGTGACAGATTAAAAACAGTCTGTAAATAGGCAGGCTTTAAAACAGTCACCAAGGAAAGCGGCCTAAGAAAAGCCAGTAATGAGAGTGACTTTCATCAGTCAGCAAGGAGATGCACCTTTAAACAGTCAGTAAGGAGACGGGCTCTAAAGCATTCAGTACCCATTTGAAACACTTGGGGTCAGACTTTCATAGTGCTCCTTTAAAACCAGGTTTCTGGGTTACTGATGGAGTCAGCTAGGGCAGAGAAAGTCCTGTATGTATGAACTTGACTCAGTCTCCTGACTGTCACAGCCTCACAAACTCACAGATAACCTCTGTGAGTTTTGTGTTGAGTTAAAAGAAAAATTTCTGCAGAGCTGAAAAAAACTTAAGAGCAGATTTTGTGTAACTGGGTCATAATTTAAAAAGAAGACCTTTTGGTAGCTTTAAATGTATCTGGTTTGAGTCCTCCATGCTCCCCATAAGGACCAGAGTTCCCATTAAGCTCTGCTAAACAACATGCATACACAAACAGCCTGAGCAGGCCTGTGCAGAGCTGCAGATCAGGGAGCCTGGATCCTGTGTAAGTGGTCTGTTCCTCTATTGACAGATTTGGCCTGCTGATGAGCTCTGACTGCCTCAGATTAGCTGCCTCTGTTTGCATCTGTATCGACACTT